CGAGCATGGATCTGGATCCAGTTTTTTATTAATCTTTTTGAGTGCGCATAAAAAAGCCCGCAGTGTGAAGTCCAACAAATGCCGGTTACTCCATGCCCTTTCAGATGGATGATGGCTTTCAGGAGAGGATTTAATATCTGCGGAGATCTTTTCAGTTTCACGTGGAGGGGAAAATGGTGACCCATCATCGTCGGTGTGTTCGAACCGGGTGAGAGATGAGATGGTGGTGGGATCTTTGAGAGCACGCCAGAAGAAAAAACAAAAGACATGATCAATTAAGCGTCCTGTGCTGTAAATGATAACCAGCTCTACACCGTTATCCAGAAATGTCATGGGGGTGGCGGAAAATCGGGACGATGGAATTATTTGACGAGGACGGGAGCGAGGAGGGAGAGACGAAGGCGAGCCAAATGGGCCGATGCATGTCTCATGAGTGAGCGCGATATTATTGGGTCGAGCGAGCGAACTCAGCAGTGATGCCGCATTGTAAGAGAGTATCGTGTTAGCTCGAGTTCCGAACGCTCAGAGACGTCGGCAGGCAGGCGAGCGAAATTTATTGGGGTAAAAGGCGAAAGGGAAAGCGCTTGTAAGGATGTAAGAAGAATCGGGCTACCTCCGAGTACACTGGCTTGATAATTGGTCGACCATGATGCAAAACTGGTATGGAATGAATGGATGGCGATTACGAGAGATGATCACTTGTGCGTCGATGTAGTAGTCGTCATTATTTAACCCACTGCGCTGATCATTAGCACTCTCTCTTGTGGGGAAAGGTTAATTATTGCGCGAGCGAGTCAGTTCCCACAAGTGCAGTGCTCGATGGAAAGAAGGAACGAACGAACGAACTCACGCCGCTCCACTGGTTCGGGACCAAGATGATGGAATTCAGTTGGCCAACAGTAGTATTTTTGTTGGGCAGACATCATCGTTCAGCTCAAGGAGCCATTATTCGATCACTTGTCTCTTTATGGAGCACCCCACCCGATAACACTCCGTAGTTTCCTCGTAAGCTCCCGATGAGATTAGAAGGCGTTTATTTGGACTAAACGCCATTAGAATAATGAGTTCTACTCCCGTTGTCCATCCAGTTGGGATCATGCGCGGCGTGTTGGGCATTTTATGGTGAACCTCTCTCGCAGCGTCGCTTGTTCGCTCACTTTCTCTCTCTCTCTCGCGTTCTCGCGCTGATGAGTAGACCGAAGCAGCATAAAATAATCCCCAGCAGGAAATGGTCACCAGCTGTACCCAAATCAGCCAGCAGCAGGCTCGACGCTTGCTTTGACATACTCATGACTTCAGAGAGAGAGAGAGAGAGAGTCTAACTGCGAAGAACGGGTTTGAGGATAATGTTGGTGGCTAATTGCATGGTTCAGAATTCAATGATTGATGTGGTTCGAGTGTTTACACTAGTTCCAAAGGCTCCCCATATCATACCTTGAAAGGTGGTCCCGGCGGGCTAGCGAGCGAGTGAGCGAGCGTTTTTCGTATCAAGCTGTTGGGAACATGACCCATGACGGAAACGATCAGTTTCGTAAGTAAGCGGGATTGATTCGAGATATATCATGAAGACCATGAAATACAGTTGTGACTTGATGCCTTCACCAGAAGGAAGCAAGGAAGGAAGGAAGGAACGAGCGAACGAATGAAGTCAATCGTTTGCATCATCTGGTCACAGTAGAGAGGCTGAGTTTCTGGAACAGCAACAGGAAGAGGAGGAGGGAGCGGGAGGAGTTAAGAACCTACTGATCGACTGCTGTAACACTAGCACTCGCACATGAGCGACTAAAGTATTGCAATCCGTGCCCAGTATGGAGGTGTGTTATTCCTCTAAATTTAGGAGAATAAACGCAGCGCAGTGAAGATTACTGATTAAAGCGAGTCGCGAATTTTCCTCCCCGGAATCCTTCAGCTCCCCAGTCAGCGACCAGGTCGACTCGTTGATCTGCAATTAATTAATTGCGCAAATACGAGGCATTGAGCTCTGCGTTCCGGCTTATAATAGCAATATGTGCATCGACATGATCGAAAGGCTGGTTCCATCCGCGATTTGATCTCTGGGGCTTCCGCTAGCAGCTCGAAGAGATTTGTTTTTGGTCGAGAGCAGTGGTTGCATGCAGTAATCATACCAGCGAACAGGACATGTATGTCGATTCAGCCACAGGTAGGAAGTTACCGTAGCTCTATTTGCCTCGCCCACTTGTCCTCGGGCAATCATGGCACGTGAGAGCGGAGAAGGATCGACGGATTGTGAGGTTTGACACGTGATGGATATGCACCTCGGGTCGTCGATGCGGCATCGCCCTGACAGGTTTCTAGAATATGATGTCAATGCAAGTTCGCTTCCACTACTGTTTATAGATTCTGTAGCTCGAATTAATACGTCCAAGTCAATTCCTCCTCGCCCTCCTCGCTCGCTCGCTCGCTCGCGATTAGAAGAACGAGTCCAAGTTGTCGCGCATAATTTCACAGCGATGACGACGAGGACGACGACGACGCTCGCTGCGGTCTGCGCCTCGAGGGCAAGCAACGAAACGCCGCTACTTTGGCGGGCGGGTTGGCAGGCACTCACTCCGCGAGTCGGTTGCGCTTTTCAGAGAAGATCGGGGGCGGGCGGTTCGCCATCCGGGTGCCCCAAATATAGAGCGGGCGCAGTTATGACTCCGTTGCAGCACGCCGCCGTTATTTAGCGGAACGGAGACGGGCGCGACGCGAAAGAAAAGTCTTTTGTCAGTTACGGTTCCCGTCCCGTCCCGTCTGCCTACCTGCCCGCGCACCCGCCCGCCCGCCCGCCCGCCTGCTCAGAAGTTACGCTGTAGGATGGACGGATCGCAACGGCGTGATGAGTTTATTTACTGTGGTCCTGGTGGACGGGCCGTCCCGGATTTTGAGACAGGCGCATGTGGTTTCTTTCAACGCCCGCTGCAACTGGCGGCGTTTAACAGTACGAGGGGGGAGGGGAAGCGAGCGAGTGAGTAGCTGGGGTGGCAACGGAAGGGCCTGCCGCGACGCGAAGCCCCGCTCGTGATTCCGCCAACGGCCGAGCCAGCCAGCGAGCCAGCGAGAAAGAAAGAAAGAAAGAAAGGAAAGAAGGAATCAATGGAGGCGCCGGACGGACCGCAGTGCGGACGAGGGGGCTATGTCAACCCCATGTCGGCTTCATCATCGGGTTCTTCTGCGCTAACGAGAGCCGACGGACGAGTCGTAAGCTCTGGTCTGCGGGGCTGGGGCAAAAGAACGGAGCCCCTGCCCTGTCCGCATGTGCGACGGGGCTGGACGGGACGGGACGGGACGGGACGGACAGCAGGTTTGCGGGGCACAAGGCAGTCGCGAACGGACTGACATCACCGGAAACCACGAAATACGTGACCACCACCAGCCGAGGGGGGTTGCGAGAGGGGTGTGGGGTGCCGTTGGGGGCCGACGCGAGTCAACATTAGCGTGAGAGGGTTTGAATTCCGAGATCTGCGTCAGACACAAAGAAATTGCCGGGGCTGCGGGTTCGAGCGAGCGCTAGTGCCTCTGCCCCCCAGCTGCCCCTCATAGCTGAGCTGAACTGAACTGAGCTGCCCCTGAGCTGAGCTGAGGTTCGACTCACTGAGCTGAACAGCGAGCGAGCAGAGAGAGAGAGAGATGTGGAAGTCTGTCTGTCTGTCTGGGACTGTCTGTGTCTGGCGGTCTTGAGTCCCCCATTCCCCACCCTTGAACCTCTCACTCTCACTATCACTCTGGAGTCTGTAGTACTGGACTCTGTGGGTTCTGAAAACCCTTCTCGTGATGGCCGTACCCTCTCCGCGGACAGTCGTAACAGTAGCGGCAAACGCCAAGTGGTCATGAAGCAGAAGCAGCAGAAGCAGCAGCTGCAGCAGCTGCTGCTGGTGCTGCTGCTGTATGGGGTGCGAGGAAATGCGCTGTCTATGACGAGGGTCTGAGAATTTCTATGCAAGAAATTATCAAATCATGTGAAGGACAGGGAGAGATTCTGAGAGGAGAGGCAAGGGAGGAGTAAACGACAGTCTTGCTCGCTCGCCCCCAACCCTAAACGTATTCATGCTCATCTTGCTCCTTCTGCTCCTTCTGCTCGTGCTGACATCTCGCCTGCGAGGGCAATGATCATGGGAGTTCGCTGACCTCCTTCGCATGCTCTCCAGTCGGCCGAGATGGCCCAGGGCCGTAAAAAGTAAATAGTAATACGAAAAGAAAAGAATGCTGCGCACTCTTGTGCGACGCAGCCGGCGATTGTGTCATCAGGTGCGAGAAGATGTAGTAGTAAGTAACTCATTGCATGCCGAGTAGTCGATGTGTTAAAACTCCTCGAAATCCCAACAACGACCTACAGCAACTGTTGCCATAAACAGAGATACCCACCCGCCACATGCACGACATTGATCAATTTCGCTCCCCCTTGTCGCGCTGCCAAAATCTCACCGGCTCTGTACTCTCATAACCTCTTCGGTTCGGAATCCCAGCAACAAAACTGTGGCCAGGAGGGGGGGGGGCCTTCCAACGAACAGTGTCGACTTCGAGCGTTAAACAGAACAATGCTCTCGGACGAATCTCTCGTCGCTGTTGCCAAACGTGACAGCGCTCCGAGTGTTCGCAACAACTCCCTGATTTGGAGCAAAATCCCACATGCCAACGTAGAGCACCCCCACACTGTGCCAGCTGAAATTGCGTTGTCTTCGACACATGCAACGCAGCAGGCGAGGCGAGATTCAGTCCCAGGGCGAGCTGTCGTCCTGGTGAAATCGTCCATATCTAACTCGGAGACGCGGCAGGAGTCCCTCCCCTCCCTCGCCGCGCTCAAAATCATCAAAGTTTTCAGAATTAAAGTGAGCCTGGCGGCATGAGCTACGTCACCGAGTCGACGACGAATCTGATTCTCGACCATTCAGACAGACTAGGCACGAAACACTGTCATTCATTCAATCATACATTCACACAATCCGAGTGGAGTCCACGTGATTCACTTTGCGAAGAAGAGGTGACAGAAATGTGTCGATGGCAAACAATTAAGATGTGGGGCTGAAAAGAATTTTCATGTACAGAGAATGCCATACATCAAGAGGTGCGCGTCTGATGGTATGGTCATAACAAAATGTCCCTCGAACTAAAACTAAAGAACACTTTTATAAACATGTGTCCATTACAAAACTACAAGAACTACGCGTAAACGTGTGAATGAAACATCTCCGCTGTATAATGGTCTTGACCATGACGATTGCCGCCACCATATATGCCTGAACCGATATGTACCCTGACTGATCTGACATTTGGGTATGACCATTGTCTCCTAAAAGTAACCTTTCATCTAAGAAACAGTTGTGTAAGTAATTTTTTCATATCCTGCGCTACTGTGAGTGGTACTACAATCTACGTGCGAATCGCCCCTTCTGCCCGATGTGACGGTGCCAACGGAGATTCTCGAGGTGATCGTGCATCATGACATGTAAACTTGCACACTGGCATTTTTCGGCGATTGGCACAGCGGGCAGGTGGTGGATCGTCCCTCGCAATCTTTGCACAGGCAAAGATGTCGGCACGGTAGGAGGAGGATGGAAACGTCGTTGCAGCGGCACACTCTGCAAGTTCTCTGTTCCTTGAGCTCCTTATTCTCTCTGAATGCCCGAGCTTGGGCGTCGGCCAAATCGTCGTGGTGCGAGGACGCAGCGTCGTCCGCTTCGCTGTCCCCGCATCCTTCCTTGCTCTGTTCCCTGCTCAGTTGCACAGCCTGCTGAGCTTGTTGCAGGTTGCTTCTCAATGCGAGTACCTGTGCCTCGCTGGACTTCAACTTGTTCTGCCATAGATGTAGCTCCAGATTGAGCTTCCTCGCGTGCTCTTCGAGCTCCATATTCCTGCGTTTGCACTTCTCCACCTCTAAATCCTTCTCCCTAAGCCTCCTAGACACTCCTTCCTCGATTGCTGCGATCAGCGCTCTCGAGTGGCGGACCCGTTTCTCTTCGAGAAGCTGTCTCGCCTGCTCGTTCTGCGGGAATTTAACGACGACATTATGATCAGAACGAAGGCAATCACCTTGAGAAATATTAACAACACATTCCACGCGAGCTAAAACGTAGCCTGACACCCAAAAATTAAAATATCGCGGACGTCGACACAATCTTCGAGAAGACAAAGTCGGGACGTACCTGAGTCTTGAAAAACTGGTCGATTTCCTCCTTCTGCTGGACCAATTGAGAGCTCAATTCCTCGCCCACGACGGAGTACAGCGAAGAAGTGACTTCGCCCCTCCCGCTCGTGGAAGGCGATGAGGCGGAATTCAGCCGGTCATCTTCGAAGGTGAGGCGGAGACCGGTGGAGACGGAATTCGACTGAGGAAGAACCACGGCCCCAGATCCGTGACTTTGATGGAAATCTGGCACGGCCATCAATTGGTGCCTGGAATTGGACAGTAGCTCATCCGTCTCGCGTGGCCTTTTCCTGGACCCGATGAGGTTGCAGGCGAGCTCATTGTCGGCTTCTGAGTACATGGAAGCATTGATCGTCGCCTGGTGCCCATGATTGGGAACTACCACTGCAAATTCCGGGCAGAAATACTGTCAGTACAGGAATTCAAGAGCTTCGAGAGATTCACACGATCACGATCATGCTAATAATGTAGTGGTTCAATGCAAGCCAGAAACACGGAAGAGATTCATTGCTAAGACGCTGGATTCATCGTGAGCTGGGGTTTAAGCGCTGGCACGGGAAGGGACAGTGATCAGATTGAATTCTTCCAATCCCGTGCCGCACAACTCGATCACAACATCACAAGGTCCAAACTGAATTCCAAACCGAAAGAGCTGGACGGATGAAGTGATTACATGGATTGAAGAGCCGCAATTGGCTCGTCGGCGCATTCGAGGAATTCTGCAGATGGAAGTCATCCACAAATGAATTCGGTTGGAACGAGCTAGGTGCTAAGAAGTTCCGGTTTTCACCTCCAAAAATCGGCCGCGCCCTGTTTATACATTCAACGACTTCTAGATTAGTAACACCGCTGAAGCTAATGTCCGGACCATAAACATTTCCATGATCTTGCGAGAGAGAACCACAGAACCTGCTCAAGAAATTTCTCATGGCCCTCGAATCACTTCTCTAAACGAACTCGGAAATTTACTAACGCTGCTGCGACTCGGGACAGCCCAAAGAACAGTCACTTGAAATCTCTAGCAAGACCCAAATCCTGTCGCTGCCAGCTGCTGCACTGCCAACTGGGCCGCCTAGTATTATGTCACAGTGCCCGCCGCGACCATCACAGCGAATGTCAAACAGAAGAGATGAGATGAAGGACCTGTTGCGGAACTCGGGTACGAGCACATTCGAGGGGTATTGAGCTTGCACGGCCATCTCTTCGTGAGATATTCTTGAAACTCCTGATAATTCCTGTATCCCTATGGTCACTTCTTTGCGTGCCCGCTCCTTCCTGCTTTCCCTGTGAGCTATCGTACCGTCCGTTACGAATTGCGCTAAAAACCCGAGACCTCGCGTCTCCTCTACAGCTAGAGCCCAAGTCCAAGCGGCGCCTCGCGGGGAGCAGTGCGCAGCGATTCTAATTCTTTCGCATCAGCGAGCCACAATCGCAGGCGATCGAAGAGCTGTCGAGGCGTTCCACTCCAGCATTCGCAAGAATTCAACATAAAATGCTATCCTACTGCCCAAAGACCAGCTGCGAATCCTCGGAGCCAACAATTCCCCCCGCAAAGAAGCTGCCAGTCGCGAGGCAAGAACCTCCCGCGACTCAAGCCCGGCGCAATTCTCGACAGGCGGATTGCACGAAGCGTGCTTGTGCAGAACCAAGAAAAACGCGCACCGGCGGACTGACGGACGGATGCTGCTGGGCAACAAGAAGGCAAGAATACCGAGGTAGTGCGTAATTTCAATTCAGCTCACGTTCAAGAACGAGCTGCTGTAACGCGCTCGCGGGACGACGAGAGCATCGACAGACGCACGGGAGCAGGAGTGATCGAGGATTGGAGGAGATTGTGAGACAGCACAATGGTGCGACGAGTGTGAGGAGGAGCAGCAGCAGAAGAAGTAAAGACGAAACCAAGAGGCACTCTGGTGTGGTCGGGCGGTCACGTCAGTCGGTCAATCGATCAGAGATGAGATGAGATGCGAGTGTTGCAGTAGTGGAAGAAGAAGAAGAAGAGGTGGGACGAGAGAGAGACTGAGAGAGACAGATGCGTGATGGCGAGCGGCGGGGCGAGAGGTAGAGGAGGAGGAGGAGGAGGAGAAGGAGAGAGCGGAGGTGAGTTAATAGAGCATTCTTCGACTCGGGACGTTTCTCTGTGCAGGCTATCTAGTCGGGGTGCTGGAAATTCACGAGTATTGTCAGACAGAACGACAGACAGACAGACATCCGGCTGGTAGTTCTCTTCTGCTTCAACTTCTTCTCTTGTTCAGCTTCTTCTGCAGCTTCTTCACTTGAAGGAGAGTAAGGAGCAGAGTAAGGAAGGGGAAGGAAGGAAGGAAGGAAAGCAGCAGAGCAGTGGCGCAAGGGGGGGACGATGATGGATGGGATGGATGGGGCTGTCTGCTGCTGCCTGCCCGGCTGCCGGGGGAGGGAGGCAAAGCGGGGGATGAGATGAGATGGGATGGGGCTGGGGCGGGGCTGGGCTAGGCTGGGCTGGGTCGTGGGCGTGGGGGTGGGCGTGGGAGTGGGCCGGGTATAGAAAGAAAAAGACGAAGAAGGTCACAAGGCAAGGCAAGGAAAGCGGGTCACGCCAGGCGAGGAAGGCGCTAGTAGACAGAAGACAGAGGGCCAAGTGTTGACGGACGGATTCCACCACTACGCTCAGAGCACAACTGTTTTTGATTGTATGCCGAGCAGCAGCAGCAGCAGCAGCAGCGGCAGCCGAGCGGAACAAGTTATGCACATACATACGCTCTCCACTGCAGCCCCATCGCATCCCATCCGGTCCCGTCCTGTATTCTCTCTGCATGCCTTGCCTTTACCACGGCCCCCAGCCCCAGCCCCACCCCCAGCCCCCTTCCTTCCTTCCTCTCCTCTCCTCTCCCCTCCCCCTTCCCCCACACCTCACCTCACCTCACCTCACCTTTCTGTCGCAAATCTCTGCCCCACTAGTCCTACGGAGTTGGTGATGGCAGTAGGCGCTTACCGCGCTCATCGGTACCACCACACCTCACCACACTCCCCGACGCAGTGCGCCCTCTTCCCCGCACACACGCACGTCGTGCTGTGGCCCCGTCCTCCCTCGCTCGCTCCCTCTGTCCTTGTACCTTCTGTCTGTCTCTCTCTCTCTCTCTCTCTTCTCTTCTCTTCTCTTCCGGTCGCACTTCCTTCCTTCCGCTGCTGCTACATGACGCCCATGCCTCGCTCGGGGCCTCGATTGCTGCTTTCCGGTGCCCCACGCTGCGTCCGCTGCCAACGCGAAATCGGCAGAATTTCAAGTGCCCACGCCAAAATCAATTCGAGCTGACCCCGCGACTAAATTTAATCCGCCTCGCAGTTACAGCCCCAAGCCCTCTCTCGCTCTCTCGCTTTCTCAATCGGTCGCTCCATCGGTCGTCTTCGCCATTGTCGTCGACGTCGTCGTCGCCTTCTCCGTTCGCGTTCTGGGGGCTCTGGATTTTGCAGCACAAGATCCTTCTTGCGAGGGAGGAGGACCGGGCGGAGAAGAAGAGGCGGGAGACGGATGGAGCCGACGACTGTTTCTTGAGCGTTCCCTCGAAGATGCGTTCCATCCGTCGCCCGGGCAGTTGCCGCTCGGGCAGGATCGGGCAGCCCGGGCAGGGCAGGGCTGAACCGATCTTGAACGGGTGCGCGAGGCACTCTCCCACTCGGATCGACCGTGGGGGCAATTCTTATTCCCCCACCAATTCAAATAATGACCGGCCCCGCATTCGGCGCCAAGTTGGCGCCAAGGCTCGTCTCGGCTCGGCTCTGCTCGGGTCGGGTCGGGTCGTTTACGGCGTATAGGCACGCGCGACGCAGTCCCGCGTGCTACCCGCTGGCTGGCGTAGTTCGGCCCACAATTACGGCGTTGACGAGTAAATACCGACCGACCCCATCGGCATACTCGGTCCGTCCTGGGTACGGGCGCGCGAACGATAATTTCTCAAGCCCATCACATGATAACCGCCACGCGTCCACCCACGCGCCTCGCTACTCTGCTGCTGCTACCTCGGCTACATGTAGCTAGGAAACAGCGGAAGCAGGCCTCGGTTACGTCGTCTACGAATGAGGACAGCCCACACTCTTTGATCCCTTGCTACTTTAGCTAGCTGCGGACAACGGCACCAGCCCCTCAATTTCGGCGTTTCCGCCTGGCGCTAGACGGATAGGTTGAGTCGATGGGGGGAGTCGTAGCCCCGAGGGGCTAGTCATGCAGACAGGCCCTCAAGAAGGGCCTGATTTGACCAGACCTGACTGGACCTGGAGAAAGGCACGGCACCAGGGCAAAAGCCGATGACGTCGACCGGGCCCCACGCCGCCGAGCCACGTGGATCCTCAAAGAAGGAAGCGCAAAGGGCAGCCGGGGCGGGGTAAGGCGGGGCAGGGCAGGGCAGGACAGGGAGAGGAGTGGCTGCGAGGGGCAGCGTGGGAGGGGCGTGGGCAGGATGGCAGGCAAGGGTCGCCAACTAGACCTACCCTACAATTAGTCGGCCCTGTTCTGCGAGAGCTAATCCACGATTAATCAATGGCACATTTCGGGGTAAGACGGACTTAAGCACGGGAGCGTGAGGATTCGTGGGCCCCACCCGCGAAATAGAACCCCCGCGCGGATTCCGCTGGGAGCTGGCCCCGACGCGTGGAGAGCAGGAGCCGTAGCCGAGAGGGTTGTCTGGTCCTTGTCAAGGGCAGCCCAAGGCTCGGACTCCTCTCTTTAAGAGAATCGTTCTGACGCTTTTTCCCCTTCAACAGTATTTTAATGGCCTTGTCTTTTCCCGTCCCTCCCGTCCTCCCCTCCGTCCGCATCTATTCTCTTCTCCCCCCGTTCACCGGCCCTGCCGAGCTCCCCCGGTCGTGCCTCCGGTGGCGTCGTCGCTAACGGAGGAGGAGGTGCCGGTGGGTGCCAGTTGTTGTTAGTGCTAGTAGTCGCAGTCGGGGCTTGGGCTTGGGCTTGGGCCTGGGGCGGGGGTTAGCGGAGGGGACTCTCTCTCTCTCTCTGGTCTGGTCGCTGCCTGCGTCTCATCTCTGCGGGGCTCGCTGCTACTGCAAGGCTATGGCGGATGATGCATGGATCGTTGCACGACCAGACAAGATCGACGAGCACAAAGAGCAGCAGCAGCAGCTGCTGCTCTGTTGGGTGCTGCAGCTGGCCAGAAGCAGAAGCAGAAGGATCGGCAGCAGCAGCAGAGAGGGAGGGATCGAGCGAGCGAGCTACAGGGGGAGAGCAGGAAAAAGATGGACCTGCGCTGAGCCCAAGAGAGCCCAACCGCTTCGCCTCGCCTCACCTCACATCACATCACCTCCGTCCATGGCTCCCTCTAACTCATTCGGAGGGAAAGGCCGCGACTGTGCCAGAGCGAGCCGATGACAAAGAACAAACAACAAATAACATTTAATAAAAGGTGATGGCGATGGGGGAGGGGGATGGCGGATGGGACTTTGGTGGGAGAGAGGGACGACGAACTCGACGATGCGATGCGATGGGAGGAGATGCGGGGCGAGGGGGGAGGACAGGAAATCGGGGATTTTTATTTGACGCCGGATATTTTAAAGGGGGGGGGGGGCTGTGCGCAGCGTGGCACATTTTGTCGCAATCAATAGTTTATGAGAGTGTGGCCGAGACTCGCGGTCATACATTTGATCCATGGCGCACTGCGCTGGTACAATGTCTCTCGTGACAAACATATTCTGAGAGATATGGCCAGGACAACGACGTGGACTCATGAACCACTATAACTGAACATAGCCTGCAAACGTAAGTAATCACCTACCTACCTTGGGGCCATTTTGTTTCACAGTTATGCCCGTGGCCGTGGAGGGCCTGTGATGAGTAACTTGCTGCGCCAGAAGATCGTAGAAAACAGATGCAAACAGTACCGCACTCGCGCATCCCAGAATCCCAAGCCAAATGAGATCCGCATGCGATCTCGCTCGAAATAGTAAAATTCGACCTCTGCCTGCTGGTTCGGCCCATCGCCTGCCTTCTTCGATTTCTCGCTCTCTCGGGATCCATTTGTGTCTGTCTCGTCGCCCCCGCCCGCCCGCCATGACGTCCTTCGGGCGGGCGGTGACTGAATTCCGATCCGGCCACAGTGGCAGGCAGGCTATGGCCGTAATGCCGCAATAATAAAACCGTATGCTCCAGGGCACCGCAAACCGCAATTGCGCTCCACTTGTCTATCATGGGTTCTCACATTAATCAGCCCTGGCCTCGCATTTTGTGGACATAGGATCCTCCAAATTCTCCCGATCGAGGAGGAGGAGGAGGACGAGGCGAGGGGAAGTCGGGGGAGGGGAGGGGAGGGGAGGGGGGGGGGCAAAGATATTTCGGTTCGGCAAGTTCTTACGAAACTTCAAAGAATCCGAACTCACTCCAGCCACAAAACATGCTTTCGTTGTCGTTCAAAGTCACCCAAGAGTGTGTGAGTTGGATTCACCATAAAAAGAATCATTGCACAACATTTTAAGCCATGACTCATGAGCATTTAAGGATCCAGGCTCCATAGCTATAGTTCTCCCCCCCCCCCGGCACTGTTTCCAATGTTCTTGTTGTTCATGACTTGTGACTTCCCTTCCCTTCCCTTCCCCTCCCCTCCCCTCCCCTCCCTACCCTGACTTGTGTGGGCCTACCTTGGGCTTATGCGTGTGGATATATCTTGTCTTTGCTTCTGCTCTCCTCCCCATTTGTGTCTTTTATTCCCTTTCCCCAGTTTTTATTGCTGTTGCACGAGACTGGAGCACTTTATGGAGAAACAGTCAATTGATCATTCTTACAACTCTTCATCAGTCCAGTCCAGTCCAGTCCCATCCAGTCCAGTCCTCTACTCTACTCTACTCTACTCTACTCCTCCACTCTATTGCCCAGCTCTACTCCACTCTACTCTACTCTATTCTACTCTACTCTACGACTGTCAGGTTTTGTTCGGTGTTCAGTTGCTTCAGTACTCCATTTTCTCTGGCACTTATGAGAATCGCCTTATGATGTAGCTCACACTGCGTTCCGATCATAATAATACGAAATCAATTATATAAACGTGTCAATGATGAGAATCTGCAAAGGCTAATGCACCATGCTCTTCGGTCTCATCCTCCTCCGACGACGACGACGACGACGACGTTGTTTTCTTGCAAGAAATGGCTCTGGCATTGACTGTTTGTTTGCTTCGGAGGCGGCTGTGCTGGTGCTGGTGCTGGTGCTCTGATAATTATTTCGTCTCCCGAATCATTCTTCAAGTAATTTGTCAATGCCAGTTCATGATGGACTCGCCTTTGCCTTCTTGAAAGCCCAGTGCTCGCAGGTTGGGTGGCATACGACCTTTGGCAGCTCGATTTTCTATTCAAAGCTCGGCCTGCGTGTTTTAATTCTCTCGTTCCGACACTTACTCGTGGACTTTAAGGGTCACACTCTAATCCTGACCTTCAGTGTCTAACGCATGATTCTCTTCGTGAGCTCGTACGTTTTTGCCTTCAAGCTTGAGTCCAAGCCTTCACTCCATCCAGACCATGCTTTCACCAAGACACTCTCTTAACGGTACACTTCTCTGAATTATTGTTCTCTCTCCACGGTAGAACCTTCTGCATGATCCTCTTCATATATTCTGATTCTTTTTTGCACATTTTCAAAAGAAAATATCTCACTTTTCTTAGATTTACATTTCTTCATTTGTCACGTGTGTGATCGATCACATGGAGGTTTCTTGTAATTTGCGTTTACACTATCTAAAGAAGTTAATTGTTACTATGTGTATAATTCAGATGGAAATCACTCATCTTACGTTAAAATTTGAAGAGTTACTTACAAATTAAAGAAAAATTTTGCAAAATTTGAACATACGTTTTTTTTCATAATTCAAGTAAATGATAAGAAAGCATTTGATTAATGTGTTGAGTAAAGATAAATAGGCTGAATTTAGCAATTTGACGCGTGTGATCTACATCAATATATTTCAAACACGCTAAATTCAAACTGAATCAAGATCATAAATCCAGATTTTTAAGCATATATATTTTTATTTATGAATTCAAATGAGGAAAACTATGAATTTAATCAAAAGAATTTTAAAATTCAGAATAATCACACATCATCCAAATTTCAAAATTCAAGTTCAATATTAAATTTTCAATATATCTAAATTTTTCATATTATATATATATTTTTTATATATTTTTAAGGATAAATATCTCTGGAAGTATATAACTGATTGAAAATATAGAAAGATTGTGTTTTTCAATGAAAAATTAAAATTCTCATATTTCATAATGATATTTTTTATAATTGCATCAAGACATATAGAACAAATCTTCACATTTCAAGAAAAATGTTAAGAAATTCCTAAAAATTTTTGTGGATACATTTTTGCATATGCTTCTATAATATTTTATTTAGTTTTAATAAGCTTTCAAATGCAAGAAACAAATATTCTTTATTGCACTTGACAGCAACAAAGACACTCTTCAATGGCATAGACCCATTGAATAACAAATCTAACAAACGTATAGTTCCTATATACAATATAATATTTAATCTAAATAAAATATATCAAATCATTTTAGAAAAAAAATTTCAACAAATTTCAAAATTACGCAAATAAGTATTTATATTTACAATAATTAACAAAAAAATATTTCAATATTTAAAAATTGTTTTAAATAAGGTTTTTTCAAAACCAAATATTATCCAATCAATTTAATTCATGATTTAAATATTATGAAAATTTCTTTTCTTTGATAGTATTTTAAATAATTTATCAGTTTTGAAATATGTTTGATTAAAAAAATGAAATTTTCTTCCAAGATTTTATAATGTGAAAAAAAGTACTTAATCGGATTAACTTTCAATTATTGCTAATATTAGAATGAAGAGACTAAAATATAAAAGAAAAAAAGTAAGTAAAGTAGACTAAAAATGAAAATATTGTTTTGAAGCTAGTGCAAGTCATTCGGAGCTACTTTGAAAATCTTTCAAAGATTCAAAGCTGTGCAGAAGAAAATCAAAAATTAAAAACACCTATTAAATTGTTTTTTCATTTAACAACCTTGAATATGCATTGGTGCAAAATAAAAATAAAAATTTCATTAAGATAGAAATGTGTTTAAAAACTTTCATATTTATTCTTTCATTTATACAGAGGACAAACATGCATGCAAATTGTATTATGATAAACAGTACATAAAAAGTCAATTCAATAATGAAATTTAGTACAAAGTAACATTTAAATCAATTATGATTCATCATTTCAGGATGAAACATTATTTTACTCTCATTTGTATATATATAATAATGAAAAACTTACATATTTTATGCAAATAATAAAAATGTAAGAAAAAATATCACATATTTTTAATCTTTCGTTTGTATCTAATTATCATTAATTTTGAAAATAAACATGAAATTTTAAAATGGAAAATATAATAAATTTTCATACTTATTTATACATTTTTATTGTAACAAATAATTTTTTATTCAAAAATTTAATATAAATTAAAAAATAAGATTTAAATTTGGATTGAACTCAAGAATAATTAAGCTAATGATTTTTTAAGTACTAAAAATACTAATGTATTTTTTAAGAATTTAAATCAAATTTAAAAATATTTCATTTTTTGATTGTATAATAAAATTTTAAATATAAATTCAACTAGTGATCATTTCTTCAAAATTTCAAAATAAAATAAAATAAAATTAAAATTACTTGAATACTGCTTGCATAGTTTCTCTCAATTTCAATTTGTACTTATAACTAGCAAGCAAATATAAGAAAAAAAGTTGTAATGTGATATACAAGAAATACTTTTTACATAATGAATAGATATTTCAATCACTTATAAACGTATTAGCATTTTTTTTTTTTTATCTATGAAGTATGATATTTCATGTAGATATTTTCTATTCTATTTGAAAAAAAAATTAATTAAAAATAAATATATTATGTTTGATGTCATACAGTTTAAAAAATACAATAATGCATTAAATCTAAAATAATAAAGTATCAATTTTATCACATTTAAAATTTAAAATTTTTTATGTGCTTTATTTTGATACTTTTAAATATATTATGTTCAAAATAGACATTAGATTTTGTTTATTTAAAAATGAATTATAAATTTTTGGAAATTTGAAAAACAGTATGAAAGTTTTTTAAAAATTTTGAATTCTATTTATTTTTAATTTTCACTAATTTTGTCAAAAAATAAACGAATTGGATATAAAAATAGGCTTAATTATGAAGTATTTCATATTGTACATTGACCTTATAAATTACAAAATTTTGAAATATTTTTATTGAAATTTCTCATTATAACCAAAAAAATTGTATTTTTATTTTATGAATTTAAATATAATTTTTATTTAAAATTATATTTCTTATGAATAATTATGAAACATCTCGTTATTAATAATATTATGTGAAATTTTCTTTAATTTTTCTAAGTTATTATAATCAGGTTAGTATATATATTATGTTTTTTTGAATTTTTGAATTTAATCAAGAAAAACAAAATATTTCATTTTAAACTTACCAAAATATTTTATTAATTTCATTTATTTTAATTTTGTTTCTTGAGTTGTGTAAATTTTGCAATAGTTTATTTGCTACCATATAATAATTTGTATCACAATTATAAAAGTTATGGGCTTGTGAATGATAGGTTCAAGCACAATAAACAAACTAACATGGGCAACGTCGTATGTTTTAAACAAAATCAAACATTTAATGAAAGTCGTCATTTGGAGTTCAACGGATGTGAAAAAAAACATCTTTTTCCCCACACTACCGATCGACGTGTTTGTCTTCTCATGAGTTTTTAAGCAGCGAGATTCAAAGTTTTTACATTACAAGTGTACACGAACGTTAAAAAACTTTTGTGATTATTTTTTCTCATCATTAAATTATTGTGCTACCTGGTTATATTCTTCCAAGTGAAATCATAGAAACATCATTTGATACTAATGAGATTTTACATGCAATAAGAAAAACATCTGCAAATTTAAATTCTAAGGATACATAAGTATTGATAAGATTTGATAAGAGATCAAGATCAACAAAAAATTCTAAATTATCTCACAAATTTTTGTCATTCAATTAATTTAAATTATGTTTGTTCATAGTCATTGAATACAAATGACATATGAAAATACAAAAAATGTTGATAAATTTTTTAACCAACAACAACGCAACTTAACCTAAAAATGGTTGATGGCTAAATGTTTTAATTTAACAATTGATGAATAATACATAATGTCAAATATTTAATTTGAAAATTTTATCATGTATTACCAGTGATGGAGCTAGGTTTTTTCTGGTGCGGATCTTGGCCAATTTCTGTAACATAGACTTTGAAAATTTTTTTGGCATTAAAATGGCTAATTGTGATATTAGACAATGTTAAAACTAAATTTCTTAGTAATCATGAGAAAAAATTCTAACTCTAAAAATCCTAAAACTAAATTATATGAATTGATTTAACTCAAGACATTGAGTGTTGAGTGTCAACATATTCTCAATGATATGGTGGATGATTTTTTTTTGTGCTAATATTTTATAAATATTTATTTAATAATGTTAAAATTGATTGAAAAGTTAATCATAATTTCTTCTATTAATTTTTATCATCAATGGAAAATATAATTTTGAAAAAATTTAATATGAATAATATTTTTTCAATTTCAAAAATTAGGAAGCATTAATATTTAAATATTTTTAAATTTATGCATTAAAATAATTTCAAAAAATATCAAAAGATCATAAATTGGATTTGATACAATTTTTGTAAATTTGAGTTAATTATCATATTTTTTGATGATCAAGATATTTAATTTTTGAATGATGATGACAATACATCAATGTGAAAAATAATAATCTATAATTTATTTAAATAATCAGGTCTTTAGTATTAAATTTTAGTGAAATATTGTTAAAAAAATATGCATTTTTATATTGATGAAAAGATTTGAAAATTTATGATAAATTTGTTATATAAATTAAAATAAACTGAATATAAATCTTATGAATTCACAAAGCTGAATTTTTTTTCTATATGTGTAAATATGTTAAAAATTAATAAAGGAAATTTGGAATTTCTGTTTGATCAGTGTATCTAATTTTTATTATATTTCTTTTTTGAAGCAAATTCAAGTTAATGAATGGAAAAAATTTGACTAGATCTTAAATGTGCATTCAAGTTTGATGATTTCAATGGTTTTAATAGCATGGTGAGATGAGATGCATCTTCCAATATAAACACGTTTTGTAAACAGAGAGCAGAAAACATTTATCAAGACTGCAGTGGCAGGGTGAGATGAGGCGGTGCGAAGAATTGCTTATTTTTAATTCAAGTTCTCTCGCCTTACTATTTCCATTCAAGGTTGGATGGCTGTACAATTTTGTAGTAGCGGCACCCAACGTGATCATATGAAGAAGAAATACTATGTATAATCGATGCAAGTACATTATATATGTTTTGTTTGATAAATTGATCATGTAAACTTCTAAATATTATGGATTTATTTGACAATATATTGCAATATTTTTACAGCTAAATTTTTGTGTAATATTATTAATAAAGTAATTATGTGATTTTTTTATGACAATAGAGCAAAATTTGCATGTACTTGATAATTTGAAATAGACAGAATATTATTTTATCTACGGACACGATGAGGATATACATTGTCAAATACATGATATGTGAAAAAAAAATATGATGAATAAATTTTATTCAAACAAAATTAGTTCTATGATCCTTTGTTTGTTGATTTATTTTAGAGAGTAACATCTTTGTCTAATAAAAAATATATTTACTTTGAATGGATATGAGAGGAAAAATCTAAAAAATGAGTTGATTTTTATGTTTAAAATCGGTTGAATTACTAAAAAAATAAATTTTCTAAAATGCATAGTTTAGCCAACTTCAAAGAATATGAATGTGTGCGGTTATAAAATATAACAAATTATGTTATTTGGTTGAATAGATTTATCATTGAGATTTGATGTTGGCATTCTTCAACATGTGTATACAAAAATTATGTTATTTTTTTTAAACAATATAAATAGAAAATATATTAAAATTAAAGTTTTGCACAAGCAGCATTCATTAGCATTAGCATGATATATATTATTATATTTTCTGTTTTGCTAGAATTTGATTCTTTTACTTACAAAAAATATTATGTCATATTTCTTTCTACACTTAACTATCTATATAATTACTACTTATATGCAAATCATATATACAATATAGTTTACAAATGAATAGATATAAATTTTTAAAATTGAATTAAATTTTATTAATATCAGTAAATGAACATGCATTTATTTACAGAAGTTTGCTTGCTCAAATGAAAAAAAATTGTAAATTTTTTTTAGATTCAAAATTTTTTATTTTTTAGAAGTGAATGCAAATTTGTGTTGATAAATTATATTTTTTCAATTAATTTTCTTGATAATTTCTTTCTTTGTGTCATCACAAAACATCATATAGTATAAACATGATATATTGATTAAATTTTCAAATATTATAAACTATAAATATTTTTCATAGATTTGATAATTCATATTTTCTGATGAAATTTTTTTTGTAATAAAATCTAAATTTTTTAAATTAAAAATAAAAAAATTACATAAATTTTTTATTAGTAATAATTAGAAATGATGTACGTACTTAGGTTTCCTTGTATGATATTAAAACCAAATGTACGATTGAATCTAAAAAACCATGTTTTTTCGCATATGAATTTTTACATAAATGTAGAGAAAATCATAAAAATGAGTATATCATTCATTGAATATTTTATTTCTAATATTAAAAAATTGCTAAAAATCACATTTTAAATATGATCAATTATAGATTTTTTAAAGAAAAAATAATTATATTTGTAAAAATCTTTACGGTTGAAATGTAGTATGATATATTGTTTAAATCATCAAATTCAAAAATTCTATTGCAAAATTCTTGCTGATTCAAGTTTAATTGTGTATTTCTATTAACTAAATTCTAGTACATGTAATTTGTTTCATCAAAGATATATTTATGTATTTTTTAAAGTTGTTTTTTTTTAATTCATAATAAAATTTATCATTATATAATATTCAAGATATATTACTTTCGATTAGAAATTTTTTATAACATAATTTAAACAACTCCAATCCAACAAATGTAGTTTAAAATATCATATCAATTAATCATATTAAATATATGATTAAATATTTGTGAAAGAGAAGATATAAAAGATTTTGAAAGAAGAACTTGGAACTTAAGTTTGCAAAGTGAATAATGAAAGAAGAGATAATATTTAAAATGAGGATGAAAATTTTCAAACGAAGGAAAAACTCATTTTCCTTCGTTATAAAATAAATTTTAATGTCTATTTTTGTTCTGAACCTTAAGAAATTTCCAATTTAAAATATTAATCTCAAAACATTATCTAAGATTCTTAATTTAAAACAATTCACATGTGTGAAAAGATTGATGATCACAATTTCATATGAAAGAGTAAAAAATGTAATGTTGAAAGTAGAGTACATATCGCTACAACAAAATTGAGAAATACAAAATGCGATATGAAATGCGAAAAAATAGAAATAGTTATTTCCAGACCTCGACGCAATGAAATGAGCAAGAGCTATGGTCTCCACGGGGATCCTGCCGAGTATGAATGTGGAATTCAGATAGCGTGGATGTTGAAGATTTGGATTGGCCGAACACGAAACATTAAACAATGCAGTGACAGTGTTGCGGTTCGAAGAGCGGAACATTGATTAAAAAATGCATGCATGGCAGGAAAAGTATTTACCATGGCGCTGGTATGCTGGCGACACATTTGGCTGGAGAGAATTAGGGGCCTGGGCAGCAGGAACAATGGAACAATGGAGCGAGCGATTCAATGCGTCCGGGATTCGTGGTCGTAACTGAATGCCAATCAACAAACGGAAGAAATAAAATCTCGTGGGAGCTCAATCTACAATAAACTAATGCATTGGGGCCGGTGTCAGAGAGAGGTGGAGTTGGATCAATCGCCCACCTCTGCCGGCAGAAATACTCCATCCCCTATCCGATTCCACGGGACGTACGCTACTCGTAGACTAGCATGGCATCGAGCATTTCTATTTCTACTGCTCGCGTTGAGATGGGGCCTGCCTATCGGGCTACCAGTAACGTAAATCCCCAGTGTACACGAACGACACCCGAAAGATGGCAGTGCGTGCTACGCCAACGCCCGAGCGCCCAGACAGACGAAATATGATAGAGAGCACCATAAAGAAGGCCTGCCTGCGAGCCTGCGAGCCTGCCAAAAGATACAGCATACTGCACTCAGTCCAGACTTGTGCAGGCCCACTCCACTCCTGGGCCAATCGTGTCGAGCTGCAGCTGCTGCAGCAATGGAGCCTCTAAATCCCATTCCTCCCATGTACAAACTGCTCCTGCCACCCCAGCCTTTATGGCTCTGGAACAGAAATGCTGCTGCGAGAGCGACCTTTTTCCCAAAAGAAAATTCGGGAAAAATCTCGTCCCCTCCGGCGCTGTGTTGCTTATTTGCCCTTTTCCACGGCCAAAGAGAGGGGAACAAAGCGACGCAAAGGGAAAAGAAGGCCGCGAGGACAAGGAGGAGGAGGAGGAGGAGGGGGACGGACGACGGGGACGGCGCGGAAGGGGACGAGGATACGATATAGTCCCGGGGGGGGGGCTACTCTACTCTACCGATCTATTCCGACTGGAACTACTGGACGTTGTGCGCTCCTCGAGCAGTAACTCCCTGGCCGCGTACACACGAATGCAGCGAGGTAGTTCTGACGGGGCGAGGGGATGGAGGGAGGGAGGGAGGGATGAGTCTACTACCTATGTCATAGGGATTGATGGGGCTGGCTGCAGACGAGCTGAGCTGATCTGAGCTGATCTGAGCTGAGCTCTGCAATACAGTGCATGTTGGATACGGTAGGAACAGCATATACAATAAGGAAGTGGATGCAAGTGAGCGAGCAAAGCAAAAACGTAAAGATGCAGATTAGATGCCTTGATGGTGGTGGGGAAGTCGGGAAGGAAATCGGAGGGGGGGGGGGGGGGGGGCCCTAGTGGCAGAGGCAGAATCGTCTGACTCACTGACCGGGGCTCTCTGGGCTCTGGGCTGGGCTCTGGACGAAGGGACAGTCACAAAAAGAAAGAGAAGATTGATTCAGCCAGCCATTGATTGGTACAGACGCATGGAACGTTTGTATCTTGTGGTGACAGGAGCAAGAAGTGCCGGTGAGAAGTTGGATAAATGCTCTCATGAGCTCCATGGCGTCATAAGATGGAGCAGAAGCGAGAGAAATGATGCCTGGTTGACCAGCTGAGCTTTGATCACAGTGGACGGAGGCAGCCGTGATGGTGGAGCCGAGTCGGTGGGCCCGCCAGCACCCGAAATAAAACCCCGCCTCGTTCTGCTCTTGGGTCATGTTGTCGTTCCCGCACTATTCCCCCCTACAGGTCACGTGGTGGTGCCTTGGCCTAAAATGTGTCACATCTCTCCTTTCCATCCGATATGCTCTTTGGATTTCTTGGGTCAAGGGTCGCGCATCACGCCCCCCCGCTGATGAACTCGCAGCATTTTCTGCCCGCTTTTGTGACCAGCACGGGATTTGAAGCTGCCACTTGTTCACATCCACCAAATATTCTAACCTTTTCCCCGAGCTCTCTTCATGGTCTCTCGCTTGCACCGGCCCAAACTTCAATCCCTCAATCCGGGCTCCTTTAACAATTCAACAGTGCTCTATTCGACACGTGAAAAAGCCCCTCTGGCCTTTGACAAGAGCTGCTGACAGCCTTCACATCACATCTCACCACTTTCCACTCGAGCGAGCGAGCGAGCGAGGGAGTGAGTGGTGGCAGTGGATTTTACTTTCTTTCTTTCTTCGACCCCCAGCCGGCTGAGCAGGCAGGGAGGCCGGAGGGGAGACCTGAAAACAGTCCAGCCTGCAGATCGAGAAAGTTTTGCTCCATGGCGCCCGAATGATTCTCGACGGCCGCGCTTGGGGTCCTGCGCTCGCAATTGGAACGGAGCGGAGACCGACTGACATGTTCTCGACGGGGAGAACATGCAACGCCTCGCTCCGGTCTGGGAATGGTGGCGAGGTGGCTCCGTGTCACCCAGTGCTCAAAGAAGCGCGTAGTGCATGGGTCGTCGGGGCCATGGCAGCATCAGGCCGGGCTGAGCTCAGAGTGAGGTGTGGGGTTTACGTAACCCCGCAAGTAGCCTATCCTCAGCTATGCTCAGCTCAGCTCCAGGTGGACTTGGAGCAGAATTTGATCTTGACGAATACAAACTTTCAGGCGAATCTAGGATTTAGGCTCCTGACTAACAGATTGATTAAGGACAGCCATGACATGGAAAAGTGATGGGGTCTGTTCTGTTCTTTACTTTTCCAGACAGACATGTACACTTGTGAGAAAGACACTTGGTGCTTCCACCAACCCTGCAGCGGGTCGGGTCAGGTCCAGACACTTCCTTCTCTCGCTCTGGACAATCACCCGGAAAGTGCGGGTGAGTCGCAGACGTAATTCCCAACTACAATTCAGTCTCGGGCTCTGTGTCAACTGCACTGCAAGTCTTCACACGTAAAAGCCGTTTCTCCAGAATGTTTGCTCCTTGATCAGAGAGCTCATGTGCAGTGGAATCCCAGTCGAGGTGGCCGCCGAAGCTGTGAAATTTTGACACTGAGCCCTGGCTTGCTGCGATGAACAACTTTGCATACACGGCAGCTACAGGATATACGAATTTCCCCATAAGGTATTCATGAAGCACATCCACGATTCAAACAAAGTGTGTAGTGCTCGGGCTGACTGGCGAGGTTTAGGCCCACACACCGGATGACCATATGGATCCAGACAGAGGGAAATCATGTGCAGTAGTACTTGGGAATCCCGGTCGAGGTGGCCGCCGAAGCTCTGAGGTTTTGACACTGAGCGTGGCTTGCTGCGATGAACGACTTCGGATGTACGGCAGCTAGAGGGATTAAATTTTCCTCCGTCGGGTGTTCATACAACCCATCCACAATTCAACAAAGTGTGTGGTGCTCGGACTGACGAGGTTGTGACCCACACAAGGGATGACCATAAGAGTCCAGACAGAAGGAGTTTTGTGCGGACGGGCCAAATACCCACAAAAATCGTTTTGTCTATTTCTGTAAATTTGATCATACTACAATCGTTTGCTTCGAAATGTCATCAACTCTTGGATGACCTCTATGCAAACGTGGTGGTCTCTCCAGCTGTTCTTTCTTTCGCCTATTAATTTCTAAGTGTATTAAAAGAGCAGTTATATCTGCAGGGTTCACTCCTCCAACTCGTGATGCTTGTCCGATCGTTTGGGGACGGATCTGATATGACATTCGCACCCATAAAAACAGTTAATACCTTTGAGTGATCACTACGAGAGTGAACATGTTTTCACCTTTTCACTACGATGGACAGCAGATGTATGAGAACTCCAACCCTTAACCTCTTCTTACCTCCAAAACCCTCAAAGTCTAGACTCTCTTTCACACTAAAACACACCAGACAGACGTTCCAGACATTTGAATGCAAAAACTTGACGTAATTCATATGGTGTGCAAGCCCATGGAGATACGCTGGCCCACTGACTTACAACGAATTAATCAGATCTTCAATAATTCCTGGGAGAATAACCAAACCTTACCTTCGACAGCTTTTCTCTAGCCTCCAACGACAAGGTGGAAATAAGGTAGAAATCAGTGTCCTCAGGAATGGGTTTATGTAGCTTGTTCGCCATCTGCACAAATCAGAAGAGTTAAACTACATCGCCGTAACTAATGCTTTACTCAGACATAGTAAGTATACATAGCAAGCATGTAAAGCTTCAAAAGATGCAGACATGCACCTGCTCAAGCTGGTTACGCTGGCGCGTGATAAACCCTTCGTATTTGATATCAATTTCCACACATTCTTTGTCCATAGCCGTAAGTGTTGGATCACCCAATCCGTGTCGCTCCAAGACATCATAGTGCACATGTGGTCTCTTCAAGACAAGTTCTAAAGGAACAACTTCGTTGATACTTTGTCCTGATATTGTCGCGACTTCTTCGGCAATTGCCATTTTTCCTACAAATCAACATTACAATTCTCAGTGCACCGAAAAGAGTACGAAAAAAGAACTGCCTAAATCTTGTCTAGGGGCAACGTCACATATACGCTGAGGTTATAAAGCAGCTCGTTCCCGTCGATGATCAGGGTTTGAGCATATGCTTTCGACATTCTACTTGTACCCCGTCTTCCAACCTTCTCCACAGTCCATTCCGACTACGAGAGGGAATAACTAAGGTCCATGGTAACTTACCCATTACCAAGGTTTAACAAAGTATCTAATCTTTCGTAGTAGCCTAGTGCAGATTTTAGAAATGAAAGTTATTGACAGTCACTAAGAATCTTTGTATGTTTTCGCTTGTACCATTTATTTTTGTTGTCTGCAAACGCAACTTCTCGGCGGCAATACGACTCTGCTTCTCTTGAAACAACTTCCACATTCGATCGTCGATCAACCCCAACTCCCGCCCCAAGGGTGTCAACCGGCTATCTGCGTTGTCTGCTCTCAAAAGAAGCCGATGTTCCGATCGGCTGCATCATAATAAACTTGGGGAATCAGAAATACAGTACGTCGTGATGCAGCATGATGCTTTCCTACCTGACACTATGCAATCACAATTGAGATCGGCAGACAGTAACCTCATCCATAATTGTACGTTCTAATCTCGGGTAAATTTCCCCTAGATTTCCAGAATTGGAGACGGAAGAAGATGCCATACCTGGTTAACATCCGATATGGTTCCCTCAGATCTTTAGTAACTAGATCATCGATGAGTGTGCCAATATAGCTACTTTCTCTCTCGAGCACCACCAAGTCTTGTGCACCAGCTAATCTGGCTGCATTGATACCCGCTAACATTCCCTGCAGACGCCATGCAGAAAAACACAGTTACTCTTGTGCATAAACTTGCAAGCTTTCCAACCTCCTGGAAGAGGACCCTCTAAAGTGACAATTCGAAACGTCAGCTAGAATCCTATATTTCATACAACGGAAACCCAACGTCATGGAGGTGAAACTAATTAATTCTTTACCTAAACTGAACTTCCAAAATGCGTGCTTAGCCAAAAGCAACTTCATTTAGATATGGACAAGAAATCTAAACAACGGAGAGGTTGTGCAAAGTTGGGGAGCTAACCTGAGCAGCAGCTTCTTCGTAGCCGGTAGTTCCGTTTATCTGGCCACTAAAAAACAACCCTTCTAGCTTCTTGGTCATCAAAGTTCTATGGCACTGGTGAGCGGGAAGATAATCGTACTCAACCGCATATGCAGGCCTTAGCATTGAACACTGCTCAAGTCCTGGCAAAGATTGCAGGAGAGCTAGCTGTAACCTTTCGGGAAGTCCTGTAGAAAAGCCCTGTTCAAGCATCTGGTCAGTAAACCCACGAAGTAGGTTGAGAACGTTTGACGAAAGTCCTACGGCAGGCCTCCCCTTCGTCACAATTACCATACTGGAATTCGCATAGTTGCCACTGGATTTACAGCAATTTATCCAAACGTTTGGCTTCGTCAACCAAATTTGAAGGCTTTTCTGAAAATTCTGAATTACCTGCACATAGAGCTCTGGCACAGTTCGACCTTCAGGCTCCAGAAAGATCTGGTGAGATTCTTTATCTTTGAATCTTACGATCTGAATAGAAAATAAACACCAGTCTTTTGTCAGAGAAGAAAGGAGATCAATGACTTCAAATTCAATTTGAAGCAAATTGAAGTGTACTAGTTTGCAGACACTGCCATATGTGTCTCGTATATAGAGTGAGGTTAAGTGAAAAGATAAAAAAACGTAAATTGATCTTTCCAAAAAAAAAAGCAGTTCCCAGGAACTTGTAGTCTTGAAGAACCTTATCCTCGATAGAAGGGCAGTAGCGAGGCCCCTTAGCTTCCACCCAGCCACCATAAGTCGGAGTCTCGTGCAAATTGTCCGTGATAATCTTGTGAGTGGCGGCTGTTGTCCGAGTCAAGTAACAACACATTTGTTCTCTCTCAATGTGTACATCTGGATCCACACTGAACCATCGGACCTGAAGCAGATCAATCACTATCATGTCAGATCTGTGCCCATATTCACACGACCTATGCCTATTTAACACGTGCATTGATTAACTTCTATGGTACTCTCCCTTGTTCTTGAAAGAAGGAGCACTTACATCCATAAAACAGTTACTCGAGCAGGCTGGAGGAAACACTTTCATGTTTCGTTCGCTTAAAAGTATACGGAGAAAGGGCAACACTAACAACAGCCATCGTGTCACGAGAGAAAGTTGCGGATTAGAAATGAACGAAAAAGTTTGAAGCCGTGGTTCACGTGCACGTTAGTCCTCGTCGAGGCATTTATTTTATAAAACGGCCAAAGAAGCCGTGCACCTGAAGGCGAGCTAGGCAGTCTCCAAAGGAATATGTGGATTAACATTAGCCTGAGAAAAAAACGATTTCGTTTCATTGAACTTTTATCCTTTATGGGCAACAGCCGATCATCAGTGTTATCTGTGTAGTCATGACTATGTCTAGGCGTGATGCCCATGAGAACGATCAGGAATGAGAAAGGTAGATAACGAAGAAAAGGAAAAACCTCTTCATCACCCGGTTGTCGTTCCAACTTTGAATAGTCCACAGTTCGAATGTCCACACGAGCAGGAGTTCCAGTCTTCAGCCTGTCTGTCTCAAAACCAAAACCTTGAAGGTTCTCGGTGAGACCTGTGGAGGCTGACTCACCAGCCCTGCCAGCAATCATCGACGAGCGTCCAACCCAAATCTTGCCGTTCATAAATGTTCCAGTAGTCAGGACCACTGATGGAGCATAAAAATTGACACCAAAGAACGTCCGTACGCCCTCCACGTTATCATTGCTTCCGACAAGGATTTCTGTCACCATTGCCTCTCTGATAAATAGGTTCTTTGTGCTGTGTCACATCATAAAGCAAAGTATGAGTTCAAGGACAAGACCTATTGGTTACACTAACATAACCTTCCACAGCTGGTCTCCTCCTTCGAACTAGATTTGCTTGACAAACTTTAGTATATTACATGCTCAATTTCCAGATCTTCATGTACGTTTAAAAAGAGCACAAAGTTGTAAAAAACACTCAAGTAATTTGAAGATCTAGCTTCAAAGTACGCTTCAGTTGATTTTTGATCAACTTCTCACTTACAGTGGAATCTACAAACTTCTTCCTTAAAGGACTAAGGTTCCAAAGCGACTACCGAACTCAGGTGATACCTTCCCATATACCTCACTAGAAGGCCTTAAGAAATCAAACATCTGATGTCAAGTTAAAACGGAAATCAATGCAAGTACTTCGCCCGTCATAAGGTTCGCTACCGTATATTAGAAAACAAATATGTAGAAAGTTCCATGATTACTTCAAAGGTGGTGGTTATTGTATACATGCAACAAAACTCCATGGCATCCCCTGGTTATAATAGAGGACCATAACTAGTATACACATAATACGTAACCTTACAGATCGCGGTGTCGATCTTATTTTGAAATTAGATTCTGAAAGATTCTGAAGACAGCCGTGGGTTGGCTTCAAAATTTGGATACATTGTGAGCTTTACTATGTCACGGCATAATGTCCAATTTTTGAAGCTTATTTATCTACGATTGTCTATTTACAAATGCCACTGACTCGAAAGTCGGCATAAAAGTTCAGCGTCAACTCATGCTGCTCATAGGGAAGCTTAAATAATAATGCTTCACAGGGTGACGTACAGTACACAAAATTACCTCTCAACAACTTTCTTCATCTCCATCGCGTATTCCCTCTTGTCAGTTTGCGCTCTAAGTGCCCACACCGCCGGTCCCTTGGAACGATTTAGCACCCTTTTCTGCACATAACACCTGTGACACAAACCAAACACTAAATTAAGCTTGTACATTCAAAGATAATCTCTGGTGAATTGGAAAAGGCTGCAACATGATGTCAAAAGCACTTGACAGAAGAATACAGATCAAATGCGCGGACCAAAATTAAGTATCCCAACAGCACCTGTCAGCCATCTTTCCGATTTCTCCGCCAAGGGCATCTACTTCATGAACTAACTGGGATTTAGCTGGTCCACCAACGGCAGGATTGCATGGCTGCAACAAATACAAGTCTAACAATCAGAACTTTGGCAGTATGTGATTGAAAGTCGAGTGGTAACAACGAAAACGTTTTAAGGTAGACAGATTATCTAAGGTGGTGCAGACCTCGAAACGTCCCTCTTTGGTTTACCAAGGAGCTGACAACTGTCTCCAACACGTGCATAGCCACACTGCTTTCTTCCAGATATTCAATCTGGATAATTGCTACCCATAACCTGGATACTGCGTCATGAGCTGCAATTGTTTCTACTGGAGCGGCAAGTCAAAGTTAAGAGAGGTCCGCTCCATACAGGGTTCATGAGTGAACGCTTGTTGTATTCTAGGCTCGTATGGTCGTAGAACTGGACAAAGTTTAGCGATCAGATCGGGTGCAAGCTATTTCAAGGAGCGTTTGTCTCGGCAATATTCGTGAGAGTACAGGTCAATTTACTGAGCCGAGGGAGAATTACAGATTTTCTATATGATGTAACAAGAGCCAATCTGCATCTTCCTCTAATCCAGGCTGAAACTGCAGTAAGTCCAGAATCGCATATCCCTTACTCTTCGACATACATCCTTTCCTACGAGGAAAATCATCTATCCATGCAGCTGAAACTACCTCTACATGGATAAAGTGAACAGAAGGCAAAGCGATTCTGGTACCACTTCAGTTTAAACCCGTACTAGTGACATCTCGAAATCGCGAGATAAAGCTCGAAGTTTCAAAGACACGTTAGCATAGGTTCCAGATACCAGAAAGGGTCCATCAGTCACGGACTCAAAATGTAAGAGCACCAAAAGCCCTTAACTACAAAGACGAGCCATTTACAGACATTCACCAACGCTCTGTCGAAAGAAAAGAGTAGAACGTAATGACAAACTCTCCTTCCATGTTGTATACAAGCGTGAAGTTAAAGATGTGTTTGCTTTAACACCATATTGTCTCAATGGCAACAAGGGCTTCAAGCCCAGTCAGAGACTATCAGCTTGTATCACTTCGATACAAATTCAATACAAAGACGGTCTGAAAACCTTCAATATTGCGCAGCCTTTTATGTTTATGACACAGAACGGAAGCTTGAACGAACAATTCAAACTCTCAGAAAGTACTTCTAGGCCAAGCTCAAACTACGAAGGCACCAAAATCGTCAATATCTCTGGAATCTCTCCATCAACATTTGGCAAAGAAAATCAACAATGCCTAAATCTAACCTCCAAAACCAGATTTTACAATGAACGCAACAACGCGAAATCACCCGGGTGCCTGAGGGAGTAGTTTGAGAGGCTAGAAACTATCTACCTGCCAGGCGATGCGATCCAAATTGAGCGTAAGAAGAAGAGTTCTAGCACCCATCCGCGCTGAGGCCAATGCTGCTTCGCAGCCAGCATGACCTCCCCCCACAACAACAACGTCAAACTGTTCACCTTTCGAAGAATCTACAACAAAATGTCCATCCATTGTCAGATGCCCATACAGACTGCACACCATGTGACCTGTGAGGCCGAAAATTATATATTGAGCGTAAATTTCCAATTATAAATTGTGCCCTTAGGATCCAAGCATCCTTCGAACCCACCGGCAGAACAATTCCATCCAATTCAGTAGGTGCGCAGAGTATAAAGACAAGGCAATTGACATATGACAATTGCAAGGTGCTCACAGAAAGCTTCGAATTTGCACAAGAGATTGAGAGCTGAATTATTAACTTACCGGCAATCGTGTATTTGGGGCCCAAAGCACTCGACGTCGAGGAACAAGAGACAGCTGATAAGTTTCGGGGATAGAGAAGGGAAGAGAGACGACGGGGGACATTGAAGGTTTTACTGACAGGCCTCACTAAAGGAGAGGATATGGATGCATTTGAATGGGCAGAGTTGGTCAAAAGATTGCGAACTCGTGAACATGAGGACGAATGCTTGAAGCTTGCGAAACCTTGAAGCTCGCCGGTAAAAAACAGACGACTCTGAGTTCGAAAGTCTTGAGACTCAAGCCCTGGATGGTCCGCAGGTTTATTGGCATAAATCAGAGAAGAACTAGTCGAAGCGCAGAGAGAGGACATCACGCGGGAGCCAAACATCGGGCCCTGTAATCTCAGCACAGAACAGGAGGGCAAGCACAGGGTCGGGAAAGACGACGACATGCTGCCCAAACGCGTTGCAGCCATGCTTCAACCCACCACAGTCACTTTTTCCCACCCGCTGTGCGTCGCCATCAGCCCCACCACCCGTCGCGCGGAATTCCTGATTGCAGAATGCAACGAAGCGAGCAAAGCTTATTCCCTCCGGAGCTTGGATCCTCGAAATCCTCGTACAAAATTCAACCAATTCTATGCTCTCGTGACCTGATTCATCAACATCCGAATTCTCGTTCACGCCGAACGATTCTTTGTGCTCTCGCTCTCGGCGACCACCATCTTTTCTCCTTTCTGCTTCCTTATCCGTGCAGGGGAGCGGAAATAGAGCCACGAGATGTACAAGAACACAGCGAAAATTTCGCTGAGGTGGATGGACAAATCGAACACCGAACCGGACAAAGTAGCGAAAATACCGAAAACAGACAATGCGTTTCTGAGACCTCGTCTTATATACGTGGACGAAAGCGTCGGATGTTGGTCAATATTTACGTGAAATTGTTGTGAGATCGCACAATTTTCCCCTGCGCTGGGAGTATGTTTCCAGGAGGAAAGTTGTTTGATTGTGTGCTTGACAGCAACAGGCTCGATGCGGTCCTCGCCATATTTGGCAAATCGCCTAATCGCCATATTTTAATGTACATGGTCATCTGAAAAAGTTCTAAGCGATCCACCGAAGAGATGATTTGCTGGGACTAGAGGACCGGAGGTCCTGTCTGACATCTCTTCTGGTGAATATGTGGCGTCGTCGTTACAAGGAAAACGCATTTCTACCTCGCTTCTCAAATCACAACGTCGTGCTCCTGCAGTAGAATCTCTCTACTCTCCTCCCGGTTGCCAGCTCCATCATGATCTGAGTAGAGTAAGGCTTTGGATACCACTGTCTAAAAGAGAAAAAAAAAGGATGCCATGTTTTTGAGTAATGGTGAAGCACTGAGTTGCGCCAGATTCTCCTCACAACTGCAATCGTAGACTGGGAGACATCACATTCTAACCAGATTGCTTCCACTTTCGGTGGGTCTTGGACATTGAACTTGATCCTTGCGTTCTATTTCTCTTCCTTCAGGATGTCACTACAACCTTTCGGTTCTTCAATTTCGTCCTTCTCCGGCATCGTGACTGGCTCAAGCTTCGGTGCTAAGCCTAGGTCCTTGTTCCTCGTTCTCTGGTCTACTCTTTCATTACAACTTTATCCTGGCGCTAGAACGAGAGGTTTCACGAATGGAACGATCAAGCCATCCACAATTCAAATATCTCAACCATCGCGTAATATTTGCATATAAACAAACGCTTGCTCTGGTACATACGGCTGTTATGTATGAAAATGCCAGCTCGAATGTATCTGAAGTCTTACGCTTGGTTATCCTGATTGTTTTGTCTATTTTCACCATGTGTAACATGTACAAACTCCTACAATGACACCCATCGTTCAGCAACAACAAAGCTCGTGACGACAGTCTCTAAGCACCGTAACTGAGGAACACATCACTTGAATTATAGGTGTTTCCACTTTAATCTGTTCAAGTTTATAATGCCTCGGAGCTGCACCCTTGAAACAGCGACATCTGACCACACTGTAAGTTTTAACAACAATCTCGATAGAACAGCATTCGCTGACAAGTACTGGGTACTGGATACTGGTGCAGGTTCAACATTTATGGTACAACTTCGACACTTGATTTGACTAAGAAGATGCAAGACAGTCCGGAAGAGGACTTCCACAAAGCCCCGGGTTACCTTGAAAGGACGATGAGGGAAACTTTGAGAAGTTGTCCCCTTGAGGGATTCGCCCGGATAGATGGTTGTAGGATACATTGAAGTGTGACAGAGAGTTGAGTGATTGCGCCAACTGGGATGGAATTGGGCCAACGAGCGTGTTATCTGAGAAGTCAAGGAACTCAAGTTTGATAAGACGTGAAAGATCGGCAGGAATGGGCCCAGAGAGATGATTTTCAGATAGATCCAAGCGTTTCAGAAGAAGAAGATTGCCAAGAGATGATGGAATCTCTCCCATTTGACCCGTCGCACGCAGGCTGAGGTAGCTCAAAGTCGCTACATTCCCAAGAGAACGGGGAATTTCTCCTTCGAGCTTGTTGGCTGACAGATCAAGCGTGGCCAACTTTGGCAACTCACTGAGCTCTGAAGGAAGGCCTCCTGTTATCAAAGTTGAAGAGAGGTTCAGGTTGACCACCTGAGACATCTTGCCAAGGCCAAGAGATGAAACAGAACCGGTCACCAGGTTGCAACTCAAATCCACGTCACGCAATTGTACCAAACCACCCAGGCCGGAGGGAATTGATCCGCTAAGACTGTTTGACTGAAAGCTGAGAGATATGATCGATGAAAGATTTACAAGACTACGGGGAAGGGAAATAAAGTAGTTGAAGCTCAAGTCTAGGTGAAACAAGTCAGACAATCGTCCTATAGACTCAGGCACCTTTCCTCCCAGCCTGTTGTGAGACAGAGCTACGGTATCCAACTTTGACAGATTGCCCAGCCTCTCTGGTAACTCTCCAGTGAGAAGATTTGCCGACAAGTCAAGGTACATCAAGCTTGTTAAGCCACTCCAGCCCTTATCCCTCTTGTCCGCACAATTGAGCTCGCCAACATGATCACCACCCAAAGATTCTGGTATGCTTCCTGCTAGATTATTCTGATCCAGGTACAGATACGTCAGCTTTGATAAGTTGCCAATCGCCTCGGGAATTCTGCCACTGAATTGGTTCCTAGAAAGATACAGAGAGTTCAACTCAGTCAGACCGCCCACACATTCTGGAATTGGCCCACTGAGTGCATTGGACTTGAGATCTAGGGAGATCAAATTCCGCAGTGAGCACATGGATTCAGGAATTTCTCCTTCAAGCTTGTTGAGACCGAGGTTCAGATTCGTCAACTGGGTCAAGAACCCTAAAGACTCTGGGATGCTGCCAGTGAGGGAATTCAGTTGAAGCTTCAGATCAGTAAGTTTGACAAGGTTTCCGAAAGACTCTGGTATCTCCCCGGTTAGTTCATTCCACCCAAGGCCAAGCTGGTTCAAGCTCGTCATGGTGCCCATCAACGGCGGTATCACTCCACTGAGCTGGTTCGATCCGAGCTCAAGAACAGTCAACTCTTCAAGTTGTGCGATGGAGGCTGGAATTTGACCCGTGAGAGAATTCCATTGAAGATCCAGGTATGTCAGCTTGGACAGAGAGCCGAGCCAGTCTGGAATGTAACCAGAGAAGGACATGCCGAAAAAGTTCAGAATCTGCAAATTGGCAAGTCCACTCAGCGTCACAGGAATCACAGTGCCCGGCGTTGTCATATAATACGAAAGATCAAGATATTCCAACTGGGACAAGCTCCCGATACATGAAGGGAAACTTCCCTCCATAAAATTCAAAGCGAGGTTGAGCACTCGAAGCTTGTTCAGCTTGCAGAGCTCCTCTGGGAAGGGGCCAGTTAACTCATTCCCGCCGAGCGAGAGCTCTATCAGGTTAGATAAGCGACCGATGGTAGCTGGGATGGTGCCAGTCAAGCTGTTGCTCGAGAGAATGAGAGATTGCAAGTTCGATAACGAGCCCCATCCAGTAGGAATTTCTCCATGAAACTCGTTGTTCTGCAAATCGATGACAGTCAATTGTTGCAAATTCCCCAACGCTGGACTTAAAATGCCGTCCAACTCAGCTTCTGGTAACTGCAGCTTTGTAACAGCACCAGTGATATGATCACAAGTAACCCCTTGCCAGTGGCAGCAATCTGTTCCGTCTTGCCAGGATGAGAGAGCAGGTGCGGAAGCTGAAAGAAGTCCGGCTTGGATAATGATAAGAGCTGAAGTAACTCCGGCCTTAAATTCGAGAAGCGATGAAGATTCAACAGAAGAGCATGCGTAACAGCCCTTCCACAAAAATAGAAATGCCGATAAGAAAATAATCGCATGAACAAAGTTTTTCGATCCGACCAGAAATCTTCTGCACTTGATGAACTCGGAGCTCCCACCTCTTCTCCTATCTCGCCCGTCCTGAGCGTCCATTTCTTTCTGTTTCAAAACTTGACTGACATCTCCGGAACTCACGATTTCTTAACAAGCTCGCATGAGCTCAAAACCAACAATAGAAACGGGACCCTCTTGAAGTAGACGAATAGATCTGCACCATTGGAGTTCAATATCCTTGGAACTCACGATGAGAGCAAACATGCAGAGAATCTGACTCAGAGACTGTCAAATATGAGCATGAACTCTTGGGTGTGACAACTTTGTCCAAAATGACCTAGGAATCATGTCTAATTGGAACGTGTGGGTACTCTCCCTCTCGTTCAGACATCGTCTTGAAAATCTATACCGGTCTATGAACGAAGGCAACTCCTCTTCATCCGCTCCGTTAAGGGCTCCGTGTTCGATAAGTTGCACCTTGCAAGCGATTCCTCGACCAAGGAGAACAAACTACCACTTTCGGTTTCAATGCCCGATCGTCCTTTTCTCCACCAATGACAGCCGCGATTGATTCTTCAAGCATCAACTGCGAGGGCACCAACCCATCAACAGTTGTCAATCATGAGATTTGGATCCCAAATACAACTACGGTGGCAGCTAAGGTCGCGTGTTCAGCGGGAATATGTATGTGTGATGTTCTTGTATGGACTTTGATCGTCCATGGCTGTTGGAGAGAGAGAGATGGCAACAAATTCCATTAATCTTAGAGAAGAAAGCCGAGAGCCATACCTCATCTCCATCAACTTGAGCCGAGTATAGTTAGAAATTACGATTCGAAGGAAGCAGCCATAACTTCATAACAGCAGAGCGTTTGATGCCATTGATGCCATTGATTTTACATGCGATTTGTGAAGAACTGTAGTACATTGTGAATGTGGGAATCATCCACTGCTGCACACTTAAGTGCTGCAAGAAACACATGACCAATGACAATGTACGAATGAAAGATTCGACGGAGTTTCCAACTATGCTGTTTTAGTCGACCCTCATTATCATCATCATCTCATGTTCGCTGTGCACGAACAAATCACAAGAGAGATTTGAGCAAGTTCGATTCTTGTCAATTTACATATTTCCGTCGAGAATGAGAGCCCGAACATCTCCAGATTAAAATACTACGTTAACAGATTGTGCATCTGAAGATCCAAAGCTCTCGATCCAGTTGAGGCTTACGCTGAAATGGACTCCACTGCAACTAAAGTGCAAGCTGACTACGTGCTAGTGATTAATGATTAACATGAACTCAGATCTAGATTCGGGTGACTTCGATATGTCGACCATCCCGTTCGTCTTTAGCGAATGTGATGTTGGGAGTCCATCCGGCGAGAAGTGAGAGGGAGATAATATTTATTCCAGAGCTTTTGTATTCAATTTATGATAGATTTCAAAATTTAAGAACGTGCCTAAGGATGACGGTGAATTGTCAAAAAATAAAGTTTGCTGGTAAGTGAACATTACTCCCCAAGAGGAAAGAATATGTTCAAACACATTTCCATGTGAGCCATTTCTTGACAATCTTTGGGTGGATTGTCATGTATATAACTTTTCCGATATCGTTTCACATTAAACTATAGAAAGGAGTTGAAAAAAAGCATATGTGTTATAGATTATGTTATTGTATGGAGCTCAAGATATTTGCTTGATGTGACCACATCCAAACGTAAATTGCTTGATGTGATCCATCAAGTTTCAATTTACCCTATGGGACCTCACCGGGTCACGTCACATTGTGGGCGGTCCACGTCACATTGTTCTAGTATGAACAGACGACGATGCTTGAGTCACACTTCGTTTTACCTTCGGCACGTGATACTTTGTTTCACCATTCGCATCTCGTCTTGCTGAACCACTTTCTTGGGAAAAATGGCATGGTAATGTGGGGATGATGAAAAAATAGCTCGGCCCGCTGCTTGCCTTGGGAGGAGGAAGGTTCAGGTTTTATGCTTGCTAGATCGCGGTGATCAAGTGCTCACTTCTAAACCGTTTAGGTTCGGGCACCCACTTCTATTCAACTCGAGATTTCAAAGCGCGGATGTCGCGGGAATATATTCTAAGTATCGATCAACTTTTGGAAGCTATGTCATAGTTTCATTTGTCACGTATTAGAACTTATATGTACAAGAACATACCTGTACTAGAACTCAACGACGGCACAGCGTCTGTGGGTACCATCGGGTGAATTAAAACTTGATGGGTACCATCAAACAATTTATGTTTGGATGGGGTTCCATCAAGCAAATATCTCTATGGAGCTAATAGATATTGTGTGTATCTCTCACTTCTCTATATGATTAACATGATGACTCCTTGTCATAGAATAATTGAGCAGCAGATGCATATATTTATTTATGAAGATGCTTATGGCACAGTACTAGTTATTTATGGAGAAGATCTCTCAAGCAGCAAATTATATTTCTCCATCTTTAGTTTATACACATTGAGAGCCATTAGAGATCATGCTAGTGTCTAAAGTGATCATTTCACGTTTCCTACGATTAATTTTGTAAAAAGTGCAAGACATGATTATGTCACATCTATAATTGAAAGTTTTACTAGACTTTGATTGGTTGGTCTAGACCTACAGTTGATTTTTGAAACCAATCATAGGACAGTGATTAGAGTTGGAGTCACAACCTCAAAGGCATGCTCCGGTGAAGGGCATGTCTTATTTGCATTCTTCTTTACAAGATATTCACGTATGTATGAACAAATTTATATGTATGTCTAAGGTTTTTTTACCAATTTTTGTTCTAAGAGTGTTTTATTTTGACATAAATACATTTTTTGATGTATAAGGTGTACATATTTTAATACGGGCAGTCATGGTTACTTTAGGCGAGACAAGACACCTAAATTAACTAAATTCACGCGCGGCGGTCTCTCTAGCGCCTAAATTAACCTGGAGTTTGTAAATTAATTATTCTCTAGTTCACAACGAAACTGCAAGCCATTAGTAGTGGTTACTCCCTCTCCACAACCCCATCCCCTTTCAATTGAACTCAAAGGAGGCTGTTAGCATACAAGAGCATAAATTACTATGCGAATTCTTGATGCGACTAAATTAAACTAATTTAGGTGACATACCAGGATATGGGGCATGACCGGAATAATTTTGTTATGATTCCAGCACTAACTATGATCAAATCTTCCACCATAGTCATAAATTCCACTTATTTTCTAGAACCACATCAACAAGAGTACTGGGAAGTACGCATCTCTGGTGTAGTAGTTTATTTTTTTTTATTCTTTAATTTGAATCTTTATTAAGTTTCAAATTTGATATACTTGTATTTTTGAACATATAATTCTTTGGATGAAGTAATCTACTCTTCATACTGCAAAATAAGATATGCATTGATTCATAATTTTTAATGTATGAAAGCAATTGGATTGTGATGAATAGCATGCTACTTAAGGTTTTCTTAGCATTTTATAAAAAAAATTTGAGACTACAACTACAATCACATATTGTACTTGGATTCAAATATCCATAAGTTTACAGTGTACTTCTCCACATTATATTCTTTTACTCCAGGTTTCATAACCTTCGAAACGTAATGAAGATGAAATCACTTGCATTGAAATAATGTAGTATAAATGACTTCAAGTTATAATGAAAATTCAAGAGAAGGATATGGTGCTATGAGTAGCTTTCATCTACCATTTACAAAATAAGAACAATCTAACAATCAAAGTGATATGTGAAAATGACAATTATCAAATTCATAAATTCTATCTATTATTGGTTTGAATAAATTGTTTTCCAATATCTTATTGAACCGATAATAATTACTCGAAATGTTCTGATTAGAAATATCCAATTTATGACAAATTTGCAAAAAAATCATCGAGAACCTAAAACAACAAATCAGCGGAGATTAACTTTAGCAAATGTATTGCGAAAGAATAGTGTCGAATATAGCTAGTAGTAAAGTCCAAATTCAATTAATTCTACGTTAACTTCCATGATTACGAGAATGGCAGTGCAATACGAATCACCAATCGCGAAACAATTGGCTCATTACGTTTGCAGTCAGTCTTGCAGTGAAGTGCACTCCTCGCCAGCTTCTCGGAGGTCGACATCAATCGTGCGTAGCTCCCGTTATTCACAAAGTGTCAGAGAAGGTGCCAAGGACTGACGGTTGTCTAGGGATTGCTTCGCTCTCGCCTCGGCGGTCACTGAATTTGTGGGCCACAGTGGCGTAAAAATAATGCTGCGCGGCTTGTAGAAATCCTTGATCGTGGCAGGCGGGATGGCGGACAGACGACGACGAAAATTAGGTAGATGCGAACTGCCGCAGACATTGGAGAATAGGGAGCTTACAGTAGTTAGCTACAGGCAGAACAGCAGGTATCTTGGGTTTGTCTGTCCAAAAGTATCGGAGTAATCCGCATGTTCATAAGCCAATTTGTTCACAAGAGGTGAATATCTTCTGTTCAAAAAGCGGGGCACGAAATCTTGAAGCCAACATTGCCTTCGATCATTCGGACGAAAGAACTTCATTTCGAGAGCTAAATATCCTATGGGGATTTGGAGTGAACGAGCAACTTCTTGAGGCTGTACGAGGATTCTCCAGAGGCGATCAACTTAATCTATCTTCGATCATTTCCCTTCGTTACAGCTCTCATTCTCCGACTGTTACCTTCGGTTTCGAGCTTACTGGATTTTAGATGTTTTGATTCTGTTGCAATCATGAATCCTGACATATTTGGTTTGTTGAAATATTTTCTTTTTCTTTTCCGGAAATTTAGTCGGTATACTCCTTCACATCCATCAAGAGCTACCCCACAACTAGAATTTGTTGGTTTGTGAAAGGGTTTTGGCTTTCTCTTGCTGCAGTTGGTGAGTTCAACAGTCTTCTTATCGTTCGGTACTTGCCTCTTGAAATTGGCATCAAGATGGCGGATGGAGTCAAAATTGTTTTTGACAATGAGCACCACGGTACGCAGTGGAAGTGAGATAATATGGAGAATTCATAAGGCTGATTAATTTTTGAGATGGAGCAAAGTGCTGCGGGGGGTTGGATATGACTTTTGAACTTTCAGCAGTGATATCCAACCAATCCTCAGTACATTGCCCTACTCACCGACGTTGTGTCGGGAGATTCAATGAAGAGAATTTTAAGCATGATGGTCGGAATCGTGTATCGAGCCAGGTTCACACAAGAGGAGGTGCTACGGAGAAAAACCTTTAGAAGATGAAGTTGCCCTTTACGTGGATTTTTAGAAGCAGGATAAAATCATTCGTAAGAACTGATCGATTGAGCAACTTGGTCGTCTGCTCTGCTTCTCTACTGAGGGTTCCACCAGAGCTGGAGGACTCTTGTGTTGTTCTGCATTTCTTCCTGCATAATTATTTTCTTGCGAGAGATGCGTTCTCTACTCAGTTTCATGATAAAAATTGGGAGCCTCCAAAGACTGGAGGCAGTCAGGATGGACATGGTTATATATATTTGAAGGCATCCATAAGAATTTTTAGGGAGACAAGATCTGAGTTCCGCACCTTTCAATACCGGGAGTTGCCAGTGAAGCAGTCAATTCAGTTGTCAAGGTCCTGCCTCTAAAGAATTTGGTTCCCTTTCGTTTCTTGCCGCTTAAAATATAGAGCTAAATAGCCTACTTCCATGTTCTCTCCTCACAGAAGAAAAGGAGTTCTCGTATATATGACGTTTTTGCTCTTACAACAGCGTCAATTGATCATCCAGCGAGCACTTCGAGTATTTTTTTCGGAAATGAAATGTGTCTTGACAGAAAGTAGCCTTCGAGACTCATTTCTTTTGTGAGATTAGGATCGAGAGTCTCGAAGAAAATCAGGCTTTCACATAATCTGCAACTACGAGATCCTTTAGAGACTGTATAAAGAGAACTTCTTGTTTCTGTTTGCAGGAGATGAAAATTCTTCAAAATTGAACAATCTTTTGTCCTTTCAGACTTTGAAAGTTTTTGGCTGTGGGTGTTCTCTTTCCTTCACATGTAAACTTACACAACGATGATATATATCTCGGAGAGTTACATTTTCTCACTCTTTCATGCATCACTCGTTTGATTCTTGTAACAGTATATGCTGATCTGCTTGAGCTTCTAATGACAAAGGTATGTGTACAGCATTATTGCTTACTACATCTTAAAACGGACTTGAATCTACCGTATTCTCACTGCGTTTATCGAAGTAATAGTGAGGACCCATGTTGGCGTTCACACACATTGCACTTGAATTGATATTCCCATTTAACTCTATCTTGCCTGTTCCTTCTCAGTCCTCTTCGAGTCAAACGTTGAGTTTTCCAGGGCCCTCTGTCATCAAATTCAATAATACTGATCACTAGTAAGACACCTCAGATCACCATCGAGTTCACTTTTACAGTTCCAAGTGAAAAGACTAGATTTCCAAATTCTCTACAGTTGTCACTCTTGTTAGAAAATAGACGATGCACAGTTGCAACCACAATTCTATATATGTTGCACGCAATGCCGACACAGGATCAGTTGATAGGTAAGTGCCACAACAATACACAATACAAACGATCCATCATGCCACAGTTAATAGCAAGTAATTGTATATCAGTTTGATCCCACATTAACGTAGATAGCCTACCTTGCTCTATCATGGCGGAATAAATGTATCCCGTTGAGATATAAAACTGGATGACTTGCAACTTAAAATAACAAATTTAATAAATCTATTACCTTTTTATTCATTATTTATACTATATAATTCTAAACAAGCATATTTGGTGAAAACTTACTTTTTGGCATACGCGATGAACTTTGAGTTATAACTTTGTAATTAAAATCAAAACAATAAAGTTAAAAAATGCTTTTGACATGTTAAATGTGAAAAAAATATTTATTTATTTCATATATATATAATATCTTATAAAAAAATTATTAATATATAATTATAATATTTGAAACAAATAATTATCCAATATCTGAAAAATGGATATATTCCCCAACTTTTTCCTAGAAAAAAATATCTTAAAAATACCGATTGAAAGTTATATTTTTTATGCTTAAAATTAATTTATCATTAAAACTGGTTATTTTTTAGTAAAAAATAAATTAGAATATATATTGATGAATTATCAGATGATTTACATGGATTTTAATTTACAATTATTAATATTTTTTTAAAATATAATGTATACAAGCATAAAGAATCAAAATATTATAACTTACAACATGAACTAATTTATTTAATTTTGTATCAATAATATGAGTAGATATATGCAAACTAATCGACATGATAGTAGAACATATAATTTTGAAAAATTTAGCTAATTTGGGATTAAAACTCAAAGATATCAAAATTATGTCTTAAATATATTGTACCTTTTTGGATTAAATCCAAATTTATTTGAGAGAAGTCAAAACTGAATTCACAAGGTATGTATGTATATATATCACAATCTGTATAGAACAAGATTTATTCACCATCTTCATTTGAAATAGATTTTAAGACGAACACTGAACAACAAATGTAGTTTCAGATCTTAATTTTCTTATCATTGATTCTTCAGGTTTTCATATTTTTGAATTTTCAGGTATCGAACATGTGAATTTTCCTTCCATTACTATGAAAACATAAAGTCTGTCTATATAAGAATAAGAGAATAAGAATTCAGTTAAATAAGAATATGATACATACAAAACTTCATGTAAACTCACAGATAGAATTCTTTTAATGTTAGCAACACATGAGATATCCATATACTCGAGTAGAATCAAACAAAAGAATATAAATCATGTTATTTTATAAGTGAATATTTACTGTATGTCTATATTTTGATGTCTTTATGCGTTGATGTGATTAGAAAGCAGGCATGAAGAGATATGTGTGACTTTACTACAATATAAAATTCTCTCCAAGATCGACTTAGAGGAAATTTATGCAAACAATCAAATGTATACGTTGAACACGACAACCTTAATTAATACATACTAGTGTATGTATGACTTCCATTCCTTACTCAATCTATGATACTAATCTATCTGAATGATGCATTGAGTTTCAAAACTTTACGCATACCCATGAGTGGGTCACCTATGCTCATTCATGGCTACTTTTCCATACCCATAATCCATGAACATGCCTTAGTAATAGTGGGAATTGCGCCAAAAATGCCACTAGTGCCACTATTAATACTCGTCAGCGTAACACTATTAAGGGTCTGTGGCGCACTCCGCGAAGTGCCGTGGAACCAGAATGGCGGCGCGCACTATTGACTATTCGATTTGTTGGCTTGTGCTGAGCTATGCATCCAAAGAAGCAAATTACACCATTCTAGAAAGTCCACGAGGTGACATACGGTCTTCGGGTGATCAATGTTGATCCCAAGACAAATTTGGCCTGCAATGTTGTTTGCCGATTTTGTGAAATTTTTGGGAGAGGGGAACAACCTAGAAGGAAAAGAAAGGCAACAAGGAATGCCCAATACTACACAGTCACGTTTAGACTTGAGAGCTACCGCAAGCACAACGAGACACAACATACGTCCAATTGGAGGAAGTATCAAGCACTTGCGGATGACAAGAAGGGCAGCTTCTTTGACGTACTAGTGTAACCATCTTTAGTTAGTTAGAACTAAAGTAGAGTTTACTCTAAATATTGATGTAGATACTTTAGTGTGCACTAGTCATAGCTGCCACGTCAACGATCCGCGCACTTGGTATATACAGAGTGGATGTGTTAGTTGACAGTGCCACGTCAGCAATCCGTGTGCTTGTACGTAAGGATTGAATGTGTTAGTTAGTGTGTTAGTTGAGTGCGCCACGTCAGCGATCCGTGTGCTTGTTAGGGTTATCTGCCACGTCATCCATCCACTAGGAGTGGGATGGATGGTGGGGATTAGATCTTATCACCTTGTACTTGTTGGTGAGAGCTATATAAGGGAGAGGAGAATCATTGTTGGTATCTCTCATCTTCAGAGTTTACGTTTCTATCTTCGAGTGAGCTTCTCTTTAAACCCTAGTGTTACAACTAGTGCCAATCAAGAGTACTCTCCTCATCCACTTTAGATTAAAAACTGCACCGCGACTCTTTGAAATTGATGTGATCATTGTCGACACGATTATTGGCAGCATGTATTTTGATGTTGACGATGAGTCTGATTCGGATGAAGAAGCCAACGAAGTGGAGGTAGCTCTCTGCAGAGATGGTCGCCATCGTTGAGACCTAACGCCTTCGGAAATCCAGAAGCGGACTTTGAGTATCTTCATTCCGGTTCAGGATTTTTCTCCAGAGAATCATGAAAATGCCCATGTTGCTGCGTATAAGGTAGCAATCAAAAATGGCTACTTGTTTGACATGGTCGTCGAGTTTATTTTTCTTAGTTCATGTTTTGCCTCACTTCTTTCCTTGCTCAGTTGATGAAAGAGCTCAAAGGAATGGCTTGCTACTCTGATTGCAACCGTTGCAAGATCTCATCGTTCCTTCGAGTGATGTGCGCATCGAACATGCATATGCTTTCTGATCTTCTTACCGAATGTTGAACTTTTTTGCTGGCATAGGATGGAGCTGCACACCAAAGCACATACTATCTTGACATTCGGGTTCGCTTTTAGGCCGACGACGACATCCACAACTTTCACTTGCTGGCTCTGCCTATGAACGAGCGTCACACGATGCAATCAATGTTCGACATGGTCGCAAATGTGTTAGATGTGATTCGTCCAGGTTGGAGAAACTCCTTGATCAGCGTTGTGACCGATGGAGCATGGAACATGACTAGACGGCATGTCCGTCTGCTGACTCTTGGACTATGGCATTGGGCCCAATTTTATCAGGGTCCGGTGTGATGCACACCAGCTTGACTTCATCACGGTCGACGTCTATCAAAACTTGCTCCAAGACAATCTCTATTATGTTCTCTTGACCCTTATTGGCTATATGCCACGCCATCAGAATCTGATTGCTGATATGAAGACGACATGCCTGAAGGTTGTCATTACAAGTTGACTTTCCATGATCAAGGTCATGACCTGGTTCAAGAAGCATATGATAGTTGTTCATGCATACTTGGACGAGAAGCTCCCGCCATGCGAACCAACTGCAGCTTGGTGAGTGCTTATGATGATAGTCTATTCTTTTGCACAAGAAGGGTCACTAGTGTTCATGCGCTTCCAGGGCATGACGACTTTGGTGTCCCAGCAAATGGTCGAGTTGTCTAACCTATCACATACGTTCTGCGGGTTGGTGGGGGCAAAGGACCACTGCTTTAGTCCGAGTTGCAAGCCATGGCAAAAGCACCTTCTGATTTTGGTGGTTATGTCGCGAATGGAGAATTTGCAGCTTCTCTTTCAAATGTTGAGCAGTTTGTTCGGGGCCTTGGAACTTTCGTCTCTGCCAAGCTCGACGAGATTCCTGCCGAGAACGGCGAGCGGCGTCCCGTTCTCCGACTCGTTGGTTTGATGCTTCTTTCAACGGTTTTGCAGTTTATGTCGATCATTGTCGAGCGAAATATTGCCAATGAGCAAGCTTCTGCCAATGATCAACTTCCAACGGTTATGTTGCACAAGCTTGTTAAGTACAGGCAATCTCAGTTTTGTGCCACCGTTTGCAAGCATATCCTACGATTGCAGGCAGCCAAGTTTACATTGCAACTGATCAAAGACATTGAAGAAGAACACGGAGAGCTTATTTGATGCTACGATGCCGAGGAAAACTTGAAATTAGCAATCGATGCCTGGGATCACAAGACTTCATTTATGGACGGTTGGGTCTCCTTGGATCCCGATTCCCGGCTCTGTTTGAATTTGCAGGAGTCTTGGCTATGGTCTTTCACGGCACTTCAACAGTGGAGGCAGATTTGTTTAGGGACGGTTGGGATCTCCTTGGATCGCAATTCCGGGCTTTATTTGAGGTTACAGGAAGCTTGGCTACGGTCTTTCCCGACATTTCAACAGTGGAGGTAGATTTCTCCAGGCTGAGGCGTGAGAAGTATATTTTCAGGCAGAGCCTTTCTGATTTCGGACTTGAGTGTGTACTCTATGCCCAAGCAGCACAAAGGGCTACTGAAAATTACAACGAAGAATTGATGGTGTTGCTCTTTATATGGAGTTTGTATAGTGCCACTTTGATGCCACTAATAAAGATCTTGACATGCCACTATTAACTTAATATCGGTACTAGTGGCAAATGCCACTATTACTCATGCCTGTCCATGAGTCTATCGCTCTTGTTTGATTACACTTAATCCCACCCATGCCATGGCAACTTTTCCATACCCATAACCCATGAGTCCATCACTGGTGTTTGGTTACACTTAATCGGGTAACTCATTCTAAGTCATATCCATCCACTACCCACCCATGCATCTTAGCCTATACCCATTACCCACCCATTTACCCATGGGTATGGGTGGTTATTGGGTACCCGGTACTCTGCAGTGTATCATAGAGTGAGTGAGGAATATAGGTCAAAATAACCACATATATTAAATACGTAAGTATGTAATTCGCAAGAATGTAAGCTGCACGTCACTGAACATGAATCCCGGCCGTGTCAAAACCCACCCAGGCCCACTTATAGCAAATTGGTGAGAAGTTTACTCGAATCAAAGCATTGAAGTTGAAAGTTGCATAAAATTACAGAAAACGAGTCATTTTCACCTCCAATTTGAATATAGAAATGGAACCGTCAAATCAGTCCAGGTACAAAGATAAGACTTCACAGCTCTCGAAGGTTGACTGCATAGGTTCATGTGAAAAGTGTCCCCCGAGAATATTGTCGAATTTTACATGACATGAATCTCTACAAAGTTGCTAACAAACAGCACTTTGTGGAAGCTAGAAGAACCCTGCACTTTATCATAAATGAAGCTTTGCGGGTTACCTGTTAAGATTTGAGAAGACCAAGATCAGAGGAGACATTGCACATGGCTAGATGAGCATTTGCGCTGGAAAGCCATATGTACTGTTGGGGGAGATGTGATCAGGTGGGGGCCAAATGCAGATGTGGTCACCTTAAGGTTTGTGGATACTTTATCATTATTGAATACGTTCATGTTTCGGTAGGAGCAGTAAACTGAAGATCGGGCTACCGAATCGTAAATTCTAATTTCAATATGCTCCTCATATTTCCCCAAGTCTCTTGATTGTCCAGGTGTCAAGAAGTCGATTGGGAGATTATGCCGACCTTCTCGAGGTTCCCCTCTCCCTCTTCGATGTGAATGTGAACAATCTAATAAGTCTCTGGTGATGGTGGGCGTTCAATGCGAGGTTCTTGTTCCCAGCCTATCAATCAAAGCACACAAGTCTCCTTCACCGATGAAACTGAGCCAATAAGAGAGACGAAACCTTAAAAACGAGGCAAAGAAATAGTTCAAGAGGTCGGCCTTGGAAGAGTGGAATTCAAGTTTAGTGACTTCACGGCCACTGGTTCTCAAGATCAGTACACTAGTGAGCTCTTCAATAAATTACCTGGCCATGCAAGCCTTGAAGCCCGTCGGTGAGAGCTACAATTATCCGCATCATTATGAGAATGGGGGCCAAGTAAATAGCAGAATGAATGAATGGGAACACCCCATCAAGGCCTACAAAGATGAAAAAGTGCTGGACCCCAATAAATATCTCACTAGGAAAAATCCGAACTAGTGCAGGTCATTTTGTCTACAAAGAAGTTAGTTGAGCACCCGAAGAAACATCGCTTAAGGGTATGATTGCTCTAGTCTGTCTATAAGTAGCTAGTGATCTCTAGAGCAGTGGAAACAAGACCAATAATATGAAAAAGGCGAAAATGCATACCTTAGTGATGAGAGTTGACTAGACCTAGGTCTGTGATGGTAGGAACACTAGTGCAAATGCGTGGTTTCCGATACTGCGTCTCGAAGAACACCATTGATCGACCAGGTGTCGTAGGTAGTTTTTTCGTCCAGGTGCAGGTGAAGTCCACACATGTGTGCCATGTACTGTGCTGGTGTCCACTGTCCACGACGAATTTCCCAACCAAGATAGAAGACATCATGCCGCCCGGTCTCCTGCTCCTTTTTGTTATCGCAAAGCTCATTATAAGGCGATCGACTGCCGAGGTCCAGGTGAGAGGTCCACGCTTTTGGCTCAAACTGAAGATCGGGCAACCGAATCGTAAAATCACTTGTCACGAGGAAAGTCGAGAGTAGATCCGAGGAAACGCAGCGTATCCAAAAGGGATGCTTTTCTTGTCGAGCGTCTGGCAGGGAATGCGACGCAATGAAGGAAGGGAGAACAATGGAATGAGGAAGTTCGGATAGGGATCCAAAGATGAGTGCAGTGAAGTGCTTGACACTGAACAATAAATCTCTTAATCAAACCCAGACCTTCCACCATTAATCCTCGAGGATAAGAAGGTCAAATCTGCCGAACATCCAGCGAACGCGGCAAGGGATTTGACGCTGTGCCTAGAGTTGGCCCTTGCTCGTAGTAGGGCAACTCGAGCGGCGTAGAATGTTAGCTCTGAGATAATAATGAACACCTTCTGTTCCTTTGCATGGGTGCTTTCTAGCGAGGCACCGCGAACGCCCGTAAAGAATTTCTGGATAAACAGCGATAAGAGGTGTCCTCGAAGAGGATAAATAATTGCAAGTGGGCACTCGAAGCTGCATGGAAAGCAGTCTCGAACATGATTATGAGAAGGACCTGCGTTCTAGCCCGGCAGAGGTGGACAGTACCGGTGGCAATGAGTGCTCCATGGTATGCTGGTACTGCATGGGGGATTTTGTGGAGCATCTTTGAAGCAGACCAGGGATTCCGTCATTCTCTCGGTCAGATACTTCTACACATTTGAGTCAGCTGCTGCTCATGTTTTGTATTCGGATTTGCTTAACGGATGTTTGCCCTTCTTGGTGCGAGGATTATTATCCTGGACAGTATTCTCCGTAAACCGCTCGCCCACTCGCCATCATGATCCGCTGGACGGTCTGATACAGATCGAGCAGTTGATGATTCTGGCAAATGTGCATCAGAATGACGCTGAACGAAGCTTGTGAGCGGGTGTGAACCCGGAACGAGTAACTGCTGGCGTCCTTTGTCAGGGAAATAGGTCAGTCAGTTGATCTCTCAACCCTGCCCACCACGGAATCCTCATCTGGAGAAACCCCCTCTGCACGCATGACAGTAATATAAAAAATAAAGCAGAGCCTCTTGACCGGGTTCAAAATCCGCCAATTCCTTCTGTCTGGCCTGCGCTTTCGGATTTCCGCTGTCAGATTCGGTTTGAACCCTGCACGAGTTTACTTCAAGTTACCGTTGGCCCGTGTGTCCCCGGCGCTTCCTCGATCACGCGCTTTCGGTGACCAATATTTGCTGCTGCTGCTGCTTCCGCTTTCCCGATTCCGCTGCGGGTCCGAGCTTGTCTCCGGAGAGACCGTCGGGGACTGCAGCACAGTGCATGCATTGATGACGCCGAAGACCAGTACGATCCTCGTCTGGGCAGAGCTCAACTGCCCTCGGTCAAGAGCTGCAGTCCGGTCGCTTTTCAACGCCCGGCTTAAGTGCCAGTGAGCTGCACTGCATGATGGCGCTAGGCTCTGTGCGGCAGGGAGCATGATGCGGTCTTCGGAATGTCAAAACAGATTACCCATGGGTTCAGAGACCCTGGACGACGTTCAACTGACTGACACTTCGATGTTGGTGGCGGTGCACGCAGGCAGGGGGGGGCCATGTGGTCGCGCCAAAGGTTTGTGCTTTCCGAGACACATCGAGCAGCGCTTTTGCAGGAGCTAATCCCCTCTGCCTTAAAGTGACGGCCGTACAGGTGCCACGCATTCACGCAATTCAGAGATGGAAGCAGAAGCAGAAGAATGTGGGAGGAGAAAGAGCGCTGCGTGATGAGGAAAAACTCACTTATACAGATGGACCCAAGGCGGGCCTGCTCATAACAATATACAACTGGCACCTTAGTTTTACAGGGAGAGATGCTTGTAGAGTCATCACAACTGTGTGCGATCTCTGAGGCAGAAACCTATGCTAGGGATCGATCCCCTTTATAGTTTGAAAGGGCAGAGGGATGGGATTGCGCGAGCCGGTACCAGAAGTATGTTCAGCCGTTCTCTAAATACAATGAATGGCGGCTACAGTCTCTCTATCGCTCTGCTGCTTGTTTCCATATAACTTAAAACAGGAAAATGCGTCCGGAAAGCCCTCACTGCTTCTCAGCACTCTTCGTCATTTCATTCATAAGCTGCTGCTGGTGGTTGGTTGGGAGCTTGGCATGTTGGGCTGTCCACTACACTTATACACTTCTCTCTAAATCCTCGACCTGATGTAGTCTGGAACCCGGCTGCCATCGGTCAAGGACACCTAAACGCTAACTACACAATGATGTAGATCGAAACTTCTGAAGTTACTGATGTTACTTCCTGCCCGTAGTGTAGATTCATAATCAAGGGAAAAACCTGATGTGAAGGCACCTTGAGTACAGACCACACCAAATTAGGAGGCTGGTATGGAGGGAGACTCTTCTATGTACAAAGTCCAGCCTTGAGAGGTAGGTTGAGTTCAGATCTGAACTTAGACTGACTATGAAGTAATGTTGGATGTTGTAGCTGTCGTGACAACAGGTTTGAAGGATGATACAGAATATGACGGCGATGAGGTTAATGAAGTTAAGCTCTTCCGAAAGGTGAAAGAGGCGGGTCAGGACAGACCAGCTGGTAGCTAGTTAACGGCTTGACACAGAACGTTTCATCGCTTTGTCTCGTAGAAATTGATCTCAAGGTGGTGGTGGCGGTAGTGGTGGTCGTGGTTGTGGTAGTTGTTGTGGTGGTGGTAGACGAAGAAACTTTCACTTGGGTACGGCATATCCCGCGTTTCTTCGCATCTCCGACCTGCTTCGTCACGTTGAGTGGATCTCGGCTATGTAGAACAGCAACCGCCGTAGCGAATGCATGTAATGGTGAAATCGGTGCTTGAAATCCCAACGAATAGCAGCCTTCCCGCAAAGCAGTCAACGTTAAACCCATGGTCTCTTGCTTCTTGCCCTGCCAAAAGAAGTAGAGTCAGCAACATGAACAAAAGCAAGTGGGTGGAATCCACTTCAAGGAACACGTCTTCGCCTTAACATGCGTCTCAATGCACTGCCATTGACAAAAATGGGTGAAGTAGATGAAGAAGTTGACGATACTCACTTGAATAAAAAGTCTCAAGGAATTATCTTGCGGTTCTTCTGCAGCAGCGGCCGAACCGTCTGCAGGCTCCATCTTCTGGTTGCCCAAGACAGTCAGACCACACCCCAGGTCCCAGCTGCCACAGTCGCACTTGCCACCAGATTTCCATCTCTCGACTAGAGGCTGCGGGCCATCCACCCCATTTGCGCTACAGCCATGGTTACCAGCTGGTAGTATGAGAGTCACGCTCATACCTCCCTTACATTTATCATTAACGGGCATGCTCCCGCATGAACCACAAACTTTGTCACGAGCGATGCCTTCGCTAGGCACGGCTGCTTCACCAGCTTTGCTGGATCCATCTTCACTCACACCCCGTACCAATCCAGACTCTTTGTTCGAAGACTGACCCTCTGCAGCTTTGGCCGCACTCCCAGCCTTTGGTTTTTCAGGTGTCGAGCCTTTCCTGAGAAAATTGATGCCCCATCCCCACTTGTCTCCACACGATGAGGCCTTGTCCTGCTCTCTGCCCATAGGAGCTCGCACTACAACAGCCGCAAGCTCGCTCTGGGACTGCGGCAAAAACCTGGTGATTCTAGACTCAGAGCTGTCGTCCAGAGTTTCACTGTCACTCCACGACTCCGAATACCCATAATTACCTGCCATCTTCGGATTGTACTGCAAAGGACTCGAGAGAGTCACATGCCGTTCCAACTGTCTCAACCGAAGCACTCCCTTGTCGAGACTCGATGAACTTTTGTCAAGGCTCGAACCTGAAGGCCTGGAGCCTACCGCAGCTGGCATGCTTTGCGACACATACCTGGACGAGGGCAGGGTTAGAGCAGGCATGGAGCCTGAGCCCCCCTCCGAGGTACCGAAAGCAGCACCGGCAGGAGAAGGCAGGCTGAAATAGGTAGAACTAGGAGATGAAAAGGAGGAGGACGGCAACCGCGGTGATCTCATAGGGGTGGCATCCCAAGAGGAGAAACTCGATCTCGGGTAGCTGCTGGAGGTCGGAACAGAGATCGAGATTTCCTTCACTCTAGCATCCAGCAGCACGAATTCGGACTCTACAAAATTTTGAACTCCACTGCAGCTCAGCAGAGGACTGATAGTCGACGTGACCTTCATGTTCCCGGCGAAGTCCGATGAAGGCTTCTCTTTCTTCCCCCACTGTCGCCAATGGGTGATCTTGCCCTTCCCTTTTCCCTTATACGAATGGAAAGTATACAGATGGCTCACCCCTTCCTGCAACCCAGAATCCACTCTCTGCGTCTTGGCGACGAAAATCTCTTCCGATTCGTCCATAATCAAGCTGTAGCTCGGGAGCCCATCTCTCGTAACCACGCATTGCAAGCGCCCGCTCTGCAGAGACGATGCGAGGGACTGAGAAGACGTGGACGCCGAAGGAGGAGCTTCGGGGGCGTGAAACTCTGAGGAATGCGACGAGAAAAATGGAGGCCTGCCAGTCCCTGCTCGCTTCGCAGTGGGCAAGCAGCGCACGCCTTTCAGGACAGGCCCAAATGGTCGACATAGAACCTCGAGCTCGAGCGCGAGATTCTTCGGGACGTGCCTCGAGAGCCTGCTCCCGGCCTTCACAGAACCTCGGGGCGAGCCCCCGCCGCCATTACCAGCACCACCACCGGCGCTGCTGCCGCTCGACCTCTTCACGGGCGTGCCCGAGCGCACCTTCTTCGACGCGGTGGAGATGAGCGCGACCTTGGCCGATTTCGAGTGCGCCTTGATCTTCTCGGACGACGACTCGGCCAGGCCGTAGACGGCGGCCCACGACGCGAGGATCGACGCGCGCGACTCCTTAGCCGGATCCCGCCAGGCGACGCGCACCGGGCTTGCGCCGCTCCTGGCCGACGCGCCCCCACGCTGGGCGTCGGACCCCGCGCTCTTCTCGACGCTCGACTGCGCCTTCCTCAGCACCGCGACCGCGCCCGGTCCCGATACCTTCGAATCCTGGAACGCAGACTCGAGATTCCTCACAGGCGGCCCTTGCCCCGGCCCCGGCCCGGGGGCGCCATCGGCGGCGACGCCCGGCCCATCCGCGGCAGCCTTGGCCAGATTTTCACGGGCCGCGGCGAGCTCGCGTTCCTTAGCAGCGAGCGACCGCAGCGACTGCACGGGCTTCATGTGGCCCTTCTCGGCCCAGAGCCACTCGATGCACGCGGCGGAGACCTTCGCGGGGCTGTCACCGTCCCAAGGACTTCCGTGGGGCGGCTTCTTGTCGGAGCCGCGACCGAGTTGCGCCTTGTGACGCAACGAAGGTATGGCGGTGAAGGCCAAATGTTGGCTCAGGACCGAGCCCAGGCTGCGAGCTCGCCTCGATGTCCCCTGCGTGAGGCTCGATTTGAGATTCTTCTTCTCGAGCTCGCTCGTCGTCTTGCCCAGCGAGCGCAGCAGATCGCGATGCTGCTTCGTTCTGATCACGGACGCCATTCTGTCTTCCGGATACAGCTGAATATGCTCCTTCGACCCGCCCGAGGTCGACGAGACTTTCTTTGGCGGCACGGACGCGGAATTCGCATCGAAGAATTGCGTTTCGCTGCTCCAATCTTCGGTGCGGTCCTCCGTGTAGACGCTCGCGTCGTCTTCGACGTCCCCGCGATCACCCACATCGCGCGCGCTGGTCGGGCCGCCTCGCTCGGTGCTGATGCTGTGCGTGCCCGACCAGTCGGAGTCGTGCGAGCTCCCGAAGAAGCTCTCGCTCTCGGGCGATTGCGTGGTGGCGGATTGGTACACGGTCGGCGTGGCCGCGCTCCTCTCCGCGAACTCCTCCGAGCTCACATCCTCGTCCTTCAATCTGATGGAGAACTTCCTCCCGCTCTGCCCATTCCCCTCCTCCTCCGCCTCGACGTCCTCATCGTCGGGGCTCTCGACCATCCGCCCGTCCAGGAAATTGAACTCCAAAAAGTTGCCATTCTCCTGCTCCGCCGCGCCCGATTCCTTGGGCTTCGCATCGGACGCGTCCGACTTCGATCTGTCCAGCAGCGTCAGCTCAACGAACTGCGCATCGTCAGTCACCTTCTCGCCCTCGCCATTCGCATCGGTGGAAGGCCGGGCCAGAGCTGACAGAGGAATCCTCACACTGGACATCGAGAAGCCATTCGACTGACTGTAACCCGAAGCGGCATAATCTCCCTTGGCGAACGAGCTGCCCTCGCTCCCGCACGAGAACGAGGACGACTCGAGAGTGGACACCAGAGACGAAGAGTCACTCCCGGAGGGGGAGTGGAAAATGCCTCTCCGAGACGAGCGCCTGCTGCTCTTCGACTCGGAGTGACTCCATTTCTTCCCGACGAGATTCCAGTCCTCGACTCCGAACCGCAGAGCTCGTTCTTCGAACGTCTCCTCCTTCGTGCACGATTCCTCTTTGGTTCGTACCGATCTGTCGCGAGCTCCGCCGCCGCCCCCGTTCGTGTCCAGATTCGAGCTCCCGTTCGCTTTACAGCTCGCGGGCTTCTTATCGCAGAGGACGTACGTATCGACGGTGCGGTCGAAGTGGTACTCGAAAGTATCTTCGGACATGAATCTGGCGTGTCTGTGCGAGCTTCCTCGGCACCCGCTCTTCTCCCCAGAATTAGACTTCTTTGGGCCCCGCCTGCTGCTGCTGTTGTCCGACTCCTTGCGCCTCGACGAGTCTTGTTCCGAGGTCTTGTCTCTGGAGATTCGATAGTTCGACGGCAGCTCGTGACCCAGAAACTCCTCATCCCACATGGCTTGCTCCCGAGGACTCAGCTCGGTCAGGTCGCGCCGGCTGCTACCCGAATCCTTGCGCTTGGAGTGATGCTCATCTACAGATCCTTCCCGCGAGATGATGTAGTTGGGCGGCAGATCGTGCCCGAAAAACTCCTCGTCCCACATGGCCCGGACGTGCGAGTCATCCCCGCCATCGCACGATTTCGCACCGACGCGATACTGCGGGTGAATGCTCCTCAGCGAGGCTAACTTCCCGCTTCCCGTCTTCATGAAACCATGAGAGCGAGTACTATCGCGCATTGTCGAGCTGCGTCGATGTTTGCAATGACCCGTGGATTTCAATCAGTAAGCTGGCGTCCGTTCCATAAGACAGGTCCGACCTATTGACAGTGATGAACACGAATTAGTCTCGGGGCACGCGCGCGATCAACGCACAGAGTTGATGACGCGCAATAATGAGCGTCGGGCCAAAATCCAACTTCCACATTCCAATCTATCATTTACAACTGCTCGCCGCCCATTTCCTATCGGCGGCGAGATGAGCATGTTGATCCGCTATGGCTGCAGCGAAACAGGGCAAGCTACGAGAGAGTCCAATAAGTAACAACCGGCCACGACAAACAAATCTCCACCCTCTCGGTGAATTGTCATCGAGTTACAGAGCACACGCTGCACCGCAGAAGACAAAACGACTTGACTCGCGTTGACGAGCGAGTACGAGCTCAGCTGACATTGTGTGACAGATCTCATGACACATGCACAATTGGAATGAGCCATCCCGTACGACAGTGTGTGTCTTCGAAACGACCGTGCCCACCTGGAAAAGCCATGGTGGGATGTTTCCGAAGTGGAAGTGGGTGGGTGTGGATGTGCGCCAATCAGCTTAACAAACGACAGCAGACTGAGACTGTGACAAATCACAAAAGCTACGCCCTGAAACTTGGCCAAAGTTTGGCAGTAAGAGCTATGCCGGACAGACCAAGCGCTGTACCTGATGGAGAAGAAGTGGGAACGTCAGCCTCCGGTGATCCATAAATACATAGATCGGCTGCACTGCACTGCCCGACCAACCAATCGAGAACCTCACGCACTCCTCTTCATCCTCCTTCCCCTCCTGCTGCTCCTCCTCCTCCTGCCCGATGACGTTCAAAGTTCACCAACGAATGGCAGCAATCCCTGCGAAACGACTCCGTTCGACTTCCGGCCACCAATCCTGACGAGTCCTTCCGGGTTACACCAGCATTTGAGCTTCTGCCTGTTCTCTACTTCTGCTCGGGAACTAGTTCAATCCTTTCTAATTAGCCACATTGGACTGCTACGGCACGAGCTGTGCTTTCCTGTGGGATACGGAGACCATGCTCATCCGTTCGGAGATGGACGAGGGAGATACGGCGGTGTGACTCTGGAATCGCGACGAACGCGTGCGGTCGTTGAGGTCTTCTTCTAATGCTATTCGCAGAAAGTAACCATATCCCCAACAGCAGCTGCTAAGACAAGTGCATGAATCCAATGCTTCGGAAAGGAGAGGGTGCGATCACAACACACACACGCACACAAACACACAGGGCCCGGATCAGGCTTCTCGCATGCAGGAAGAGGTCTTACTCGGGCGCTCTTTCTCTCTCTCTCTCTCTCTCGCCCTCTCGCGGCCTCTAGCTGCCTCTGTGTGCCACTCGCTACTTTCCTGCGACCACCATCGCCTGCGCCTTCCACCGAGGCAGTGCTATCACCAGACGCCCTCTAAGCGCATCGATGGCATGGAACGAGGCTATCCTCGCCTCGGAGAATCACCGGCCCGCGCAGGCGAGAGAGCAAGAAAGACGTGGCCGAATCGACACGATGTTCTAATCAGTATTGGCAGTTGGTAATGGAGATCAGATCTATCTGCTATCTTGCTCCCTGCGCCTCTCCTCTCCTCTACTCATTCTCTTTCTCTCCTCACTATCTCACGCTCGCTCACGCACACTCGCTCTCACTCCTTCATTGGCCATTCATTAGGCCGAGTACTCAGGCATCGCAATAATAGCCATTGTCGCAGAGAAATTCATGGAAGCCGAACCTTTTTTTCTTCCTTCCATCAGTCAAGTAGGTCAGTCCATCAGTCCATCAAGGAGCATCGGAGCCGCAGCAGAAGAATAAGCTCCCTCTCCCTCCCGTGTGCGATGTTTGCATCATTCTGCCGCGTAGCTCTCCTCCCTTCACTCGCCACTCTTCCTCCCTCCAGTGGCAGCCCAGCCCCAGACACAGAAGAACACGGCCCCCCCTCCTCCTCTGCCCCCGTTCCCCCGTTCCCCCGTTCCCCCCCGCGCACCCAACGGCACTCGCCTCTCGCCTCTCGTCTCACCCCCGAACTCGACGCAAACGCAAAGGCTAAGTCCCCTCCCTCGCCCTCCTCCTTCTCCTTTCCTGCCTTTCCTGCCTTTCCTTTCCCCCGCCTTGACTTAACTTTCCTGTGCCCGCACTGTAGGACGAAGCGAGCTCCCCCTGTCCCTCGCTAGGACCACCGCACTCCACTGCCTCCTGTCTGCTGCCCGGAACGGATTCTTTCTCGGTAACCCGGGTCGAGGCGAGTCGATGCACCCCACCTTCTCCGAGTCCCGTACGTCCGGTCGTCAGGTACAGTACCGAGTGGACCGAGCGAGTTACCCTTCACCCTCGGCTGCTGCCCTCTCGCTGCCCGTTGGCTGCCCCATGGCTGCCCGCTGGTTCAAGTCACCACTGTTCTTCACCCGCGAACTTCCTCGTTCGTGGACTTCATGATGCCCGCTGAACTTTACTGCGTAGAATAATTCCACCCCACGTAGCAATTATTTACCCCCGTGACCGATGAGTGCGAGTATCTTGACTCCCCGAGGTGAGATATCTTGTTCAGTGTACGTAGCCCGGCCCCCCGTAACATGGTCCTCCGTCTTCTGCGTCCATTAACCCTGACCCCCGGCCTCGGGCTAACTAACTAACTAACTTCCACGGTTCCCCACCATTTACTGCTGGGTGGAAGATCGGGCTAACCAACTCTCGCCCGGGGTCAAATCCCGGAGGGCTCACCTCACCGTCCCTCGCCAAAGAATGATTACCGCTAATATATGGTTCGATAATGATTTTGCGGTCGTTCGGCGAAATCGGTTTGAATTTCGCAGGATGCGGCGCCCGTTCTGGCGCCGTATCCGATACGTATGACAGACCGACCGTCGAGCGCTCGGGAGGGCTAGGGCTAGGGCCAGGACCGTGCCACTTGCCCTCGGTTCAGTCGAAAGGGAGTGGCATATTTTTCGGGCGGTGGGTATCGCATCTTTCATGCCCCCTCCGCTTTCTTTTCCCGGCCGAAGAAGAATCTGTTCGGTCTGCGCGAGAGCGATCATGGCATGCGTGGTGCGTTTCCCAGGCTTATTAAATTAAGACCCTTTTCGTGGCCTCCACTGTGATGCAGCCCGTCAGGATCTCACTCTCGCTCTTAATTGTGCCCATCTGCGGTAACTCGCTTCCAAAACGCCCGACTCTTGTCTTGCTCGCCGAAGTAACTCCCGTCTATAATGACTGACGGCAGCATTATACATTCGCCTCTTCGTAATTTTAATGCCTGCTCCTCGGACCCAATTCGTTCACGTTCTTCGCTAACTCGGGAAGCAAAATCCCGACGACTGGATGTCCATCCGATCTCGAAGCGTGAGGACGCGAATGCAGCCGGAATGAGTGTTGATATTCCTCCCACTAATTTTTCTCGATGGTGTTTGGGTAAGTTGCGCATGTTCAAAGACAGGATACCCTCCTTCGTAAGCCTCAGTATTGCCCAACCCCGTTGGATGAATGATATGCCCCAACGTAAAATTTGAGTTAACCGTGCAATCTTGCTCGGTTTGAAACTGACTACGTGTATGTATACCATAACGGAGATTCCACTCGTGTTCGTGACCAATCCCCCATATCTGCATTCGAGTATCTCACATCACGAATACAGTAACATGCTTTCCCATTCATATTCCTCATATTCCTCATGTCTTGAGAGCCCCCAAACAGGCAGCATTTGACTGCAATAGTGCTAACCTTTCAGCTGACTACGAGCTTTTGGCCCCGATACATTACAGGGCAGAGAGAGTACATGCTCGCCCTTGTAGCTATTCAGCTCAGGACGTGTGGATACTATTTCCTACTAACAAACTGTCCGTGTTGGATGATTGTACATTGCTGTCTTTCACGTCGGAAGTCACACTTGTCTCATCCTACAGCATCATATATTTGTCGTCCCTTAGCGACTCATGAAGCGACTCACTGCAAAAAATGACAAGTTTTTCTAGCCAATATATGCCAGACGAGTGTGATATTCTACAGGTGCAGTAGGAACATTTCATTTTAATGCTTTAAAAAATCCTCCCATGTTTGAATCTTTAAACCAAAAAAACAGTGCACGACTTGATTGGAGAAAATCCCAAAAGCAATAAGTAATAGTACGGAGAATGACATGACTCTAGATTTCTTATATAAAATCTGGAGAAGAAATATTGTATGGTTAAAAGATTAGCTGAGCCTTTATATACGTATTTGACTTAAAGCAGATTCAGGTGTCGTATGAACGCGCATTCTTGTCAATTAAAGGCGCACAATATGAGTTTCAAAATTCCAACCAGATCAAATAAGTTCTTTTAGAAAACGATGGAAAGAAGTCGCGTAGCCTTCAACACTTCACCTCGGGTTCTTATGTTGACATAAATTGATGAAATAGTTTGTAAACAAAAACAGTGCTCGATGAAGCACCAAAGGACGATGTTATGAAAACTGCTATTAAGGTGATTAACCATGAACCATAATGGTCAAAGATTTTAGACTTCACTATATATCGGAGCTGCAGTTAAGGTAATGAATAGGAAAAAACAGGTACGATTCAGAGCGTATACACATGCGATCAGAGGACACCAAAAACTATATCAAGATACTTCAGACCGGGGGACGGGAGGACGCACGGAAGTACATGATCCTCATGTCGAAAGTATTCCCTCCCTCATACAAAATGAGTAGCTTCCACAAAATGCTGCTAAACCCTTTCTGAAATACTTTCAGATACTTTGATCCTCACCTCGCCTCGTAAAAAAGGAGTCGATTAAAACAAGAGACACTTACTCGGGGGTCGATCTTGTCCTGCGGATTCAAACAAGCGTTGGTTCGATCTTGTCATTCTGATTCAGGCGTGTCTTGTTTGAAATTGACATGTAGCGGACAAGTTTACCAGGCGCCCAGTTGTCAGAGTTGTCCCTGCGAATGTGCTGGGCAGGAATCTTACCTAACCATGCTGGTCACTGTACGCTCGCTCCTGTTCAAGGGCTCGGATTTAAAGCCTTAGCCACACTCTGCGATGGCAATTTTTTACATGGGAACCTGCAATGGGCATGGTGGAGGTTTATCAGCACAGTAACAAACATTCTCGTAACCCGACCCACTTTAGCTTTTGAATCCAAGCAAAGCGCCAAAAGAACACGATCACTGCTTTCTCGTCGGGCCCAAAGTCAAACCTAGCACTCAGCCCTACTAATTAAGATTTGCGTATTTCGCAGCTAATAACTGGTTCGAGGTAATTTGACTGTTTCGCCAATGGTTGAATCACTGCAGAAATCTAGGGTTTGAAGGAGAAGTCGTTTGACCGCTCTATCCCTAGCTCCCGTGTGCCGACCATGGCCATCGCCCCCAATACTTCAGGAGCAAAGTTTGCTGATCCGAGGGGAGTGACAAGGTCATGCATACGGTCACGTAGCAAGAATTTGGGAGGTTTCGGCCTCAAGGCTTGTGCCTTGTTTAATCATTGCCACCTCCCCGATCTAGAGTGCCTTGGGTACTGCGCAGCAAGCATTTCGAATTCTCTCCCATATTATTCGACACTTCCCTCAGTTCCAGACTATACGGCATACTGGTCATCGTGTTGTAAATACTGAGTCAAGTTGCATGGATCATTCAATTATAACCTTCGACAAGAGTCACGACTGACCCCCAGGAAGTACCAAAAACTGGCATTTTCCTCGGTTCCACACCATGTGGCATACTTGACATTTCACTGTAGATATTGAGTCAAGTTGCATGGTTCATTGAAATATAACCTTCGACTAGAGTCACGAGTGGCCCCCAGGAAGTACAAATAACTGACATTTTTCTCCGTTCCAGACCATATAGCATACTTGACATCACACCGTAGACATTGAGTCAAGTTGCATGGACCATCGGAAAATAACAATCAACAAGAGTCAAGACTGGCTCCAGCAAGTACTAAAAACTGACATTTTCGTCAGCTCCAGACCATATAGCATACTTGCATCACACTGTAGCAATTGAGTCAAGTTGCATGGATAACAATCAACAAGAGTCAAGACTGCCCTCCCAGTAACTACCGGAAACATCCTTTCGAACCTTGTGTTTCAAACCTTCGGAGCAACCGCTGCTCCTGCAGAAGAGTCTTAACGGACCACAGTTCAGAAGCAAGTTGACCATTACTGTACTAACCTTGAAAGACCGCATCTGAAGACTGTCATACCTTCGATCGACGTATCCGAATTTGGAAGAATTCCCTGTGCATGTCAGTGAATGTGGTTTTATCTCCTGTTTGTAGTGACAACAACCCTTGGAGGCTCTCAAAGTGATGCTTCTAAGGTGTATAGTAGCATTATATTGTATTCCACCCATACAGAGGGAAAACCGCTTCATGCACGGGATAAAGCGAATTAACAAAACCAGCACAAAGAACACAAAAGCTAGTCCAAATGTAAATGGGTATGAGAATGTAGTAAATTTCTTCACGATAAATTTCTATCCTTCTGACCGATATGCTCATGCCTCTTAAATGCAAATTTCAAAATATGATAGTGACAAGGGGTCTCAAACAAATACTTCCTATCATAGAAAATAATACTATGTATAGCTGCAGCTAGTGCGGTACACCGAAGCATTAATGCGCAGCCTAAAATCTTATGAAAGTAAACTTTTGAAGTTTTATGATATAAACTGCCTTTCTTGTTTTGGCAATAGATTCTCTAGCAAAAACGACGAACTTGGAATATATTGACAGATGTTTCTCGGGAGCAGTGGGTTTCAAGCTGAATTGCAGCACACTGTATTTGTCATATCTATCAACGTCATGTCATGAGAGTGTAATGTCTTAAAAAATGTATATTTATAAGTCCTTCAAATATCCAAATTGACTCTTTACAAATTGCTTCGATATTTGCAAATCAAAGATTGAGCGTGGCACTTCCGGAAAAATATACAACATCATGTCTTCTTTCTACTGTTATGTAACTCACAATACAGTGCCACAAATTGTTCAATTACACGAGAATAGAAATCAGCATGTACTTGAAGTTTATAAGAGCACCGTCAAGACAATCAAATCAAATGCAAATAAGAGTAAAACTCAACACCTATTTCTTGTCAACTTCACTATTAGGTTGAGCCAATGATCATGAGTTTGACGGGGCTTCGAGCTTTAGTTGAAACACATTTGGGTACTAGTTTGTACGGCTAAGCAGTCGGTTGATGGACTGAGCAAAGAGAAATTACTTGAACACAGAATAAAATATGAGATGAGGAATATTTTATGAATCTGCGATTTCATAGCAGCCTACTAGCTGACAATTCTCTAGTTGCCTTTGAACATATGGTGTGTGTGAGGAGATGGTGTTTGTGAGTCTCCTCACACACATCATCTTTCTCCATCCACCCAAAAGCGGCTTGAAAGACCAAATCTATGGACCAACAAAGCTGCAATGATATAAGTCTGGCACTCATTGAGATGTTGACAAGATCCTCTGAAATAGAAGGTGGTTATAAGGTTGTAGTCAAACATGTACTCAATCAATACCAACTTGGCCTACTTGGAAGATGTACTCGATGAGTTTGTGGGGACAAAGCTTGACTACTTTCTGGTATAAATAAGCTATCTGAAGATGATCGAGCACAAAAGGAGAATGAAAGTCCCAGAATTTATCATCCAGAGTTTATTTATTGTGGCATGAACACTTTCACGGCTCAATGCTTCATTTCCTAAGAGAATAATGAGGAGTAGTAATTAGAGTTCGAGAGGGTCAAGATCAGACGAGACGGATATAAAAGGTGGTATCAGAAAAAATACATTAGGAATAAGTGCACTCGCTGGTACCCAAATTCCTCTTCATTTGGATATCGAAACGTGCTGAGTAGTGCATGCTTGGAATAATTTGATGATTTCAAGGAAGGTCCGTTTCAGGGGAGGTAGTATGTGACCGTCCACTTCGCCCAAGAATGGACCGTTTCTCTTGATTCCCAACGATTCTTTACAACGCCAAGTTTATTGCGTCGGTTTGAACCATCCACAGATTTAACCACCATCACATGGAGACAGCACCCTTCTTTGTCACAGCAAAGTTGTGTTCATGTCGCTAATTGCTAGCGCACATGCCGCCGATCAGTGACATCCACAGTCGTGAGTCCCATCAGATGAACTTTCAGGTAGTTAGCAACTTTCGACTCATGTTCAAGCCTACAGAAAAGATCTGCTGATCGAAACAACATTCTAGTTCAACAGCCTCTATAGTTGTCCGACCAGCCTTGCAACGAAAAGCATATCTAAGTTGGTATGCGCCGATTAAAAGACTGTCGTTCTTACGCTCTGAGAGCGGAACAAAAAGCCAACAGAAGATAAAGAGACCAAGTCGAAGAACTGATCTGTCAAGGTGGTTAGATCATATTTCGAACAGGTATTGTGACCAGCTTTCCATAACTTTTTGTGCGGATGTGCCTGACGGCTATTGCGAATCATGTGAATGTACAATGAAGCGCCACTACCAGAATCTTTTCGTTCTTTTCTAACCCAGTACAAGTAGTTTGTAGGGAACCAAAGCAAAGTCGACATCATATCTCGATACGACTACTTTTCCATCTCTTTCATTGTTCTATGACTCGGTGTACCAGAAAGTGACGTAAAGTGAACCAGAAGGCACTCCTGGATCCTTCAAAGTTGGGAACACTGCGGACCACAAGTTCTGGGAGAAACATGTCACGTTCGATCACAGTACGTTCTCCGATTCGAAAGCCAGAGTTTAATACTGTCTCATCCGAGGAGGAAGAAAAAATAATTGCCTCCATTGTCTACCGACACAATCAAAGAATTGGCTGCCCAAAAACATCAGAACGCATCATAACTCCACTACCTCCCTTTCTTTAGGCTCAAACCCAACACCTTTGTGCCAAATTGGAAATCGCCTCGAACTCCAAGACCTTTCACTCTTTCGAAGAAAGTCAGCTCGCGACCGCTCTCGTTCCAATCTAGTCCAAATTCAGCAATAGCATCTTCATGCGAGCAAATAAAACCAAGAGCAAAAGACATAAAGCCTCCAAGAGCAAATGTGTGTTTTTTTAAAGCATGTCGCGTATGCCTAGACATCTTAATTTAGCACATTCCTGTCAGCGCCTCTGAGCCGCAAGCAAGCCAGATGCCTCCCCCTCCTTCCTTGGCTGGGAGAGAGTGGGCGCGACGAGAGGACGAGGGCAGAGGCGAATAGGTCAAGAGTCGCGGATCATGTTTTCCACGTATTGTTGGGTCATACTTCGGTCGACATGCAGAGTGACTGGAATGTTCTAATGGTTTTTTAACTTGGGTTCCACATGTACATCACTGTGCAAAATTATATAGTATATGTTGATGAAATTTGTTAGATGTTAACGATTTGTTCCAGTTCGAATACATGTTCAGCGCATACATTTCCCAAACACTTAGCTTATTGCGTTATTTTTCTAGTTAAATAGTTTGATATTATAGAAGTTAATATTACAAAAGCATGCTTCTTCTAAGAGCTTGTATTTTTCATAATTTGCATGCGAAGTGAGGTTAGTGGATGCTGATTCTACAAGTGGGAGAAGATACATGATGGAGTCACGTGTGTCTTTTTCTAGCCATGTCTTGATTCATCCTCATGATCTCAAACAGAAATATGTGATGAGCCAATGTCTTAAACACAAAGGTTAAATTCCATGTGCAAATTAGATTTTTAGTGAAACACTCGACATGAGATCACATCACTACTTGTCACTTCGAAAATCATGCACGTTGAATTCTTTTTCCTTTATATATATTCACTTGAGAACACATAATACTTTCCATTCACTTCTGGTGTATAATTTGTCAAAGAAACCCTTAAACTCCCTCTCAGCGATCATGTAGGATAACATGTAACCATGCAGAAATGCTCTTATTTCTTATACCAGATATATATTTGCTTTTGTTTGTAAGGACATCATTACACTAGTCATGTCTAATCTGAATAGTCTTGAGCAGAGGTTTCTTCTTATACTTGACATGTGATTCACACATTCCTATTTGTATGAATTACATAAGCCTTCGAATACTTCACAACCAGACTTGCTACTTAACTTTTTTTCCTAATCTCTACCATCATTATTTCAAAGTGTAATGCAAAACCTTTTTAGCTCATTCATACTAATAACTTAAAAGATCATAAGGCTTTGAATATAATTCAATAATGGTGACTTATTCAACTTAGATCATGATTTGGATAAAAATGCATTAACTCTAAATTAATTTCCTCTAATCACAAACTACCATTCCACGTCTCATGCACATTCATCTCATTTGATATGTTTATTCAATAAGCTAGTGTCACGATTCATTTTTTATGCATGATAATTATGACTACGTTAAGAACATTTTGTTATCATTCAAAAATGCACCAAACAAATGAGCATCTCAATGTGTTACATTTCATGTAAAAAGAAGATCAACATCTTTGTTGATTATGCAAAGCGGAATGAAATAACACGCAGTATTTTATATCAAGACATTTTGACTCTTTATTATCTCATTTATTTGTGATTGCATAAAGTTAAACCTTGATAAATATGCAAAGGAAGTAAATACTTTATCATTTAGTTAGTAATATAACCACAACATACAAGCATAGATTGATACCTTAAGCCATGAAGTGAGATAATAGCTTTTACCTCTTCTATCAACCAAACGTCCATTTTAAAATTGATGGATCAACATCTTGAATATACTTTACATTCACTTCATGAATCTTCTTTTGTCAGGATTTCGAGCTTCTGAATCTCAATTTAATTATGCATTGGAATTTCCCAACTTTCGCATTATCATCACCCTCCCTTTCAAAATATATTTACTTATTCATTACTCACATTTAACGTGTTACATAATCAAAAAGTATATGAAAATCCATAATGCTATTAGATTAATATTATTTGCTATTGTGTAAGAGTGTTCAGCATTGAATTTTTTTATATGTTATGCTGTCGACAAACTTTACATCACGTCCATAATCCATGAATTATTTATTTATTGTGTGAAGATTGATGATCAACGACATTGTGGCGGATGTGTCATCCATCATCTTCAGATCTATATTGGATCACTACAAGTTACAAGCAAAAGTTATAACCATCTGGTTATAACTACCAGATATTTAGAACTATTATTTTAAGTCATATGGAACATTGTACATAACCTTTAAAATGTCTATGAATCGGTTTATTGTAGCCTATCAATTAGCCGGCATTTTTTTATCAAAATAAAAGAAAAATCAGAGAACAAAATAAACCAGATAGAAGAGTAATATTTGAATGAAAAACATCAAACGGTATACCAAGACTTCATAAAAAACAATGAGGTTATATTATATATAGAGATAATACAATTACTAATCCACTTTATTTACATCCATATACGAAAGTTTCAATCTAATCCTTTATAGACACATCTGGAAAGAAAAGAATCTCAACATTTTCTGCACTGCATCAGAAGATATATCGCACCTAACTTGCAATGAATAAGACATGTATGAACATGATATATAGTATATGATAATGTCAAAATAGAACATAATATTTACATAGCAACTGATAATCCATCAAGTTGGTGTTATGATGAACTTATCAATATCATACTCAACATGTTTTATGATATTCAAATGCATTTACCATAAATCTAACGAGAAAAGCATACATTGCTAATGACATGGTAGTGTACACGATAAATCAATTCAAAGAAACTATTATACTCATTTCTACCAATCAGGTATTAGATTTTAAATAATTTCCGATTATTGGAAAAAAATTGAGTTTGCTTACACACCATATTTTAAAGTTAAATATATAAATTTAAATAAATCAATTATGGAAAAAAACTCAAGAAATAAATCGACATTCTTTATGAAACAAGAAACAAAATTTGTAGCTTTTGATCAATAGAAATGTAATCACTTTATCTTGTGGCTTGAAATTTTTTTATGTTTGTCATTTCATTTTAGAACATGCGTATAATTTGTATACATAAGTCAATCAGACATCTGAAAAAGCTCCTCAATAAAATATAAAAATTGAAGGCATGCAATATTGTATCTCTAAAGTTAAGAAGGTAAGCTAAATATATATGTGTGTGTGTTGCAAGTTATGTACTACTGTTGATGACTTTGTATTCATTTGTTGATATTATATTGTGTCGTGTGAATACACGTTTTGTTTGCTATTTTTTTCCATATATTTGCAAAACTTGTTACATAAAATTCATCTTCTATTTAAAAGCATTAATTCATACCGCCACTTCGAAACTTAAAATTATAATCTGTCTGTTTTCCATTGTTAAATTGGAACCAAAACCTCTCAAAACTCGATTTGAATTTTAAAGTTTATGTATTCTTTGATTTTTTGATAGATTGCAAGCTTCAACGCCTTAATCCGCGAGAATTGCGAAACCCTGATAACTTTAGATTTCTTGTCGTTGTATTATGAAGCGAAGTTCTCAGAAACCTTCGAAATACCTTGTCCAAACCGAAACGTCTGCCGATTTTCTTTCTTTCTTCCGTGTCGTGGTTTCTGCCATCTACGATGATGTTTCATGAATCTCCGCTTTACGTGAGTAGGTGATGTGGAGGTTCGGTGTCCCATCGAGACGAAGATGTCTGAAAGGGAATCACATAGAAGCCGACGAATTGGCATCCTCCCTCAATGCTGGACTCAGAGGTACCTCGGAGTTCTCACGAAATCACGAAAAGAGGAGAATAAATATCACGCATCCTCGGCCCCTTGAGGGTCAAGGAAATCGAGTGGCCCGTCAAGGCACCGCCGCGAGCAAAGCAAAGCCTGCTGAGCGATGTCCCGACGTTAAGTTCGCCGCGGCTCGACTAATTTGTCGCATTTACAGGGAGGAGAATCTAGTCCTCACCCGAACATACCGCTTCGAGCTTCAAGCTTCAAAGAATCCCGTCTCCCCGCATTCAGGTCGGCGCGCTCTTTCTGGAGAAGAGCCCCACCAGCGTCTTCGATTTTCCCTGTCCTTCGCTGCAGTTCTCTCGTTTGGATCTTTCGCCATCGCCATTGACTACGGACCTTCCGTCACGACAAACTCTGTTCAGGAGTAAGAGCGCTGGTGCGCAGGTCTAGCAGTCCCTTGCCGCTTTGGGATAGGATCACCAAATTCGGCACGTTCGCCTTCGGCAATCCCGAGAATTATTGCTGTTAGAGAACAGGTGAAATCTCGTAACCGAGAGCGAGAATTACATTGCTGATGGCGGCCAATGCTCGAGGGAGTCATAGGGAATACTTCTTTGGAATTTGTGACTAAAGATCTGAAGTTTGAAATCGGAGCAGAAAATCGGATGGATCATAGAAGACAAGAGGATGAGACGAATTTGCGCGCACTCAACATAAAGTGAGAAGATATAAATCCCATGTGGATATTGTCTGTAATTTATGGGATGCGGGGGACAAAATAATGAAGCAAAAGGTATGGGAACACCCCGCCAGCACGTACGGGTAACATGCGTTAGGGCCCAATAGTATCGAAATGAGATTTTGTCCATACCATATGGTTGAATGTTTTATATTTATAGGTCACCGGCATTTAGAGGCTTGCAAAGAGCTAGGGAGCAAAATCTACATAAAAAGTCTCAATCCCATTTTATTACTGCGTTGTTCATGATTTCATCTCAATAAATTAAAAGACGTGTCAACTATAATTTACAGAGCAGGGTGCAAGTCAAAGTTCATGAACAGACTTAACTTGATGCTCGACGAAGCCGCATTTGCAACCGCAAATGCGGCTTCGTCGAGCGACCTATCGCGACTTTCCTTGGGTAAATTGAGTTACGTTTCGGTCTAGTTCAAAAAAATTGCAGTGAGAATGCTGAGACACTCAGTTATATTTGTTGGTAAGATTCGATAGTAATATCATTCGACAGTAAACTTCATTGCAAGATAAGAGCATAGAATTCATAAAAAAAAATATTTTTTATAATTGAAGATTATATGATGCATTAAGGAGCACGTTTGATTTCAGAATTTCTTTGATATCGTTAGATTAGTCACAAACATATATATAGTAGATTTTACAAATGTGTTTAATTTAATTTTCCTACATTTAGTTTCGTATGACCATGCACACCATAAGTTCCTTGGACCTCATTTCTACCCTATTGCTTTCATAGAAGATCATAATGATTCATACCTTGTTATATACATCATAAGTGATAACAAAAACATGTTCCTATGAACGGCATAAAACTTGGAGGTGTACTGTGGAGGACCCTACTCCTGCAAACATTTAAACCCACTTCTGAACCAAGCTTTTCTGAAGCAGAGGCCGTTGCTACAAATTATAAGCATTGGAGTGAACTTTGTCAGAACAGAAAATAAAAATAGTAAGTGGAAAAATCAATCCCAAACAGTAGCCGAAACTTACATGGTGAAACTTAACGTAGTTCGATGCATTTACGTGTAGTAGCCCAAAGGCCAACACAAATACAAAAAAATAAAAAATAAGTGTAAGTTACAGAAGGGTTATAACTGATGTAGTTTGTAACCTTCGTGTAACTCACTTGCATGTTTGCCAGACCGTGACCAGTGCTTGGCCAAACTATTCATCAGAGCACGGAACGGAAGCATGTAAGGAGGCAGTAAAGGAGTTGAAATGAGCAACAGAACGGCCCAAAAAAACTTGGATGGGGCTGTGTCAGTCCTTTCTGACTTCACACCTTTCCTAGGGTACGTGAAATATGAGTAACCAGATACCTGCAAACTTTGCAGAAACTTTGTATGGAGTTGCAGACATACGGAAGCATATGTTTGCAAGTCCAATAATGTGTGAGAAGGATTAAACAATCATTTGCTGTGAAAAAATACCTTTTATAAGTCAAACTATGCACTTCTTTAATAGTATTTGTCGAACGTCCTCACAGCTTTTTGAGCGAACAGTATGTTGTTGACAGTATTGTGTGTTTCTCGTATCCATGATCTCCGATTAAAGTTGAGAAACGATGTCTGATTTGCAGGTTTTTGAAATTTGAATCTGGGATCGATAAATCTTTACAGGTCAAGCCCCAATTTCCTAGAATTTTAATATGTCCAGGACAACGCACTATTTTGTCCTAAGGAAAAGAACAACCTGAGCTGTATCGAGTCAGAGATGAAAGCCATTGTAGGACCTATTCGTCTCCTATGATGACATCGCACATGTTCTGGCAGTGGCCGTTGTCGTTTGTAGCATGGGGCTTTACCATCTGTGAAGGACATTATGCCAAAATATTTTTGTATTACATATGGTATAGGTGTAAGATGTAGTGTATGACATGTACGCTATACGAGAAATGTAAACGGTGCTTAGCATCTCTTTTGAGAAACAAATACTTTTAAATCAATAAGAAATCTGAAAAAATTAATGTACTTACGTCTAGATGTTATATGAATTGATTTTCAAAGACTTGAACCAATACAAACTTTAATCCTTATTTTTTCAGATATAATAGTTGAAGTAAATCAGAGTGGAGCTGTAGACCTAACACATGAAAGTTAATATTGATTATGTAAATTAAGTATGTACTCTTAAACATACACACCAATCATGCTAATGTACATAATTTGGAGATGTAAGAACGAGATGTAATCTTCGCTTCATTCAAACTTTCAAAATGTTGTATGAAGACATGTTAACCAAATAAACTTTCAAATACAAATGTGATGTTTATCATTTGATAAACATTTGAATTATAAAATAGTTGCTGGTACAATACTTCCATGTGTAATCATCTACAGATTTCAGTACTAGCTTTATGAATTTGAAAAAACTTTGCTACAGGTTCAACAACTCACATATAAATTATCTTTTAGCCTAGAGCAATCAAATAAGTTGAGATGAAATCTAGCAAAGAAAATACTCTTCCAATGAAAATTTTGTTCAAATTATCTCTATCTATGATAAACAAATCCAAATTATGATACAAATTTTATTTTATTTTATCATCGATCATGCAAATGAAATCGGATTTTTGTTAGTATTTTTAACTCATTGTTGATAAATTCACTTAAATTATTTTTTGAAAGGTTTTAGTAAAAAAAATAATTCACTTATGCATTATATGCTGTATTTGAAAATTTAGTTTGAATGAAATATCAAATTTACACTGAAAAAATATATACTTTATGAATAAAAAATTATAAAAAATTATAAAATTTGATGCAATTTATCATAATCAAAGTTCAAACACAAAGTTGGATCATTAACAAGAACCTCAGACGACCAATCCTCAATCCATTAAGGATGTTTGTGTTAATTATTAAAATTTTCTATTTAAATTAACATTACAAGTCTTTTGGATAAAAAAAAATCAAATTGATTTTGAGTGTAATATATAAAAATTTCATATGATACATCAATATGCAATGGTATAATTTTTATTTATCTCAGATGGTGTGAATAATGATAATTTTACCTTGCAATAATTTATTTTTTACATGTACATTTTGTAAACATACATTTTGTACAGAACCGTCACACCGACACTAGAGTCACACCAACACGAGTTACATGAGAGTATAACGTGGTTCACCCTCAAGGGCTACGTCCACGGGGAGAAGATCACTAGAGAGTTTATTGCTTAAATGCTTGAAATGATCATCTTCCTATCACCTCAGTGTATATATATACCCTCAGGAAGTCAATCACTCTAAGCTATAAATAGCTATATATGCGGTTAATATTGGTTAAATAACCTCAATTAACTCCTTAACCAGAGTTAACATCAACACATTTTAAATATATTTGTATAATGATGAAGAATATCTACTTGGATATATTTCATTATCAAAATTTATATATATTTATATCCCGCAAATGTCTCTTTTATTCATCAGTTTTACAATAATTATTCTACATATTATTGTGATATAATACTGCATGAAGATTATTTATTATGAAAATGCTTTAAGTCTAATATCTATAATCCTATACAACATCTTCTAGATGATTTATCTAGTCTTACTCCTCCACTTCACTAACAAAATTGCAAAACTCCAAAGTGCAAATTTTGCAATCCTAGTATTTGAATAGTTTATTTTAAATTCATCTCATAGACTAAGGAGTTTTATTTTATTATTAAAATGTTGGGATTCTGGAATTTATTTATATCTCTTTAGAACTTCAACTTATACTTACATAGATTAATGAATCACTCTCCGTGTATCAAGCCTGATATAAAACCAAAATAATCATTTCAATTAATGTCAAATTTCACACAAATATAATTTTACATTCATGAATTGTTTGAAATTTTTTTTTATGTAGAAAAAAAATGGTGTGTCGACACCATGACATCTGATGTAAATGAGCAACTCTTAGCATTTATAACACATTTCAAAAACCTGATTGCATTCAAATATACTTTCATTAAAAAACTCGTTAATAAATTATTCAAGAATAAACCTGACTTGTTAATTTTTAAGCGTTCAAAATCTATTCTTTGAAACTTTTATAACACTGTTAGAATCATTCTTAACATGCACACATTTCAAAGTTAGAATATATACTTTCAAACTAATACTTTCGGAAAAGAATGTTGCATACGTCTATTGTAAATTGAATGATTGTTATTTGAAAGTTTCATACCTAGCGTATCTTTTTACATACTCAAAGGTCATGCTTTACTTGTCAATGCATAATAAACATCTATGTAGTGTCTTATGACTTGAAAGTTTACTAATGCCTAAGTGTACACCTCTATAAAACTTGATTAAGTTCTGCGCCTTGCACACTCTGCTTTTCACTTGTTATTACAATCCAATAATCTGATGTCAAAGCCTATGATTTCTCTCTCTAATACGTATAGTAATCTTTACATAATGCCAAAATGAAACCATCGACTTTCCGATTGTATATTTGGGAATGTAGATTGATCTTTGTTCTCAAAACCACACGAAATCCTCATGTCATTCCAATTAATTGGGGGTTTGGTAGAAAAAACACAAAGAATCTCTAGGTCGGAGCTCAATTGCACTCGCAACCATGCTCAATATTGTCATATATTTTTCCTACATGTAGTAAGGAAGAAATTCGCAGCGTCGAGTAATAGTTCTCTTGTGTTGCCCAATACATGAGACGACAGCCTGAGCTGAAAATTGTGGTAATTGGCACGTGCACTGGAATAATATGTACAAAGATAGACAGTCTTGGACTGAACGTGAAGGCATTCTGTCTAGGCCTCTGATTTTCCGTTTGTCCAGCAGCGGAATTAGAACTTGTGTGCTGCTGCTTCCATGTGGCAAGGCTTGCAGGAGAAGTGCTGCTACGTCTGCGTCGCTCGTGATCTAGAGCGAAAGCTAGCGGGGCTGCCTCTGAGTGAATCTGCCTCGATGCCATGGGAGAGCATTCTGGGCCCTGAAATTCCTGCCCATGTAATCCGAGCCCATACGCCTTTCGAATTTGGAGGTCCTTGTCTGCGTTCTCGATAAAGGTCGGGTGGGTGCTGGAGGACAAAGCGGGGAAGATGGCAAATTGTTGGCCACGAACACTCTTGTCCCGTACATCAGCTATGACGATATTTGCAGCTGCCGTTCTGATGATGGAGACAGGGAGGAGGCTGACAGTGGCCAATTCTGCGAACCAAAGTGCTCGCGTGCAGCAGCGTGATCAGATGCTGTTGCAGGCCTTGGTTCTGCGTCGGACCGGAGGCGACTTGTAAGTGTGTGATGCCCTAAGTAGGTTTGGTGGCTTCTGTGGTCCTTGCAGTGAGTGTTCTCTCTGGACTTGAGTTCTTTTTCAATCGTCCCTCGTTAGTCGAAGGTGGAACAGAGACCTAAATCGGAACCTCGATTGATGAAATGAGGGACCAGGGAATCGAGTATGTAGGCTAGATTCTCAGTCGAATTCTCAGTCTGTTTCTTTACGCGGGAATGCTGCGCTATATCTCCCATTCGTAGTAAAGCCAGCGAAATTTTGAGAACTGGAGGTTTAACCCAGCCCGGAGTACTCGAGTGTTGCGCCTACGGACTGCATGCCTCATGCAATATAGTAGGACAAAGGAGTAAGCATTTTGACTAGCTGGCTGGGCACAAGTTGACTTGTCGGAGGAGATAGGACGTTGATCTGATTGTCGAATTGAGTCGGAAATGGATGATCTGCCGGACTCAGCAGTGGGGCGCATTGAGGAGATCTCGAATGAAGTGGAGATGAGTCCAGTATCAGGCGCTAAGCGCGTGAGCGTAGTGCAAGCTTCAACCATATTCTACGACACTCCTGCTACGCTTGGTTATATTCCTCCCTTGTATCGTGACCAGAAGAGGGTAGAGCAGGTTTTGATATACGATTCAGAAAAAGCTTCCATATACAAACGTTGAGTACGAACAAGAATGAGTCCCTTGCGCCGAAAACTCACAACTCAAGCTTTATTTTCCTGCAGATAAAGCAGAGCGTTTCATCGCGGAAGCCTCTTCGCTGGGTGCACAACTGGTTGTCTTTCCAGAGGCTTTTATTGGTGGATATCCTCGTGGTGCTGCGTTTGGTGCCGTGATCGGAAGTCGGTCTGCGAAAGGACGTGAGGATTATCGCAAATACCATGCCTCAGCTATCGATGTGCCAGGTCAGTTCCATTTCACAATGTCTTCAACGTCGGATGACGATTACGTCTACTGAATCACAGATTACAGAGTAACTATCTTAGATTCTCAAATTGTGAATTGCTATCAAGAAGTCTCAGGTTGAGCATGCTCACTTTTGTCCGTAAAATGAGTAGGAACATTATTAACCTTATCAAGGCCCGTTATTCACTCGGACTTTTCGCAGAGTTAGATGTTGTCAAGTGCTTAGCCGGTCCACCTGCCGAATATACCTATCATTAAGACTAAACTCTCAATTAGATAGATTTGTGTATTGTTTTTAGTGTCACTCAACACCTACAATTCTTGATTGCAGGTCCGGAAGTGGACAGGCTGGCAGCAATGGCTGGTAGATTCAAAGTGCACCTGGTCATGGGCGTTATTGAGAGGTCAGGTGGAACGCTGTATTGTTCAATTCTATATTTTGACTCTCAAGGAGGATACATGGGAAAACACCGAAAGCTCATGCCAACTGCTTCGGAGCGATTGATTTGGGGCTTTGGTGATGGTTCCACTTTGCCAGTTTATGAGACCCCAGTTGGACGGGTGGGTGGCTTAATTTGTTGGGAGAATAGAATGCCTCTTCTAAGAACTGCGATGTACGCCAAAGGTAGGTCATCTGCATACCAAATTTTGTTATAAAAAAAAATTCGTCATGGCCTCAACATCTCCAGCATGTTTTTATTGGGTTTTATTCCCAGTTATGATCAGTGGTAAAGTGCAACGAATGTTTATAAATCCTACCAACCATGGCTTTGAATTGAACATTTTTCTTCGCATGTACTTTTCCACAGGCGTAGAAGTTTATTGTGCTCCCACGGCAGACGCCAGGGGTAGCTGGCAAGCATCTATGTTACATATTGCCATGGAAGGTGGTTGTTTCGTCTTATCTGCCAATCAGTTTTGTCGAAGGAAAGACTACCCATCTGTACCCGAGTACACCTTCGGAGGCTTTGGGGACCAGGAGCCCTCTCCGGACACAGTCGTCTGTGCTGGTGGGAGTGTCATAATGTCTCCCACAGGCAACGTAATTGCGGGCCCAAATTATGAAGGTGAAGCACTTCTTGTTGCAGACATAGGTAAGCGATGGAACTGTCTAGCTAACTTGCTGCTGGGTGAAAATGTGCATCGAATGTTTGTGAATTATCAAGCAGCGGATTGAAGTTTACATGTGTTTAATGTCCGTGGGTCCTATTCTTGCATGTGAACGAGGAACTACACCGCATTTGCACTACACATTTGCACTTAAACCAGTTTCCGTGTCGGTCTCTTATGTGTGCACTTGATCCCTCTGTGACTCACTTAGTAAGCTACCAGCTTTTGACAGATAGGTAGTTATGTAAAGGGCTCGCCTTCAAAAGGTTGTATGTTTGTATGCGCATGCATCACTCAGAGCTGCTCATGTGCAGCCTTTCTCTTTCACTGCAATTCATGGTTGGAATTGCATTCTTCCACCGGTCATCTTCTTTTCACGTTCGTTTTGCTCTTTGAGAAAGGCGAATTCAGATGGTTAGAAATCTGGGGTAGCAATATGTATTCCAAAATTGTTTGAAATCAATTTTTTTCTAGATGCAATGCCGGAGATTGTGGAGTGTTACATATCAATGAAACAAAAAAACGTAGAAAGTGGGAGTTTATGTTCTAATTTTCTGCTCAGTGATGGAAAATTATTTGGAATGAGGTGCGGTCCGTTCTGGATAAATGTAAAACTGTTCGAGAGTTACGTACTGAGTTACCTGAGAAGACATTGTGCTGTTGAGCGTTTCCATCTGTAGCTGAAAGATAGGTAGATCAATCTGAGATGGACCATTACTTTTTGGTGTTGCTTTCTTCCTTATGTATTTGCCAAAGTAGAAGATTTGGTTCCGAAATTTTTGTGCATTTATAAATTAAATCTAGTTCTACGTACTGGATTTCAATTGTAGGATATCGCATGCCTTCCTTTGAACTTGTGTTTAACCTCACTGTTATGCATAGCTAACATTTGTTTTACTCTGGCTTCTTGAATCATTTCTGGTTGGTGTATATTTCTTATTTCTCGCCTTCTGGTGCAAGTTCCATGTTCATTATGGCTCAAGGTTCCGTCTTCAGCATGTGGCTTGTGGCTTTCTTTTTCTGTTGGTCCTTTTTGACAGTCATAAAGAAACTCCCCGCTATTTTTTTCCTTAATGGGAAGTTTAAAGCTGAAGTCCGCTGTCGATTTGCACCCAGTTTCTGAATGATAACTAGTTAGTTAATTCAGCCCTAAGTTCACAGTCTTGAATATTACACCGTCAGCCACTGTATACCGTATCCCTTAGCATCTAAATTTGTTGTCGGCTTATGTGTCGTTCAATTTTTTTTACAGTGGTTACATCCAGTTGATAGCGTCCCCTTCTCCTTTTATTGTATCAACGCAGTCTTTGTTTGTAGTGAAGATGCCGTTTCCTGCCTGACTTTAAGCTGCGTAAGTTTGCATGGTTCTATATGCGTCTTATAATTTTACGATGTCCGTTATTGCAGATCTTGGTGAAGTTGTCAAGGCGAAATTCGACTTTGACGTTGTAGGGCACTACTCCAGGCCAGATGTCTTGAGTCTCGTTGTCAGAGATCAGCCTTACAATTCAGTGACATTCGCATCAGGTGGGATCTAATATTATGTCGATCTTTGTGAATATAAACCTTTAAAGTACGTAGCCTTTGTTCATCATTTTGGTTAGGTTCTACTGAATATTTTATAGAAGTAAATGTGCACGTATAAGCTACTTATAGAGTTTGTAAAGGTTTGTACATGTGCTGATGTTAAATCTCTTTTCCACAAAATAAAAGATTTTTCTAAATTGTACATATGGATACTCACCAGTATATTTTAGGTTAAGTAACGCAAATTTAGATACTGACTTTTAGCAATTCTTTAATAGCAACCCTATCGATTTTTAGAAAAATGAATGTAAGTTAAAATCTTGCCCCTGTTGCAGCACCACATGTCGGCCATCTGTAAGTTGTGGAAGACCGACAACTTGTTTCACTGGGATGTAGTTGAACACCATGACATAAGTACCATACAATTTTTTAAATCGGAGGTAGTTGCTTAAGGAGGACCTTTTGTCTATGACAAGTGTTTGAACAGTTGAAATCGTCTTCCCGCTGGTAAGAAACTAAACGAGCAATGACGGGTATAAATCTGAATTTCACCTAGGCATCTTGAAGCCGTGCGGGATCGTAAGTGCCACGTTCTGGCCGCACAGGTGACCGTTTCCTTTATCATATTCTCCGAGAAAAGAGTAGGTTTTCTAATTGCGCGCCACTTTGGCTTCATCGAGAGGATAATTTTTTTGAAGGAGTGAGTTAACACGCAGCGTTCCAGGTTTCAAATTTCAAACGAATAGAAATGGATAAGTAGGGATTGACTTGAAGGCCTAAATATGGGTCCGATCGTTTTCTTGCAATTAACTGAATTTAACGTCAAAAAGCATTTGAAGTTGAAGAGGTTCTTAAGTCTGAGAATATGGTATCAAAGAACGAATCTTGACATTGGCGGTGGAGTGAGTAGATAATTGAGTAATTATTCGAAAGTAGGGTATGAAGTGAGTTAAAAAGATGGAAGAGGATCAGATTCTGAGAAGACGCAGGTCACTCTAAAGTACAAGGTATGATGGGATAGTGAACTTAATAAATCTGTGTTTGTTATCTGACTGGGGCCTAGCTCCATTTTGCTGGTTTTTTCCACATAAGATTAATTCTGGTCGTCTGGCCTTACTACCTAGTTTGCCAAATTAGTCGGCACTGATTACGTACATTATAAGGGATGTAGATATTATGACTGCTGTACCTAACGCATTGGTGGACCAGAGGAAATGGCAGCTGCGAACTGTGTTAGAGATAAGTCCTATGACCTACGTATTCTCGATACTGACAAGAAAGACGAGGACATGGAGAGTTCGTCAGAATATCTCCCCGCTCACGAGAGTGACAGAGGACGACATGGTAGCTGAAGATTCTTCTCAAGTGGTCGTCCTGGCGACGCCTGAAGTGCTCATTACTTCATTGTTGTGCTCCTTCCGATGCCGATGTTTGGATTGGAGGCGTGGGGATTTGGATGACAGGGCTGCTTTATCCCAGAAACCACGATATCCATACTGGTTTGAGATATTGATGATATAACATACTTCGGTCACGTAGAGAGCAATGTTCTTCCTGCTAGTACCAAATTAATATGTTGTTTCAGACCTGTATATAGGTACTCCTTTTGACTTACGTTCATAAAAAATGGGTTAATAAGCCACCCTACTCACACATTTATGATAATTGCAATGTTCGTGGAACAGAAAACTGTCTTCGCCTCCAACACAATGGGACCGAGAATTGAGTATAGCTTACATTCAACTCCTGTGGTTTTGCTCCCTGCATTTGTCAGGCATTTTAGTCACTGAGGTGACAAGAAGCCTTCCTTGGATCATTGTTCGTGACTACGTGAGTAGTGCGTGACGAAGTCCCCTATTCTTAAAACACTTAAGGCACGATTTCACTAGTCTCTACACGGAAAAAATCTTCAGTGGAGTGGATGACGACGAGATTCCTTATTGTCATTGTTGTCAATTTGCCAACAGTGCATAGCAGACATCCAAATTGTCAACGGAAAGAAAAAATCAAGGTCCTCACCTTGATTCTGTCTAGAGAAAGTCAATTGATGAATGTATAGTACAGTGTAAAGTATGACGTACATACTGATACGTGATCTTCATTTTTTGGGAGATTGGACTCCCTCTGCCATGGGCGGAATATGAGGAAAAGGTTGTAGGCGTCAGTTGGATTTCCTCATATTCCGCCCATGGGAGAATATGAGGAAAAGGTTGTAGTCCACCTGACGCCGTTACTGCATACAGCTTAATAAATTGATCTTATATCATGTTCACCATCAACTTGTATTCTGGACCATAGTAGTAGGGTATATGAGGTGTTTCACATGTCTTTTCATAATTCATACATTCACAATGCGCACCTCGTTCACACCGTTTCTCCTAGTGACAGTTTATGCATCACATGAATCAAATGTAAATCCTTGCAATCCCGTCCTTTCTGCTAAAGCTACTGCATGTTCAGAGAAAGCTGTTGAAGTCCGTCCTCATACATCTGTAGGTCACCTCAATGAATATTTAGCCGACATGCATAGAATCATGGTGATTCAAAGTGAGAGGAAGACAATTGTACCATCCTGTATCTTCTTCTGTGAGTCGTTTTTAATTTCCTGCATCGCAAATCTCCCAGGCGGATAGCAAATCCACCAGAACAATGTAGATATGAGTAGAACTTCGGTTTCTTCCTTATCAAAAGTATCAGATTTCAGTTTGTATTCGAGAAAATTTTGAACAAACAGAACTCAAATTTTGAGATAACCAATTTGCCACCGTTAGCTATCTCCTTTACTCAGCCTTTCCACACTGGATCAAAGACAGAGAAATGGGGCAACATGGATGTGTAAAAAATATAAAATTATCCCACCAAAGTTACGAAATCAGCAAGAAGACAAGGTTAGCCCAATAGCATCGTGAACATGGATCATACACTTGTACCTCTTAATCGAACGAAGTGTTAACGGGATTAGGTACGTTTGAAGGTTATGACATTGTTCCACAAGCAATCATCATAATCTCAAGATCGACAATAGTGTTGCAAAAACGGAAAGCAAACATAGTATATATCATCCTCTCTCGTATGTATTGCTACTTGGATGTGTCCACTGTCTCTGGTAGTAGTTATACATTGGATTATGACACTTTTGATTGGTAATCTTCGCGGGATAAAAAACCCAGGAGAATGAACAACTGTCTCTGACACCACAATCATTGCATTGAATGCTATCTTTAGGTAATAATTGATGTTAGTAGATACTTTCATATTTACAGTCACTGAGAACAAGTCTAATGCAAAAACTGGAAGAAATAGTTTCCTTTACTTATAGAAGATTAAAGCGTGAATGATAAGGAATCATCACACTATAAATATTTATGATTTGAAGTATGAGAATTGTCTATCTTTCAATGCATATATTTTAGACTAGAGACACATTTCATTTTCATTACAATCATTAAATTCCTTTGGAGTTTCCAATTCATGTAGGCAAAATCAGTCTATTAGTCATTGGCAGAAAACACATAGATTGAAGGCATTGCTCATGCTATTTAATGATAGACATCTGGAAGCAATCATTTATTTACTAATTGGGGGTTTCTTATATAAGAAGTGTCTATATACCATAGAGATGCGTTAAAAAAAGTCATTCAAAAGTGTTGAAAGAGAGGAAATTCAATGATTGGGGAATGAAGGTTAGTTGTTCAATCATTTTGAATAAAACCTAGAAATTCATTTGAAGTGTACATTGCTGTGCAGTACTCGTCGGAGGATAAAGTATTTTATATATATATATATATATATATATATATATATTTGGGTTCAAATGTATAGACCACTTGACGGGTATTCCCAATCATCTTGCTACATTTCTTTCCCTTGTAGACAATGAAAGCAGAATTATCATCCTTAATTTAGCAAAGATTGCCTTGCAATATGATGCTTGTTCCCATCAGTCCATTACCATCCACGAGATTGTGTGATGGGAGATTAGAGATGCAGTTGGTGAGAAAGTGACTTTCGTTCAGACGGATTATCTCTCTGTTCCCTTGTGTCGTCATGGCCTTTAATTTTTCACACAAAGTCCTCTAACCCCTAAATCCTTTTCATTTATCTTTTCACAGAAGCAGGAAGTGATTCTCTTCACTAACTGATCATGGAGTTTGTCGTTGGATGAATCTCTCCAGCAGTGGGACTTCGATCCCAGGGGACGGAGTTCGACGGAGAGGTCTACCGCAGTTCACCAACCCTACGAGGTTCGAGGGCGTCTACCGCAGTTCACCAGCCCTACAAGGTTCAAGCCCGTCTACCGCGCGGTCGCTGTCTTCTTAAACCCCGGGGAAAAATAGCGCCAAGTTCGATGCAGGGGGCTGCGGATTTGACATGCGCAGCCATTTTCTCGCACCTCGTTTCCCGTTTCCAAAGCCTCGCGGCGTGCATCCAAAATTCCAGTTGTGCGCAGATCTGCCGCGCTGACCTAGGATTCGTTTGATTCGATTATCGATTGGTACAATGAGTGGACGGACGTGCGAGCTTTCGTTGGGTTGTCGATTCGGAGGAGCTCTCTGAGTGATTTGGAGTGATGCGTGGGGTCTCATGACAGAAGATGGAGTTTCTGCGGAATTTGACAATGTGTAAAATGCTGGGTTCTGAGTTCAATTCAAGTTGAAGCTTTTGAACTGGTCATAGAGAGGTGTACTCAAAGAAGATGAGATCCTCCGAAGGACGACTTACAATCTGAGCCGCAGTTGTTGAAGTGGAAACTGTGTTTGGAATTTTGATTCTGAGGGAGGGGTTATGGGGGACGAAAAATTGCACAGCAGGAGGTGGTGTAGCTGCGAAAATTGAGCACTCACTGAAGCAGTGATGGCTGCTCTCGTACCGTTCGATAGTTCGGTGGTAGCGCATTCTCTGGTCATAGACTCGCTGCTATTGTACAGGAAAGCTATCCAGTCTCTGAGGCCTGCAGAAACCACAGAATTCATCGAGAGGATCGATACTCAGCTGTCGGAATCACCGCAGGCTCCCGCGAATGGCCAAAATTTGCTGGAATTGGCCAATGTGCCAAGCGATTCTCTGTCGAGTTTTCCACCCAGCTTTCCTATGGTTAAGCGCATCCCCAATACGCAATTTATTGTGGATGGATTTCGGAATGCAGGTCCTTGGTCGGTTTCTTACTTCCTCTCGCATTTTCACAGCGACCATTATACCGGCATTACGAACCTCTGGCACAAAGGGCTCATATTCTGCTCAGCAATTACTGCGAATTTGGTGAAGCAGAGCTTACAAGTTCCAGCGGCGCTTGTTGTTCCATTACCCATGGGGGAGACTGTCACTATAGATGGTTGTGAGGTTGCGTTAGTGGACGCAAATCACTGCCCGGGGGCGGTGCAGTTTTTGTTTAGAGTTCCAGGGGAAGGCGGGGAATGTTTAAGGTATGTGCACTGTGGTGACATGAGATACCACCCTTTTATGAAATCCGAGCCCGCTCTTTTTGATTATGTGGGGGCCGATGCTGTCTTTCTAGATACAACTTACTGCAATCCCAAATACATTTTTCCGTCACAGCAGGAGTCTGTGGATTATGTGGCTGAGACAGTGGAACGACTGATGGAGGCAGATGTAGAGGCGCCTCGAGCTGAAGAGGATGAAGACCTCGTCATGGAGGACAGGCCGGAGGCATTGGACGAAGAAGAGGAGGAGGATGTGGAGGGCTTACAGAAGCCATCCACTGCGGGAGTTAACGTCGAAGGCCAGTCAAAAAAAGATGTGGTGGAAGACGAAGAGGATGAAGCGTTGTTCAGTCGGAGTGGTCCGCTAGAAGGAAGGTCCACTCTTTTTCTTATTTCAACTTATGTCATAGGCAAAGAGAAAATCCTCACAGCAGTTGCGAAGCGATGCAACTGCCTTATCTATGTCACAGAGAAGAAGCTCTCTGTGCTCAAATGCTTGAACTTGGAGAACATCGATATATTTACGACCGACCCCTCCGCAACGAATGTCCATGTGGTTCAATGGAGTTTCCTGGGAGAGACATGGCCTTACTTCCGTCCCAATTTTCTGAAAATGGAGAAGGCCATGAAAGAAAGTGGGTATAAGAAGGTCGTAGGTTTTGTGCCCACAGGGTGGACCTACGAGCTTAAGAAGAAAACTTTCTCTGTTAGGAAGAAGGGCCCCTTCGAAATTCATCTTGTTCCTTACAGTGAGCACTCCAATTACGAGGAGTTACGAGAGTATGTAGGTTTCCTTCGGCCCAAGGAGATCATACCGACAGTCGGGCTTGATGGCGGTGGGATGGAAAGCAAAGCTGTTGCCACGATGAGGAAGCATTTTCGGAATCTCGTAGATGAAACAGCTAGCAAGAAGAATTTTCTGAAAGGTTTCAGCCGGAAACCACAGGAAGAAACTATCTTAGCTTTGAAGGAGTCAGGTGCCGGCCAGCAGCATGTCGCACCTGCACCGAAAGCAATATTTGGCCGAGCAGCGAGAAAAAGGAAGCGAGAGGGTGACGATGGGCCGGAAGAATTTGAGGATGCCACTCAGCAAACTCAAGGAGTCAAGCCTATGTCGGATGAAATTCAAGATCAAGCGAATGCTGCAGAAAGCATGGATATGTCTAAGTCGACTGATGTGACGTCGGGAAAGTGGCAACTAGCTCTGGTACCTTGCGCAGGTCCAGTTGATGTTGAGAGAGCTTGCCCAAAGCCACAACACTCCACAGGATCGGAAGATGTTTCTCATAGAGGTCGCCAAGAACCCGTACCACCTCGTATATCGTCTTCTACACCTCCATCTGAGAAGCCCGGAAACAAAACCAACAACGAGAGGCCCCGTGCTCAACCATCCAATCCGCAGACGGGCTCCTCCGCCAAGACCAAGAGTTCCAGTTCTACTCGCCGACAACCCAAAGCTCAAGGACGCCAAACGAAATCTGCCTCATCCAGAAAAACCAAGAAGATCAACGCAAGTGCTCCTATCTCCAAGAAAGCAATGCTTTCTCCAAAAAACTCTAACTCTGCCAAGCCTTTCCAAAAAGCAAAGCAGTCTTCTCTCTTCACGTTCTTCAAGAAGGCTGGTGAGGAACCGAGTGCCGCCACAAGTGCATCAGTTCCCAGCACCGAACAGTTGATGATGTTGGCTGGCAATGTTACTGGCCTTATCTCACGAGAGGGATCGGATAAACCTAGTGTAAGGCAAGTTCAGAATGATATCAACAAATGGACTGACGAGTACGAGCAACTTGCAAGCCTTCTTGATGAAAATCTATCTAAGGAGCTTGCACATGCCTTGCTGGAGAAAGCAGGCGGAAATGTGGGTGTTGCCCTGGACTTGTATTATAGTGGAGAATTGGTGGTAGAGGCAGATAAACCTTCGGAGGCTAGAGATGAGGATCTTCCCGGTGACCTAGATACTGGAGTCGTAGATCATGGAATTGAAGCAAAAGGTAATGTGGACCACAAACAAGTCGTTCATGTTACTAAAGCAGAGGGCAACATTTCGAGATCCCCGGAAACGGAAATGGCAGGTGACAGTCTACAAAGGCCTCGCTCGTCTTCACGTGGACACAGTCGTGTAAAGGCTGAAGCCAAGCCAGAAGTTTCAGCCAATGAGAACTCACATCCTGAAGTAATTGTGCACAAGGTTAGGACGTTAATCACTGTGAAGGAGGAGATCGCAGGTGACGTATGTGTGGCAAATCATGAGATTACAGGAGTGGACGCAGAAACTGCAGATGAGAAGAAGAGAGGAGGTGTCGGTGAGGAAAAACTCGACGGAGCAACGAAGAAGGACACAGCTGAGAAGAAATCCGGTTCTGTAGCTGTACCGGTAGGGAAATACTCTCCTATCGAGCATGGTAAGGTTACACACACAGCCAGAATCTCGCGAAATTTAGCTTCTCTGCTCTGGCATAGGAAATGCGTTCGATGCTGCACAAAAATCCTTCGGAGTGCTTTACTGAATGTTTCTCAGGCTTCATGAAGGATCATGGAAGGTAAACGACTTTGATGGAGTCCTGGTGTTCATGACAGTACTTTTGTGTTAAGTATTTGGTTTGACGTTTACAGCATGCTGGGAGCCAGGGGAGGGCGCACCATACTTACATCTTGCGCGTGCTTTTGACTTGGTGGAACAAGAGAGTGGTCGACTAAGGACTGCTGACATGCTTTGCAACATGTTTCGCAGGTTAGTCGTCGTGTTTGATCATCACTAGTGGTTCATGACTAAAGTCTATGTTTTATCCTAGTTACAGTAATCTTGCATAGACTTTGGAATAAGCTTTTTCAGGTTTCACGTTTTTTACTTCAGATCTCGATATGAACTGCTCCGTTTCAATACCGCATGGTTTGAAAAGGGCGAGGGTGACCCTTCGGTGAGGCAACGCAAGATGACAACTCGTGCTCAAGGTTACAAGCCACTCATAGTCTACACATAGGCGATGGAGCAGAAAAGTCGCGTTGATTTGTGAAGTCTGCCAGACAATCGTTATGTAGTAGATTCAATCACCTGTGTTGCTGAAAAGTTTACTTGCAGCCTGTTGGCTCTTTCACCAGACGCTGTGCTTCCAGCAGTTTATCTCACCACCAATCGACTTGCTCCAGACTTCGAGAGTGTGGTAAACCTTTTATGTCGTTTCTTGGGTGATTTGGGCATATTCATGTTCATCAATTTTTTTACTGAGGTTCAAGTGAATTTCAGACACTCATCTTGGTGAAACTTGTTTACGTAGAGTATCTTCTTCTTGTTTAAGTCAGCTTTAGTGCTTGAAATGACAGGATTTAAATATTGGAGGGAGTATAGTATCTACGGCGGTGGGAGAAGTTGCTGGAGTTTCTCGAGCAAAATTAAGGGAGATGTACACGTCAATGGGTGATCTCGGTAATATGTCTCCTTTCATCTACACTGCTGAAGTCATAAAGTCGTAGACTGGCGAGGATCAGTTTCATTTTGAAGTAAAACCAAACCAAGACATTTGTGATTGTCTGCAAAGGACTAAGTGATCAGAGTCTTTAACATCATTCGTTGGTTTCTTTTTCTTAGCAGAAGGTTAAATTTGCATCTTTAACGCTGGAAGCAGTGCAGTGAAATGCTCAGGCTCAAGTTGCAAGCCACCAGTGCAGTGAAATGCTAAGGCTCAAGTTCCAAGCCACCGTTTTGCTTCCAATTGAAACAAAACTTACACCTTGAGATTCCACTTTGTCTAGGTGATGTGGCTCAGGCATGCCGGCAGACTCAATCCATCTTAAGGTTGCCGCCTCCGTTGAGGATTTGTCAAGTATTCTCTACACTGAAGCAGATCAGGTACCTGGCTGCTTCAACTGTCTGAGTCGTTAGCAGTGTACCCAATTGGAAGGAACTTCTCTCCCCCAGTGGACACTTGCAGCTAGAGGCCTTCTTTATTGGACCATCCTGGTTAATTCGTGACAAGAGGCTCCCACCTCTTAAGATGCCTAACTTCTTCGTGCCGAACAGTTCTGGACTTTGAAATGGTCCTCAGTAGATTCAGATATATAGCTCTCGAAGGTGTGTTCTGGTTCCAAAGGTCTTCACAAAAGAATATTTCTCATATCATTCACATCGGAATGATATTGACTCCTGCTTTACACTGTGGCAGCAAGGAATCTGGAGGTGGTAGCGGTGGTCGAAAAAAGGATTTGGTGCTTAGCCTTCTCCGTGCATGCAGGGAGAAGGAGATGAAGTACATCGTGAGAACACTAGTAAGTGGACATCTTTCTTTCAGTTCTGAAATAAATACGAAATTCGTTCGTACGCTCCATATACGAACTGGCTATTTTAGGCTGTTAAGGATTTGGACGTAAATTTGCCATTTCGAAATTCATGATTTTAAACCCTATAGGATGCGTTATTTAGCGTATTTTTTTTCCCTTGTGGAAAATGTACAATCTTCCAGGCATTCATTCCGCAGTGAGAGGTGTCTAGGTCTATAATTCTTGAAATTTTATTGTGTTAAGAATTTGTCATCAGTTGAAGTTACAAGGCTGAATGAGATGATTGTATGTTCAGGTCCAAAATATGAGAATAGGTGCGATGATGAAGACCGTCTTGTCAGCACTTGCTCAAGCGGTAGTTCTGCATCACACCTTTCCTGCTGATCAAGCTCCAAATGAGGCTCTTGCCAAACTCAAACCTAAATTTCAGGTCTTCCTGCTACTTTGACTTTTGCTTTTGGAACCTTGCAACTCCTTTTTGGTTATGGGTTTGTTTTGCGGTTTCCCCTTTTTCCTTTTTTTTTAATTTATCTCAATCACGCAATCTGCACGGAACAAGAGAGTAGACTTCTTGTTGGAGAGTGTTAATAAGGAACGACCGAATCGATGTCATTGCTTACTTCTAGGGTTGCAAGGTTTGCATACGAGTTCTGTTAAAAAAATTGTGTTCTTTCCACTGTTGCAGGAGGCGGCAATTGCGGTTGTAGAAGCATATAATTTTCTTCCAAATCTGGTTCGTGGGGCGACCAAGTCTTAACCAAAGACGTGGAAAAGCTTAATTGTGCTATCATGTACCTCGTTTTATCAGTTCCATATCCCGTGTGGGGTTTTGGATTACTTCAGATTCCATTCATTCATTTTATTAACAACATAACATTGCCTTAACTTTATTTGCTCACTTGATACTCATGTTAATTACAGGATCTTCTTGTACCTACTTTAGTTAAAGGTGGAGTAGCTGCACTGTCCGCAAATATATCCATCTCACCTGGAACTCCAATCAAGCCTATGCTTGCCAAGTACGTGCTTGTCAGACCGTGGGTTATAGGTCTTACTCTGGGGAAGTTTGTGTCCAAAGAAGTTCATCACTTATGTCGTACTCATTTGTACTTGAACTCGAGTAGACGTGCAAACTATTGACTTCAAGCTGTCCTTAAAAAACCAGGATTACAAATGGGATACCAGAGTTGCTTAAACGATTTGAAGGGCAGTCGTTTACGTGTGAATACAAGTACGTATCACTAAAGCCACTTTATGAACGTACTAGCTTCTTTACTCGCAATATTGCTTAGTAGAGCAAAATCTTTGGGATGACTCAATTTATGTTCTGTCAAAAGTGTCACGCACTAAAAAAATTCTTTCCTCTTGATTAGAATGTGGCATCTGTGTCACGGCATTGACCTTACGTTTAGTCCATCTGAACCAAGATAATTGTTTGGGTTGGGCAGATATGATGGACAAAGAGCTCAAATACATATGTTGGCGGATGGATCCTTCCGCATATTTTCTCGTAATTGTGAGGACACCACCGGCCGGTTCCCAGATGTAGCCGACATCTGCCGAGCCGCTGCTAGAGAGGATTTAACTTCATTCATAATCGATGCTGAGGTATGTCACCTCCTAGTACTGAGCAGTTTAGTTTGTTGGCAGTCAGGTTCATTTCCGGACGAACAGTTTCATTTTACTGCATTTAGTACTTAAGAGAGTCAACGTACAGCAAGGGCTTGGTTGTGAATATAAAAGAAAAAATGTCCCTTTAATTAAAATAATAATACGCTGCAATTTATAAGATCTGTTGATCAAAGATCCAATGCTTCTTAGTTTCTTCTGTTGTCATCATACCATCTGCCGATTTTAAGTCCAGGATGTATTTGTTACAGCCTGTTCCGTTCTGTCAGTTGTAAGTCCTGCGGTTGTAAATAATGGGTTTGATATTGTTGGCAGGTAGTCGCAGTAGATAGAGAGCATGATAATAAGCTAATGGCATTCCAGCATCTGAGTACTCGAGAAAGGGGGAGTCGAGATGGTGGTTCTGTTAATCTGCAAAATATCAAGGTAATCGTTAAGAATCCCAATTGAATTCAGTTATATGATATCAGCTGCTAGTTGTTGGAACATGGGCTTTCAGAAGTGGTGGTCGAAGTCTCTCGGGTATCATCGTAATTTATCCTATCGGGTGGTGGAAAGTGGTTACTTTCCCGTACAGCTCATAAATGTTAAGCCTCTTCTAGTTCTCTACCTGTTTTCCGTGGACCACAAATCGTCTGTTGTAGTTAACACTTAACGACCCAAGTCAAAATAGGTGGTTGGCTTTTATCTTCCATCTGTTTCGCGCGTGTATTAGACTTGTCAAATTTGTTTTTGTATATTGCATGAATAGACTGACTGAAGCATCTCGCAATAGAGTAGAGGTGAGATCTCTAGTAGTGATCGTGGATTTACTCGAATGCTAATACTCAATCAAATAATGATGTGCGAGGGCAGGTTTCTGTGTGCGTCTTTGCATTTGACATGATGTACGCAAACCAAGAATCGTAAGTATATCTTCAACATGCCATCTAAGGTTACATGTATTAGGTTTAGAGCTGATTAAGTGTTGAAGTAAAATGTGTTTCTTTTTAGATGTGCTTCCAGATACTATATCTATCATGTGACTTTAATTACATTGAACTTGCGCTTCTAACACTTCTTTGAGTTGCGAACAGGTTAGTGAAAATGACTTTTCGGGAACGACGAAAATGTAGGATGCCTATCCTTACTCTTTTTTTTAGAAAATCTAACTTTTCATGTTTCCCTATGTGTGTGTTTCTCTGTGTTTGATAAGCAATAGTATCTTCTCATTGACCTTACCATTTTCCTTATTTGTTCTGGGAGCCGAAGGTGTTGGACAGACTGACAGTTATATGAAACGTGTCAACAGGTATGCGTCATTGGTTTCCAAACATCAAACCCGGTCATTTTGGTTATGCAACTGAGATAACTGTAAGTGTTCACTGCATTGAACATGTCTAAATTGCCAAGAAAAGCATTGAATATGAGTGCAGATTTTATTGTCATCCTATGAGGTAAAGTTGTGAACTACATGTTGTCTGGTTTCTGTCTGGGAGGTCTAACCAATTTGATTAGCGAGCTTGAATGGCTAGACTTTGATTATGAACTTTTATGTTTGCTTTTATAATGTTACTGAAGTCTATTATTTCACAATTTCTTTTTGGTTTCGAGCATCATCACTAAATACTCAACAAAGCTCACTTGTAACAGATTGAACCAGAGGACGATCAATCAGATTCGACATCTACATCACAAAAAGTTGAAGGATTTTTAGAAGAAACCTTTGCTGCTTCTTGTGAAGGACTGATGGCAAAGGCTCTCGATGTGGATTCCAACTACATGGCTTCGAAGAGATCTGATTCCTGGCTCAAGGTAGGACATCTGCTAGTCGTTCTTAAACTTGTGCATCCGCATTTATCGGAGTTTTGTTCGCGTGTTTCGACATCTTATGTTGGAAAATATAATTGACTAACTTGTTAGGGACGTCAATATTTGGTACCCTGTCTCAGTACCGTGATGCGTTTAGTTGCCATTAACGCAACACTCTAACCAGGTGATTGCAAGGATTAATCACTTTACAATGAAAATGCCTACATTCTTCATGTCTCAGATTTAGAATATTTTGACTTGGTATAACAGTATCTATGGGTGTGTCTCTTAATGTCAGATTAAACGCGACTATATGGAGGGTTTGAATGACTCATTAGATCTTGTTCCAATTGGGGCTTGGTACGGAAATGGCAGGAAAGCTGGATGGTAAGTAACCATAAACCGACGTTCGCACTTACGAACAGTGAGTTTGAACTTGTTAGCTCCTGAATCTGCATCCAATCAGGAAAGGGAGGAAATAGTGAGAGCAATTTGGAAGGATCTATGTAGGTGTTGTGCTTCTGTATGGTAAATTGGGTGGACATTCCAAAAAATATAGACTTTTGAGCCTGGAGTGATCATTAACTCTGCTTAATGTTACAAAAACAGAAAGCTGGTAATGCATCAACATTTGTTGAAATAGGCAGTAGATAGCAAGCAGCATATCTTCGTGTTCTATGCTTGTCATTGATTAATTCCGTACACAAATTCGATTGTAAGGCAGCTTGTTCCTCAAATCGTGGTGCGTAGTTTCTTCTTTAAGATTATCAATACGAAGCTTTATGTTCTGTGCGATGACATTTGGATCTGGAATAAATATTTGCAGGTACAGTCCATTCCTACTAGCATGTTATGATCCTGAACGGGAGGAGTATCAGAGTGTCTGTCGTGTTATGTCAGGCTTCACAGACGTATTTTACAAAGAGGTATCAAATCTCTAGGACAAGTAAACTTTTTCCTGAGTTATCAGTCTTGCACGTGTTATTCAGTTTTATCACTTTTTGTCTTAAGGTTTCGAAATAAGCATTCCATAGAAGGAATATCGAGCTCTCTTGGTTTCTTTGGATGTGTAGATGAAAGAGTTCTATTCAGGAGATCGCATATTACCTAAAAAGCCAACCTATTATCAAACTGGAGAAGAATGTAATGTGTGGTTCACTCCAGAACTTGTCTGGGAGATTCGGGGAGCAGGTTAGTTGCTGATTGTAACTTCTGTTTCCTTCTCTTTTTCGAAACTTTGTAACTTCGATCATCTGATATGGAGCTGCACTGCTTTGCATTGTTCTCATGTATTTCCTTTCTTCTTTGAATTGTTGATGCAGACTTCACTGTTTCTCCAGTTCATCAGGCCGCCGTGGGTTTAATCCATCCATCCCGAGGTATTTCCATGAGATTTCCTCGGTACATTCGATCTAGACAAGACAAGAATCCAGAAATTTCAAGCTCGCCATCTGACATAGCCGAGCTCTTTCATCAGCAAACTCGCAAAGTTGATGTGGCAGGGTCCAAAAGTAAAGCTGTCGATAGATCAGGGTCCCCAGATGAATAATGACCCTAAAAGTTTAGAAAATGTAATATATTCCTGGATAGCGAGCTGATAGATGAATATAAGAAGATAGGCTCCATAATGAGCATTGTTCTGGAAGGATCTGGTTGATCTGAATGGTGGCCCTTCTGAAAGTGAAAAGAGGAGAAGTGACAACCATGTTTCATCCTCGCATATCCACCAGGTCCTTCGCCACTTGTCTTCTTCTTCAGAAAAGCCTGTGGATTATTCTGCTCTAAGTAGGAAGGTTAGGCTTTTCGGGAGTTGCAATTTTGATACTTTTCCATGTTGTAGTCAGTGGCACCTCGTCTTCCTGTCATTAAAGCAGTCGTAGCTAAAGCTGTCTGCAACCTTGCGAGATGGGATTGACCGCCAACAGGTACACGACGGCGAGTGATATTGTTGTACGATAATGTAACCCTGATCAGTAGGTGCATTCTTGGGCTAAACGCTTCGTAGGAGGTGGTGGTCCAGCCATTGTTCATAATTGAAAGTCTACTGTCCACATTAATATAAAATTTTTACTTGGTCTGAAAATTTTTATAACAATGAATTTTCTTGCTGAAGGAAGACCAGACCACCTTCATTCAGCATGAATTTTACAGACCGGTATGTTATGTCTAGCTATTTGCCCTCGCAATAGGCTTGTTTTCGTTGCAACCTCACTTTAGGATACGCGATATCTTGCTTGGGAATTTCAAGTACAATATCTTGAGAAACATGTCACTCAGTAATAACCTAACACCGTTAATAATCTCTCTAGTAGACCCAGACGAGCTGGGCGTCGAATGTGCAGAATGCCCCCGTCCTATATGCAACAACATGCAGTGCAGCGATCAGCGGTTGGCTTCATAAGCCCTTACTACTTCCCAACAACTAATTGCGAAATTTTAATCACATACAAAATTGAATGTCATTGTCTGCAGCTGAATATTTACAACTTTGAACATATATGTCACTTCCAAGAAGTCACATATAGAAGTCTTGTCCGGAATCAATTTTTACTTTCCACTCGGCTCCTAGACATATGAACAAGCACCAGCATCATGAAAGGTATGGCCTTTAACTTAAAGCTAGCAGTTTCAAGTCCTCCCACGTCCAAACTTTGAATTTAATGATGTTGGCTTTCAAATACGCTTCCGGATAGATAGTCTTATGATATTCAATTTTTTTCTGAAATAATCATAACAAATGATACTGTAGAGATCAGAGGCCAACATTTTACTTCAAATATGCACCCAGACCATAACCATAAACCTAACATCACCCATAGCATTACCTGTGCCCACCGATGCTGTTCAAATTACACCAATTCTTTGGTTGGATCTTGACAAACACTGCACTAACCATTACTTGTGCCCACCCATGGAAAAATAATGTCACCCAAAATCCATGGGCATGGGCACCCAATGTTGGGCTCTGTTAGAGATGTATTATTTACTATGGCAAGAGAGTATGAATAAATGGTGAAAATGTGAATTATATCGCATAACCAAAATACGACCAACTAGATCCAATAATATCTGTATGATAATAATCGATTTATGCAAAAAATGTTGAATCTATATTCAATGGTTAAGTTTTTTTTAAATTTTTTTTTTAAATATCTAATTTTGCAAATAATGCAAGTATATTAAATTTTTTGAGACATGATTAGAACTGTCATTGACAATGAAAAGATATTTGTCAACTTGCGAATAAAATCTCCACTTGTATAGTAGGAAATCATTTGTATCCAGGTATGCAACACATTTTGACTGATACAACCTAAACATCATCAATAAAAATAAGAGAAACAAAAATTACTCAAATTCAGGTACGGAGATTACGTGCCAATTGCTTAACGGTAAGTAAGTAACACGCTAATTTTTACATGATATGCAGGACAGTATCTATGATTTAAACATTTGCAATATATAAAAAAAGTTATATACACGAAACAAACTAAACACTCCAACGTTTGCTGATCAGCTGAAATAATCAACAAAGAAACCAAAGTAGTATTCTGGTTCCTTGAAGTGACGAAATTGGATTTAATTGCTATTCAATCATAATCTTAGTGACTCGTTCTCTCTCGGGTATATCTTTAGTATTTGCAAGGTAAAAGAATAATGAGAAACAGTACATGATGTAGGGAAGCCACTATGAGTATTAGTGAAACTGTAGCTAACAGAATCACACCTTATATAATATATCAAACCGCATGTAAGCATGTAGAAGCACAATACCTTTACATCCCATCTCATGTGGAATAATGTGTGTACGAATACATTAAAGTTTTTCAAACACTTTAAAGAATTTCCCGGTAAATTGCAAAACTACCGTGCAAGAAAAGGAAGAAGTGAAAAAAAAAAAGACGAAACCCGTAACAAAAGGAAGAAAGCTTAAAAGTTAAAAAGAGAAAACCAGAAAATATAAATGTAAATGCCAATAAAACCAACAATGAAAAACAGAAATATTATACGATAACATATGTAAGATGATCAACGTACTCTCCCATCTCCCGCGTCGTCTCGGCCGCCAGCTCAGGTCAGACGTCGCCATCACCATAGTCGGATATGACAGACCACCCTACACCCCAAACCACAAGTCACCACAAGTGACGGGACTGGTCAACTAGGTACGCGGTCATCTCAACGGCATGAGTCGTAGTAAGTGCGGAGGTCCAACTGCTTACTACAAACCTCACCTCGGTGCGAGCGCCAAGTGCTCGTCACATGGTCAGAGCCGAACAACTCCGTCGCCTCTTGACCGATCCGGTGCCGTTCCGCACGCAGTCTCCGACCAACTCCGTCTCTTCCACCACAGTCGCTGTACGTCTCCATCGCCGAGTGGTTATATCCCACCGCCACGTGGACGCTCGGACATACGGTCGCGTACCCTTCGACTCTTCCACCTTCGGGCGCAAGTACATGTACTTTGTCCATTCGTACACCGTACCGATCTCGCGCGGCCATTAACCGAGTTGTGAAGTCCGTCATTCATCAAGTACCCGTCGGTATCCGTCCAGTTGCATCCGGTTGCGGACGTCCGTCTCCGTCGTCATGCGGCAAACACGGGGTTCGTACCAGGAGACTCCACGTCGCTTGGCGAATCAAAGTCAAAGGCCAGTTAACGTGGTGGGTGAGTATTGATAAGCACCGGCTCGGTAAAACTTCTGTACTCTGTAGTGGAAACAGAAAGGACAAACTCTTAGAGTACGCGACATAAACGTAGGTCTTTATATATTTTCTTCCCGTACTGGATTGGATGATTTCCTTCCGATATATGTTTTGAAATAATAGCTTAATATTTGTAGAAAATGTAACAGATATATGCGGGTCCCCCGTAATAAAGCTCGGCAAGGAATTATAGTGGCCGGTATTCAAGACTTCGAAGGAGGCAGTTTACTCAGCAAGGTTAGATTACTCCGTTGTTTATTGATTTTGATTCTTTTTAATGGTAAGAGTGGAGGAAAAATTCAAATCCTATGCTGTAAAACTGGTGAATACAGTACGTAAATCAACACCTATCCGAGATGGATTGACATAGCTTGCTTCTTCCCCATTTACTTTGATTGTCATTGTATGCGCTTAGGAAATCAACTAACAAATATTTAATTGTATTTTTTTTCACATCTTCTATATAGTTATCGTAGCAAAGATATGATATTGTTTAATCATTTAAAAAAAATTATAATACTTTTGAAATATTCAAAAATTTGTTCCACAATTATTCAATGTACATATTTTAGATTTGACATGTACATATTCATCTTGACCATAGTTAAAACAATAGCCAAGATTTGATTTTTAATAATAATTTATATAAAGAATTATAGTATTTTTTATTTTTCAAATATTTAAAAATTTATTATAAAATTATTCAATGTACATGTTTTAAATTTGATATGTAGCTTGTACATAACTAAAACAAAATCAAATCTTATGCATATCCTCAAATACATAAAACTTGCCACAACTTGTCATAGATAAGAAATTTAAATTTTCAATGATATTGATTAGACATTACGTTGCAAAAAGTTAAGAGTGTGTTGCCAAATGCATTCATGTTTTTTATATAATCTGCCGTATCAACTCCACAAGCACACGTTGAATGCGTATGACTTGACTCAACCATAAACTTGAAATTGCTACAAATATTCTTCTCTAATATATTCTTGGACTTATCAAAATCCACCATTTGAAATGTATGTGTTAGTTGATTCTTGCATATATTACGTTGTATTGATTTTTTTGCTAATATGAGCATGTCATTCATGTAAAGTATTAGATTAATGAAATTCAAAATTTATTTATTCAATTTCTTTGTATACACACATGAATTTTGTTATTTCTTGTACTTTTATGAAATCATGCATTTCATTGTCTGAGAGCTTGTGTAATAACATACCATAACATAAATTTAACTATCTACAAACTAAATTTTATTGATTCTTATTTTCAAAGCCAAATGATAATAACATGAAGATTTTTAACCTCCAATGGTAAAAAAAATGCTATAATTATATACATCTGAATCATAACTAAACTAAATATTGCAATAAATATACATACTAATCTAGTTTATGACAAACTTTTCTATAAATTTCATTGTAGTAATTTCTTCTCGTGTATAACCTTTAGTCATACTCCAACCATCAAGTAATTTTTTCCATTTTCATCGGATAGAATTGTATTACTTTTGTATATGGTAATATCAACGTGCAAATCCTCATTCTTCATGAATTCCAACTACACTTGGTTGATTTTTGGGCTCAAATACGTCATCTTATCGAACATGCTCTTCTAAGTTTTCTTATTATCACTCATTTGAGAAAAATAAGAAGTATATCCTGCCAAATTACGCAGCTTGATAAAAGACAAACTCTTTTCTGCAGCTTACTTTCTACTTCATCACTTGCTTTATCTTCGTCCCATCTCTATAAACCGAACTCCTTTCTCTCATTGTATGTGACATAAAGATTTACATCCTTGTTAACTAAAGTCGACAAACCAAGATTTACTCTCTAGAACGCATATCCATTGAGGTAGAGTACCGCGAGTACTTTGTTTTAGGAAAAGATCTCGATCTGTTCCAAAAGATGACCTTAGCATCTGCACATAGCCCTCTCACATCATCATTAAACTTTCTCTTTCAAGTCTTTCTTTCAATCTTTTGAAAAATCTTTCGATTTTTTCTTTCCACTCGTGGTTGAAATGTCTTCATATGGCAATAGAAGGCTTTACCTTGGCAAGAGAAGAAAAAAAAAGTCATGTCTCGTCCATATTGTAAACGTTGGTTCATAATGATCAATAGTCGCGTAGAGGTCGTCCAAAGCTACTAGCAATTTTGGATCTGTCTTGTTGACTTCATCTCCTTCTTCGTGAAGCAACATCTTTTGCAACCCTTGTCATTGCTTGAATCGACGTAGCCATTGCCATGACGTCTTGAAGTCGGTTTCGATATGAATAAACTCACTACAATGCTTTATGCCTTGGCGATGGCAAGAGACGATGGAATAGGAAGATTGACTCGACGCATGGTATCAATCCAGATATAAAGTATGTCTCCAACCTCGGTGAAACGACCAAGTGAATATCGAAATGTATACTTTTTAGCTTCTTCCGACATTAAAACAGATCTTTCTAAAACCTATTGTCGCTTCTCCCACACCTTTCTGATAGCGCCTTCGCTGACATCGTATTCGCGCGCTATAACCTTCTTACTCGGAGCATTTGTTTTGCTCAGCTTCGATACTATTTCGCATCTCCGAGACTCATTGAAGCATTTTCCATTTGTGTTCTTTGACATTTCAATAACGCAATTTGGGAGTGATTTTGTGATGAATCAATTGTTCAAGCAGGGGCGGCTACGTCGCTTTTATATTGTGTACCCTAAACCCTAAACGTCCTTGTTTAGACGCATGAGCCAATCGCTATTGAGCTCTTACGTTTCATAACATATTTGTCTAAAGTACGCACCTACCGGCTAAGTACTCACAAACCTACCAGGTGCAAGGTGCGAATCTAGTGTGGAGACTACTAAATGCGCTTCACTATTCTCATTTCGGAATTCTCAAGAAAATGCTCCTTGCAATCAGCTCGTATATGACTCGCCTATACCTCCGGAGACTTGATAACATATTCTCTAGAAAACAATGTTTCTTCGTACTCTTTAGAGATAAAGAGAAATTTTCCATCTTTCTTTACTCTCGAAAGAAGGGAAGTCTCCATCTTTCGAAGAGAAGCAAATCTTTCATGGAATCAGTCACCGATATATCTTAGAGAGCCTTAACACAGCACCTGCATGTTACAGCATGCTCTGTGTACATCCACAGAGTTTTATCGATGCTTTTGACTATGTTTGAAGATGAACAATACTTGCAATCGGCTACACCATCTTGTTACGATGTGCTCGAATCACTTTAGTAAATGTGCGTGTGTGATACACATAATCTTGGATAAATTGAAGGGATACTTTAGATTCGTATTATAACTTTACCATCGGGCATGAAATGTGAATTCTGTATCAATCTTTTGTAAACTGAATTTCCAGACGTCCGACACGTCCGACACCTAACCTTACTTTCATAGTACACAAATCATTTGACCTCAAAAGAAACCTTATTCTCCAATCACCATCTGGAGCGAGACTTGCACTTAGTCAAACATTCCCATTTATTACACATGAGAGTTTCGATCTCTGCCATTCGAGAACATTTTCTCTCTTTGCCTTCGTCTTTCCTTTGGGCGACGAAGCAAGGCATAGAGTCACCAAGCCTCGATACTACCGCCAAACAGAACACGAAAGCTGAGGAGAGTCACAAATGACACGACCCATTCTCTTTCCTCCCGTTGTCCTCCAAGAATGAGCAGCAACAATGCAACTCCACAAGCTGCCACCCGACATATCAAATCGTCATTCTCTTCCTCTATCAACTCATGTTACTTCCAGTTGCGAAAATACTTTGACACACCACCCTCCATTGCAGGAGCAGCTTGCAATCGCAGCCTTGAAGCCATGTCGACAAATTCACAAACAACGTCAATCAATTGGTCACTACGAAGACAAGAAAAATTGAGGAAGCCATATGAAGACGAAGTCAGAGTCCTCGTTGCGCTACTATGCCAGCTCCTAGTAATCCGTTATATAGCCTGCCATGCGCGCAGCTGCTTACAAACCTCTTCTTCCACTATGTGGAAAGAAATGCAATTGTCATGAATGTTTAACAAGACTCTCTTGAAAAGCAAATAATGCATGAGTTTTTATTAGTTTCAATCATTCTCGCAACTATGATTATTTGGAAAGAACGGCAAATGTCATTAATGTTTTACAAGATTCTCTTGAAAAGCAAAAGTTTCATGAATATGTTTTAATTTTTTCCCACACCTATCAGAATGGTGTCATTAGTCGTACGGGAAGGGTGATTTTATTCTCATTTGATCATGACTAAAAGCTTGCCCAAAGTAACCGTTTTCTTGTATTCAGTTGACACAGCCAAAGATCGTGAGTTGAACATGGATGATCCATGCTGTTGTTCTTAGATTAGACAGGTTTCTCACAACAACGTATTGTCCTCATGTATTCCTCTTGGCATAAGAGGAATAAAATTCTCAAGCTAGATGGAACATGTTGGATGGAGCATAGGGTTTAAACACATTGCCGGATGGTGACATCGTCTTGGGTGGCGAGGGAAGTGAAGTGTAAAAGTCTATTTAAGGCAGGTACTACTGGACTCGATAAGATAGATTACCTGTCAAAATCCAGTTGATTCTATATCATCTGGTTCCTACTTGTTGCAATATATCCGGGTTACTCGTTTTGTTATGTCTTGACTTCTTTGCTGTGAGTTTGGTAGCGGTTATGTAGGATATCAGAAAATATCAGAAAATATATATCCTACATATTTTCTGATTTTTTTGGGTTCAAAACATCACAGAAATGGTCCCAAGCACCAAGCACATAGTTTTGGATTTTGAAAGTTAAATGTCTTTATTGCCGAATTGCACCAGAAATATTCTTTCTTGATATAAGGCTACGATTCGGAGAGAAGAGGAGCGTTCCAGACTGACGGATTTTGAATTACGTCGTTTCCAGTAAATCCAGAGTACAGCGGCAGACGACGGACGGAAACATTTGGATGCGTAATGTGAGCCGGAACTTCTCCCTGTACCGTCACAGAAACCATGCTATCATGGGAAAGACGTGAAAGATCGAACGATCTGTGAAGGGCAGAGGAGAGAGATAACATCATCTTGGCCGTTCAAAGAGCCGGACCGACGCTCCTTCAACGGGCGACACCGGGCGCTCACACCGACGCGCTGACGACGCAGGCCTCCCGCGGCGCCTGAAGGGAGGCGCGGGCCTGAGGCTCGGATTCTTGAGAAACTCGCGAGCCAGCGAAGCCTTCTTCGACCTTCGACCGCGCGCGCCTCGTCGTCGTCCTTCGGATGATGATGGCGGAGGCGTTTCGACGATCGACGATCGCCGGATCCACTCACAATTCCTTTTCGTTTCACCAGCTCCTGCGCCCACTTGTCTCTCCGTACGCGCAGTGCGTCGAGGCGCTGGCTCGATTCCTTCGCTTCGCCATGGCGTCCTCAGCAAGCATCTGATCGCGGACCGCGTTGCCTTAAGAGCCCAAGCAGGCAAGAACATCTGCCAAAACCTGCGGTCTTGCATCGCAAGCCCGGCTTAGGATTTCATTAACTGCGCAAGAATCACGATGTATGAATGAAGCTGATCGGAGATTAGGCTCTCGTAAAGTTGAATTAGTAGTTGAAATTACACCAACCCGTCCGGAGTGAGGTGTGGGTTCGAACTTGAAGTAATCTTGTCGTCTGTGGATTTTGATGATTTGCTGGCGCTAATCGAGTATATACACATTCTTTCCTCGCGCTCACCCGCAATCAACGTGGAGCACTTTAATATCAACGTGGAGTTAAATCTCGTCGAAGAAAAAGCTAGGACGTTTTGTGATCGTGCCTAGGTCATAGTTTACTCGACGGTAGTAGACGAGCATTGGGAGCGAGAGCCCACAGTTTCGCTCGTTGGCTTGAAACCTGTGGGAAACCGTGTGCAATTTATAAGAACTAGACATTACCCGACTTTAGCAAAAGTTGGAGAGAGGGAATTTACCCGGGGTGAATATCGTGGTATCGTCTTATGTCGACTTGACGTTGATTGGTCACGCACCTCAAGGAGAAAGCGAGAAGGGTCTAGATTCGATCAAATAAGTCCATGAAGATGCTAACTTTGGACCATCGTCGCAGCAGCGCGGGCGTGCGCGCGTCTATATAAGCGGGGCAGTCTACGTCATTCTCAAATGAGATGCATAACGTGCTTCTCTCGGATGCTACACAGTAGTGTTGGATCTTCGAGGTGTGTCTCCTCCTCCTCATGGCCTCGGGCTCCGCTGTGGGTAGACTCCAGTCGACTTTCGTGAGCTTCTACGTCTGGACCAGCCTATAAATTTGGACTGTTCGATAGTTACACAAAAAACGATGACCATCGTTGCATTTCATACGTCGAATTGAATTTTGGGCCGTAATAACCTTGTGACGTGTTGTTTTTCTACGGGTGTGTGCCAGTTTCTTGCGCATTTTGTAAGATATCTACCACTCGCCAGACCGAACTGCTGTGATCACCTGCAGACACGCCAGGCTCTAAAACACTTTCGAATTTCCAAAAAAACTGTATTGGAAAGTTGCATTCTGAGGGCATGGCAGCATGGCGTTATCTGGCCGTCTTCTTTGTGTTCCATCACATAATTCAGATTTTTCAGACCTTCGTCGTCCATGGCACAGCTCTGCATGGCTGTGGTTCCGATTTGGATGCGAGCATTTTGGCGATGCCGTTTTGTAACATATCGATTCCTATTGCGGACCGAACGTTGGATCTTGTATCTAGGCTCACGCTGCAAGAGAAAATTGCACAGCTGGTAAATACTGCGCCCGAGGTGACCCGTTTGGGAATACCACGTCATGAATGGTGGAACGAAGCCTTGCACGGGGTAGCCTATAGTCCAGGCGTTACATTCACGGGGCCTGCCAGTGGCGCTACGAGCTTCCCACAACCAATACTGACAGCTTCATCTTTCAACATGACTTTATGGACACTAGTCGGCCAGGCAAGAGGATTCCTCATAAGAGTGCCACAAGTTTGTTCATTTTGTTTCTTGTGCAGTATTTATTTTTTCCACTCAACTGCGTTATAGGACTACCCTGGTCATAATCATTTGTTTTTAATTTGATACAGTAAAAGCAATATCTGCAATAGTTTCGCTCAATCACTCCTGCCTTCTCATATTTGTCTTCCAAACACTTTCAGAATGATTGTGATAAATTCCGTGCGACGTCACGGTCACCACGACCATGCGAATGGTCATTCTCATTAGATGCAAGATAGATTTCTCATGAAGACCAGTTCTACTGGTCTTTCAACATTGTGCAGGCAATTTCTACAGAAGGGCGCGCAATGTATAATCTTGGACAATCTCATCTGACCTTCTGGGCTCCGAATATAAACATATTCAGGGATCCAAGATGGGGAAGAGGTCAAGAGACACCAGGAGAGGATCCCTTACTTACAAGTATTTACGCATCAACGTTCGTGAGAGCCATGCAAGAGATACGATATTCCGATGAAGGAAGTAGGTACAAAGCACCGTTTGGGGTCCAAATGGTACCATCTGAGCTCGACACAACGGAGGAGCGAAGCCCTGCAGTCGGAAGAATGTTAAAGACTTCCGTGTGTTGCAAGCACTTCACAGCTTACGATGTCGAAAATTGGGATGGTATAGACCGTTACCACTTCAATGCTGAGGTAATTGACACATCCCTTTGCCTCTTGTTCTAAAACTTAGGCCAATGCATGTCCACCCCTCTCATTGCAGCAATTCTGCGAGCAGGTCAATTCAGATCATTCAGGGGATCACCAGGAGTGTGTATCTGAAGATTTAAGCTCTGCAGGAAAGCTTGAAGACGAAACGTATGACTGCTCCCCATCCGTTCCCTTTTGAACTTGTCCTCTGGAATTATAACCTCTATTAGTGGAAGACACTTTCTCATGTCAGAATTTTTCACCAAAAGGAAAATGCATGAGCATAACCCCATCATTGCCTCAAAGGTATAGAGGTTACAGAATGATGTGAAACTGTTTCGTATCCATTACTACCCTATAAGTTGGACCTGGACATACAAAAGAGATCCTCAAATTTATCTCCGAGCTGAACATAACAATCATATAAGATTATAACCTTTTTTTCAAAGAATTAACCTCTCTTACTGATTCCAGAATCTCATCATTTTCTATGTACTGACGTCTGTTCTCGTGTTTAAATTCACATTCATTTTGTACAGGTGAGCGACCAAGACCTAGAGGACACATACAATCGTCCATTTCAGAGTTGTGTGCAGGAGGGACAAGCAAGTAGCATGATGTGTTCGTATAATCGGGTAAACGGAGTTCCCACATGTGCCAATTATAATCTCCTGACTGAGACAGCGAGAAACACCTGGGGTCTAAACGGGTCAGTGACTTTTAGATACCTGCCTTTGCCCCTTGAATATCACCTGAACTCTATTGAAAGGATTTCACGTGAGAAATTCAAGACTGATAAATATACTGACTTTGACTCGAATGTATTGTTTTTGCCATGATCCTGATGTCCAGTGGCGTGATTTCCTTCATAAATTTAAGATTTGATTTGAACTTGACGATAGAATGCAATAACTTCTGCTCGATTCTAACGTGCCCGTATGGGTTCACAACATCAAATATCGTCCAGGTACATCACTTCAGATTGTGATGCAGTGGAGCTCATATATTCTGCTGTCAATTACGCTCCGAGTGCTGAGGATGCAGTTGCAGAGGTTTTGATGGCAGGTAACATGAAGTGGTGTCATAATTTCTTTAAGGAGCTGATGGTTGACTCTACACGTATGTGGATTTCGTTATAGCAGTCTCATGTAGAGACTACGATATATGCTACATATGAGATATCAAGCAGATAATAAAAATAAGGTTTTAGGTGCTAAGACTTCATCCTATTCTGTTAATGTGAACATAGGACTGGATCTCAACTGCGGATCGACTGCAGCAAACTTTGGGCAATCAGCGGTAGACCAAGGAAAAGTTAATGAATCAACTATCGATCGAGCCCTGTTCGACCTGTTCTCGGTCCGTATGCGACTTGGAGAGTTCGATGGAGATCCCGAGAACCAAATTTATGGTTCCTTGGGTTTAGACGACATTTGTTCGCAATATCATAAAGAACTTGCTATTGAAGCTGCCGGCCAAGGCATCGTTCTTTTGAAAAACGACAACAATGTTCTACCTTTTTTACGCGGACACATACAGAAGTTGGCTTTGACTGGTCCCAACGCAAATGCTACATCTTCTATGCTCGGCAACTATGCAGGTGAGTAATGAATGTATCATGTGGTGCACGTGGATGCTCCAAAGTGCTTTTGTAGAAGTCAGGAATGTAAGAAAAGAACAAAGACCTTTAGTCTGCTGAAATTCCTCTCTCCTTGGTAAGAAGTTGGAAGGAAAAACGATCGAAGTTGCACGCCTGACTTTGAAGCCCTGTGGAACTGTCCTCCTTGTACGGGAAAGAGCTCTTCAAATTCCTAATTTTAGCCCGCGTCTCCGTTTCTCTCATATTATCCAGCTGATGCCCTTGATTGCCCTCCAGTCAATGTTGAATTTGAAGTTGTATATCTCGTATGATGCATACTGTAGATGTGAAACTTCCGTGAAAACCAAACGACACATCTTATCTGTATGAGTTTTGAACTGGCTGATAAAGTACGTGTCTACCTCATTGTAAAACTGAATTATGTTATGTCCTTCGTGCTCGCTCACTCTCTGTCTTCTACATTAGTCAGTCTGATCGAGACCCTTGCTGTGACCTTGCGCAGGCGTTCCTTGTGAGTACATCACACCTTTGCAAGGTCTACAAACGTATGTCGATCTTCTACTTTACGAGCCAGGATGTTGGGACATATCATGCCAGGATGGAGGCCTCATAGGAGCAGCGGCAGCAATAGCAAGTAGTGCCGATGCTGTGGTGATAGTCGCCGGAATTGACCAGACGCAGGAACAAGAAACTTTGGATCGAACATCTCTTCTTCTACCCGGGCAGCAACAGAGCTTAATTGAGACGGTTGCAAATTCTTCGAAAGGTCCTGTCATACTCGTCATTATGTCTGGAGGAGCAGTTGATATATCATTCGCGAAATTTAATCCTCAGATACATGGGATTTTGTGGGTAGGCTATCCAGGGCAAGGAGGAGGTCAGGCTCTTGCTGATATTCTATTTGGGCATCGTAATCCAGGTATGAGCTACATACTCAAAGTTGAGCAAATTTTTCGGTACGACGTGATTTCGCTCCACATTAGAATCCGCAACTCGGCCCTTTGAGATCACATGTTCATGATCCTGCAATGCCACTACAACCATATTTCTTTCCCAATGCTGCTCCCCGGTTTGTATCCAGGACACATAATGTGATCGGAATCTTGACGTGGATAAGTCCTTGCAATTGGGCTTTGGGCAATTGCCAGCTGATAACTGTCTGGAAGTTATGATAAAACCAGTGGAATTATTGGTGAATGTTTACTAACCAGTTCATGCACGGGTATCCGAAATCTTGATAAGTAATATATTAAGAAGTAGCGTATGACCAACTAATGTTCTCGCCTGTCTGTGGTTGTTACAGGTGGCCGGCTCCCTGTGACATGGTACCCTGAATCTTTCACACAGGTGTCCATGACGGACATGAATATGAAGCCCAACACAAGCTCGGGCTATCCAGGAAGAAGTTACCGTTTCTACACTGGAGAGACGGTCTATTCCTTTGGTGACGGGTTGAGTTACACTAATTTCCTGAGTACTATCACATCCGCCCCATCGAGGTTTCTTATTCCTAGCCTAGAACAGCAGCGGTGCTACCACAATTTCAACTCGACCTCGAAGTGCCCAAAGGGATTTCAAAATGAGTTAACCTGCGATACAGCAAGCTTTGAAGTGCGAGTATCTGTAAGCAATCAAGGTGTGAGAAGAGGATCAGAAACGCTTATGCTGTACTCAGTGCCACCCAAAAGTGGTATTGGTGGAGAACCTTTGAAGCAGCTGATTGCCTTTCAGAGGGTTTCCCTTGATGCCTATTCTTCAATGGATGTTGGTTTCGAAGTACTTCCGTGCAAGCATCTCAGCTCTGTAAAATATGATGGAACTAAGGAATTAGTGGAAGGGACTCACACCCTTGTACTGGGAAGCAAGGATGAGGTATCTCACGCTGTATCCTTCGTTACAAATTTCTTTTGATGAGGAGGGTTTGGATCCGGCTAGGAAAGTCTACGCGAGAGTACCTTCTTCAATATGATGTTGTCATTTGTATGAGGATGAACGCAGATGATTCATCACCTAAATGGAGATTATGGTAATTGTCTACGTGGTACCATAGATGATAGGACTGGTCAGATAGATTTTCTGGTTTTTGTTTCACAAGTTCGAGTCTCATTGTATGAAGAAGTTTCTCATTACTCCAAGATCAAAGTATCTCTACTTCTTGCTCTCCAACAATATCGCTATCTTTCAGCAAAGAATAATTAGCCCATGTTTCAAAACCTTCAAGAATTCTACTAGATATATTTGAAGATCATTTATAATTGTCTTATTTTGATGTAATCGTCTGGTGTTACAATCAAATGCTCACCATAGATCGCTTGCTGCTCAGAGATCATCTCATCAGTCTTTCAATGTTGTTAGGTCATTGAATGAACATCTGCATTAATCATAACCTTACACATCAGAACCATATCAAAGAAAACAATACTTGCAATTATTTTCCCTGGGTGTGAGATAGTATGAATTGCAACCGAACACTTTTAATCTATTATAATCTGAAATCCTCTTATAATTTAATTCAAAATGTGTTAAAAAATCAATTGCACTTAAAGAAGATAATTTACCATATAAACTGAATATTTGTGTGGTAGATCAGATTAACTCAACATACTCCTTATCTTTTACAACAACTGCTTATATAATTGTTCATCAACGGCATTCTGCTCCCGAATATAAACTATGGTGAGATGAGAAGTAATCAATTTTTCTTTGCTATGACTTCTATACTGTTTGGAAATGCATTCAACGCCATTTTCAAATTTTAGATATCTCACTCTTACATTTGGCGTTTTCATTTTCTTCCCTCATTGAGTCTTCACTTGGGAATTTCAAAGACCTCAAATTTCTCGTGAAAAATCCAACTCATGTAAAACTTGAATAATGATCATTAGAAGATACTTTGTACCATGTGAACTCAATTACCAATGATCATATTTGAATTTAACTTTAAGAATTACAAAATCTTTAGATTTGCGTTGGTAGAGTGGTTAGAAGAACAAAAAAAGGTCCGGGTCAAATGTGACTCGGTGTATGAAAAGCATTGGCATGCTAGTGCGACACATTGATGCATCTCCGTTGGTTGATCGAGATAGGCGTAGCGGTGTGACTTTGGTTCGGCAAGATTATTTGGATGCATTGGTCTAGTGCTAGCAGAGACGACGTTTTGCGTTGTGGATGTCACTGAAAATATTGTCAAAATCATAAGTACAATAGAGATTATACCTAATCGAGTACCAATTGGAGATTTTAATCAAATTGAAAGGACTTTGAAAGGAAGAACCACATTGCAAAACTTTCAATGAAAAATTTTGGAAGGAATGTTTTTACATTATTCTTGAATACAATATTAGGAATATTAGACACTAACATTCTGGAGCATTGCGCACCATTTCAGTTTACTCATCAGAGTGTCTAAGGACCGCGACAAATTGTCAATCGGCTGACTTGGTCCTTTGACACACTGTTGTATACTGTAGCCACGTACAAAATCGTGATAGATTTTTTGTATTTCAGATCTAGATTGAGTATAATCAATTGATTTATGGATATTGTTTGCAAGTCCATGACCAGTGGTGGCTTCCATATAACTTTTTTGCTAACTATTAATTCGTATGAAACTCCATGAAACTTTATGAACAGCATAGTCCAGAATATCAAGATGCTAACATTTTGACTAGAAGTCCTAATGAGAAGAATGTACCAAAAGACAGTGCTCATTATTATGGAAGTTTAGTACCTCATATTTTGTCGATGGATTTCCCTTTTTGTGTTTTCACTAGCTTGATTAATAATGAAGGACTAGATAGGTGTAATTCCATTACGGTTTATTACGGGGTGACAAGGGCTCAGCAATAAATATATAAAGCACCAAGTCTACGTTGAGCGTAAGATCGGCAGCCTTCGGAAATCTAAATAGTGCAGCTTCCGTAAATAAATGCATCTGATTGACATAAAACATAGGAAACAACTCGATTCTTGAAATTCTCAACCGCCACGGGCCTCCAACTGTTCCTTGCTGTCATGACTAGGGCAATTAGAAGTTGTATGAAGTTACAAGTTCTTGTTTTTGGTCATTAATGATGCATTCACTAAATAAACTATTCTTAAAGGAACAAAAACAAGTTATATCTCACGAAGATAGTTCGATAAGGTCAAACAAAATTGTGAAACTTCCGTAAGTGAAGATTGGATCTTGGCCACGATGTAACAATGAATGCAGACAAGCACGCTGAGATACATGAGAGCGGGGTACTACAGAGATGCTGTGAAGTTATTCATTTTGACTAAAACCATGGGAGCAGAGTTTTATTCATGACCCACTGAACTGATCAACATTTCATGAAAAATTACTTTCTCACTAGAAAATGCCAGAGAAGATGCGTCCTGAAATGACTCATCGATGATGCAAATATCAGTCCATAAATATTTACATCACTCTATCCAATAATAAATGAAATGTTGCCACTGGATAACAATGAGCTTCTATTTAGATGTTTTGATTCACACATTGGCAAGACGCACAAATTTGTTGATCGAGTCTTTCAAGTATAGCTCAGATTTGTTTATTCTTATCAACCATCTCAGTCTCTCCCGAGACTGAAGTCTGACCATATCTAGCATAAGTCCGTAAGCTCTTCATGATCCAACCTCTTCGCCCCAGTTGTAGAAGATGTCGTTCATCTCAGTACTACATTGGTTGTTTCAGTCCATGAAGAGGAAGCTCAACAACCAGCACAGGCTGAAATCGTCGTGCGTCTACAGCTGGAGCTTATTGTGAGCTTCAGCAAATAAAAAAATGAATGAATAATGACAAATGAATTTAGTTACTCTATGAATCTGACCATAATGCTGAGAGTACTCCTGTTCTCCTCACTACTGCTACGTCGACTCTAAGCGTCATAAAACTCTTAAATGGCCTTCTAGTTTACGAACTGACATGTTCTGCGAATTTGCCCCTCCGTTCCGGTGAGCACCCCCAGATTTCCCATCTTCACCATGCCAGCGGCGAATTCTGTGAAGAAGGAAGACCCACGTTTAGAGAAGGTGGTGACGGTTTTCTTGCCTGCAGCGTTGGTAATGAGCGCCGCATCTGTGATGAAAATTCCTCTACACTGCAGCACATTTTTTTAGTAAGCGAAGGTGTTGGCTGTGGAGTCGATGAAGATTGTGTTCTGTGAGATATCAGCTTCAGTTGTTTGTCTTTTTCTTTTTAGATTATTTGTCGTTTAGTATTAGCTCGCAGATGGGTCTATATCCTATGGGCTGTGTAGGAGTTTACGGTTTTGATTCATTCTGATCTTTACCGTTTAAGGTACCGTTAGAAGTCGGGATGATATAAGGCCAGTCAGCGAACTAGAGCGGGGTGGCATTACAGAGATAAGGTTTTCAAGAATAGTCAAGAGTGAGAACGGGGAGACACCTACGGGAGGGAATCAACTGTGAGGAAGTGTTAGTCTTGCTCGGTAGACAGTTGTGATTTCTCGTGTGTAGTTCTCAGTAGACTGAAACCTTGTAATGGCAGATAGGAAGGTCAAGTATGAAGAAACTGATCTTGGATATATATATTCGAACTGCCTTCAGAGAGGAGTTCGCGGGGAGTAGGCTTTCAAGCTGAACCTCGTCAACAAATGCTTGTGTTTCTATGGTGTGTGGACTGTGATTTTCTGTAGGTTATGGGGATTGAAATCCCTACAGTGGTATCAGAGCTTTGGAACATTGATCTTGAATTCACAGCTTCGTCGCATTTGTCTCCTACAATCAAATCAACCTGGCGGACTTGGAAGCAACGAGTCGCCTCGCTGGGCGTACCGGCGAGCCAGAGAGGAGCGACGATCTTCCAGAGCAAAGCACCAACACGAATTTTTCTCAACGAAGCATAGCAAGTCTCAGTTCTTGGAATCCTTCCATGGCAATGAGAATCGACATAGAGAAATTTGATGGGACTGGAGATTTTTCGCATCTGGCGCCGAAAAATCTCAGCTCTCCTTGCCCAACAGAGGTTGCTGAGGGTCATCTCCGACCCCGTGCTATGGCCTGAAGATATTCTCCAAGACCAAAGAGAAGAAATGTCTGAAACGGCTATGGGTACAATTATTTTTCACCTTTCTGATTCAATCATTCGTCTTATTGACAAAGAAGACACACCAGCGAAGGTGTGGAAGAAGCTTGAGGAGATGTTCCAATCTCGCTCTCTCTCCAACAAGATCTACTCGAAGGAGAGGCTCTTTGGGTTCAGGATGGACCAGGCAAAGTCATTGGAAGCAAACTTAGACGAGTTCCTGAAGATGACCATTGAACTCGCAAACTCTGGCGACAAGGAAGAGCTCAGCAACGAGAATAAGGCAATTATTATTCTCAACTCTCTTCCAGAAGCATACAGGGAGGTTAAATCGGCTATCAAGTACGGGAGGTCATCAATCACTCTAGATGAAGTGATTTCTGCACTCAAATCCAAAGACTTGGAAATCAGAGCAGACAAGAAGAACTCTGGTGATGGTGAAAATCACATGGCTCGTGTCAAACAGCAGCGCAAGAACTCAGATGGAAACAACTTCAAGTCCAAGAACCATGGCAAACCATCTGCAAAGATCAACAATCGGAGTACCAACTCCAACGCCGACAAGAAGATGGGTCATCTCAAGAAAGATTGCTACTCATGGATCAAGAAAACCAAGGAGAATCAAGCTAGTACATCACAAGTTCATCAAGATTCAGCTAATTTTGGTGATGGCTACAGCGATGGCGAAATTCTGATGGCATCAGGAAAGCTCAAGGCTTCTGAGTGGATACTTGACTCTGGTTGCACCTATCATATGACCCACAACAAGCATTGGCTATCAGACTACCAAGAACTCAATGAAGGAAAGGTAATAATGGGTAACAATCATTCATGCTCAGTTGCTGGTATAGGATCAGTGAGCATTAAGATGGCTGATGATGTTGTGAGAATTCTTGAAAATGTTAGATGGGTACCTGAATTGTCTAGAAACCTGATCCCCATTGGCATTCTTGATGACTTGGGTTATACTAACAAGATAGAGCAAGGCTCTATGTATATTGCAAAAGGTGCTACTATTTTGAAGGGTATGAAGATAGGTGGTCTCTATTATCTCATCGGAGAAACACTCCATGGAGTTGCATCAGTTGCCACTACCCAAGACCACAGCAAAGCTACACTTTGGCACCGAAGGCTTGGCCATATCAGTGAGAAGGGTCTACAGCTGATGAGCAAACAAAATCTGCTAGAAAAGGACA